TTATGAGCTAATTATTGAGCAATGCGTTGTGCTCTCTTTGTCCTAGTTTATGATAATGCGGAAATTAGAAAGGCGGTCGGTCCTAGTGCTGTATACTTGATATCGATATTCGATACTTCATAAAAACTAGCATCGTTTATATTACTCTAACTTGAGTACATTATTTAATACCTTAGAATAGGAGAAGGCATGATGGGTCTACGTTGATCGAATATTGATTTAAAAAGTGAGCTTCCTGCATTATCACATCAGTAGCTTATTTTACTATTGATTGGTTTGTATTTTTTTGTTTATTTTATCAATAACCTTTATCTCAGGATACACAGGACTGGCCACCGGGGCAAATAATCACTGTGACTGATATTTTTTCGTTATACCTATAACGAATGAATCTATGACGTCAATATAATTCGGTTTTCCTCCACGTCCGCTCCTGACTAAGCTCCGAATTTCCACAAACACAGCATTAACCGCGTTTTACGCTCTCCTCTACTCAAATAGAAATAAAGAACTTTAACTATCTAAATACATAGACGAACCGAAGTACGCAAGGCGCATCCATTTATTAGGTAATACTATCATCCCACTTTTTGATCTCCCATCCCTTAACGTTTTTATATTCTGAACGATTCTTAGCTTTGCAAGTTACAACCATCAAAAGTCCCTCCCTCCTTCATATAAGAAAAAGATAGATCCCCCTTAGTATCTTACGTAATAAACGGTTGGCGCCTTACAAAAATTTAATTACATCTGCTCGTTTAATAATCGCAGTACCAGTACATGTATATTGGTCGTGATCGTAAATAAGGTCGGTCTGTCATAGCACCGCCCCCCAATCTTACGTAACAATCGTATAGTCGGCGAAGACGGCGGCGGTAAGTTCTAGGGCCGGTATCAGTCGCCCCACTCTTAACTTCGCAGGTTACAACCATCAAAAACCCCTTCATCCCTCATATAAGAAAAAGATAGAACGATAGATAGTCCTCCCCCCCCCCAATTATATTACGTAACAAACGGTTGGCGGCCAACAAGAGTCCGATAAACATGTATAGACGACACCTGCAGGTTATATGACAGGAGTGCGAGTGCAACGGGCCGCCATCAGTCGTCCCACTCCCCGTCGCTGGTGGTGTCCGAGTGTTCCGAGTCGGAGGAGTGTATGGCGCGGTTGCGCTCGTGCAGCGCCCGCGCGAGGGCGCCCGCAAGACCGTCCGCGCCACCGGCCCCGCATGCGGGCGACGCGTTACTGGTCGACCGTGTCACCTGCAATTAGAGAGGGACGTTTAAACGAAAAGCACTTAATTAAACATGCTTTTCTAAATAAGTGCAAAAGCGCTTTTTCACTTAGAAGAAAAGTATGCTAATGCTTATTGTACGTCCCGCCATCTATCAAGATATAACTACTAGCTTCAATAAATTTTTCTGTTTCGGCAATTTTCTATTAGAGGGCAACACTTTACATAAATGCACTTATTATACTATTACGCGTGATATCCGACTAGAGTTTTTGCAACAACTTTTTTGGTTGGTTAATCCAAGCGCTTTTTTAAACGGAACTTATACTTCAAAAAGCAGTAAGCTTTCCGTTGTTGAAGTAAGTGCACGTTGTGTTGAATGTTAATTGAGTAATGACTTTTGTTTATTCCTAAATACACAATGTAAATAAGTTTTGTTATGAGGTGATGGTGTGTATATAAAACTGTATGTAATTTTGTTTATTGAAAATGTGATTCTTATATATACACGATAGACGCTTTTGTGTAGTAGACAATTTTATTCCACTATACTTGGGGTAAAAATTAAGAAGAACATTCAAACATGACTTCGCGCGTTCGACGCGTTTCCGAGTATCCACCTTAGGGTGGCTGTTTCAGGGTGGATAAACGGAATAAGCCACCGGTACTCAGTCGAACCGACGACAGAACACCTGCGACTGGTGAAAAATTTTAGCATTTTTCACTAAGAATATATTCCAAGATAGCATTATGAATGCAAATTTATTTAATATAATAATTAGTACAAATTTTCATTTTAATTGATACTTTAAGTTTTTTTTTTCAGCTGATAAGCAGTGGTTAGAGCAGCCGTTCGGATTACGAAAGGTCTTGGGTTCGAGCCCCATCTCATAGTACCTGGGCTGGTTTAAACATTTTTCATTATGAACATTAAATTTAATTAATAAATTACGTATTCCCAATTATTTTCTCATTTTAAAATAATGATTTTGAAACTGTCACACACGATACTGCAAACGAAATTAAAAACAATGACGTTATTATTTTTAATGACAACACGCGGATTGAATCGGTACATCGGTATATTCATATAATAATATGTCCCTAAATAAAAAGCATTCGGTATCATTTGTCAGCAAGTGGATTAATAAAGAGATAAATAAAATAGACCTTATTACAACTACGCCTAGATTGTGTTTTCAAAAGAAAAGACGGCTTTGCGTCTACCTTCAACCAAGGAATAATCCAGACCTTTAAGCTCTATTACATAAGACGGACCTTCAAAATCATACTGGATAATATGGAATGTGATCCTGATATGAATGTTATGGAATGCTGGAAGAAATTTGACATAGCAAAATACATCGTAAACATACAAGAATCATTGCAAGAACTGAAGCGCACATTGAAATCATGCTGGAAAAAACTATGGCCGGTTCTGACTGCTGAAAATGAGGAAGAAATTAAAACTTTTACTGTAAACAAGTGGAATAGGACGAGATGGATTCGAACAAATAGAATCAAGTGATATTCAGGAGTTGCTCGAATCATAGGATGAAGATTTGACTGAAACCGACTTGGAGGAAATGTTAAATTCACAACCCATTGAAGAAGAGGCGCCAACAGGCACTGGCAACGTGACATTTAATCTGTAAAATCTTAGTGAAGGCATAAGAATGGCAAATGAGCTTCGTGATTTCTTTATGAAAATTGATCCATCAATGGAATGAAGTCTTATTTTTAAGAGGCAAATTGCTAGTGCCACTGCTGAATATCAGTGTGAACTGAGAAAGCTCTTAAAGTCTGCCAAGCAAGAAAATTCACAATTTTTTTTAAACCATTGCCTAAACCTGAAGATATTATGTGACGTGTATATATGATCAAAAACTTAAATTAAACTGATTTTTTATGTGTTCGCTTTTTTTATTTCGTCGTCAGGAACGTATCCCCTATAATTCTATACTAAATGCCATCCCGTATTCGCGTTTTCTGTATTCGCGGTCTATTTAAGGAACGTAACCACCGCGAATAAGGAGCTTTTACTGTACTTTCAATGTGAACAACCTGGCAGTGTATGTCGTTTATTTAAAATACTGTGACATCTGTCTTGTGTCTTTCTTTCCTAGTCACAACTACGCAAGCTTTGCTATACAATAAATAATTTAAATACATTATTACATATTAAATATTATTTTCTCCCTTATAAATAAGCAGACGAATTTGGCATCGAAAACGTCGCCGAGGGTGTAAATTGGGTACCTACTCGCATCTATCATAAATGGCTTTCAGACATTTTGTCAGTCGTACGAATCTTTTCTTTTCAAAATTGTAACCTTTAAAAAGCTTATCTGAACCAAGCGATCTCAATATATCTCAGTTGCAATGTTACTTATTTGGAATCAGCAAATATTATAAATTAATTAATTTTCGAAACTCAATTGAAATTTATTTCATCAAAGAGAAATTCGTCACGTATATCATGGATAATTTGAATAAAAACTATGAATATTTTGAAATCCTTAGCGACATCTAGTTAGAAATCTGTGCTTTAAAAGTTGTCACACTGATCGGCTTACAAAGGGTTTAAGCCTTTAAGGGTTGAACAATCAGTATCAAACTAAGTTCTGAAATCATTGTACGATGTATTATTATAATAGAAATACATGTAAATTCGAATTTCTATTCTATGTGATAAGGTAAGTCATAATTAAATATTTTGTATAGTAAAATGTTTTCTCCCAATCTATGATATTTGTACGAGTAAACCCGTACATTTAGTATATAGCAGCCTTGAGCGTCATCAGCATTTTACTCGAATGACTCGTTTATTGATCTAGTTTAGCTGTAGCAGTAATATTTTATTAATTTACGTATTGACATTTTTCTGCATGTAATCTTAGTGTGTTTAATAAAGACCGCGACAAAGCACATCTTTCTTATCATTTTTCTCTACGGTCTTCAACACTCACAGCAACTTTAAAGTGTAGATTTACACCTACACTTTACATGGTCCTTCGAGCCGGATTCCTTTTTCAAAAGACTTGGAAACCAGACTTTGAATGGGATACCGAATTACCCCAAGACATACAAAATGAATGGCTAACTTTGAGACGTAATTTACAAAATATCGACTTTTCGATGCATCAGAACGCGCTTATGCATGCGCAGTTTACATAGTGACAAATAATAATAAGGGCGAGTGCTCATCAACATTGATTGCCGCGAAAACTAAAATAGCACCAAATCATAAACAAATTAAATTACTTCGAATGGAATTACTAGGAGCTCTTCTGTTATCTCAATTAATAAGAAAATTAATAGCATCTTTACCAAAGGACAACATGTAGGTATATGCATGGACCGACTCTATGATAGTATTGGGATGGTTACATGGCGAAACTATCAAATGCAAACCATTTGTTGCAAACAGAGTGCAACAAATCACAGACATTATTCCACCTTCTTCTTGGAGACATGTACGGTCAGAAGAAAATGCAGCTGATTGTGCGACGAGGGGATTATCATCAGATAAACTATATCATCAGAAGTTATGGTGGAAAGGCCCAGAATGGCATGTAAAAATGGACGAAAACAAATTTATAAATCAGAAGTACGAGATCCCAAACATTGACATAAAAAGCTCTAAAGTGAATGCAGCCTTGCTGGAAAATAATTCACCATTTATAAATGAATTATTATGTAAAAGAAGCAACATCGACATAATTTTAAGGATTGTCCTGGGTTTTACGTTTCATCACATGCCTACGTTATAAACAAAGCATGACATATGGAAGTACATTGACTTTAAGTGAAAAGGAGAACGCTCACAATTTAATTATTAAAACAATACAATTACAACATTTTTCAGAATAATTCAATTAATTGTTTACCACCTCACTAGTGACATTAGGAAATGTCATTTTACTACATCTAAGAACTATAGAGATGCTTAGTTAAACTAATCAAACAAGTATAATAATAGTAACTCACAGAGCGTAACTCGACTCCTTGTCTGATTTCGCTGAGCAGGTTGCTTCTGCTGTCATCGGTGGACGAAGGCTTCTGTCCAACTTCCACATGCTAAAAAAGGGAAATTATTAACAATTATTATGTTTGCAATTTTTTTTTTATCACAAATAAGTATTATATAACGATATCATATTAAAGTTTTAGACAATAACTTGATAAATGAACGTATATGAGAATTAAAAAGATTTCATAGAAATATTTTAAGTTTCCTAATTTGAATATTAAAATAAAATGAAAGCTATTTTTATGAAATAAAGGGTCGTGTTCTATAAATGAACAAGTGTTTTTTTGTATATAATGGTCAGGAATGCGAACGGATCACCTTCTTTCCTGTAGAAAGTCCTGCATTACTACACCTTCCTTCAAGAATTCCAAAGAAGTATAAAAAACGTAGTACATCAACGTTTCAGTGATATATATTAAAGATGGAAACAGGTCATTATTCGCCAATTTAAATAAGAAATAGTATCTCACCCGGAGTGCTTTATTTCCGTTGCGAATGCTATCCATGAGGGCGGCTCGCGGGTCCATGGGCGCGGGCGCAGACGCGGGGCCGGAGGGGGCGCAGGGTGGGGGCGGCGCGGGGGGCGCGGGCGGGGGCGGGGGCGGCGGCGCGGCGGGGGGCGCGGGTGGCGGCGGTGGAGGGGGCGGCGCTGACGGCGGCGCTGACACAGGTGCTGTAGCAATATAACAAGATTGATTACTATCTGTACATAACTTGTTAATTGTCTTGTTTATTTTATACTGTATTGTGTTGTGTGTGGACAAAATAAATGCTTTATTATTTTTATATGGTGTAAATGGAAAGGCTCCATGACGCAGTGGTTATCGAGTTAGGCCTGCGATGTGGATGTCGAGCTCCTTTCGCGAGGGTGTAAGATGTGCGATCAAAAGTTTTATTACGTCGGACTCCTAAGTGCTTCAGTTGGCACGTAAAGCGATCGGTTCCAGTTGGATTTGCAGGAGGACAACATCCGATTCACGCTGAGCCCGCGTAGTGAATTTTGGCCTGTTCTATACATTTGATTTTCTCCATATGGAAGGCCCGAGCCTCAGCAGCGCGACTATGTTGTGTGTCCGATGTGATGAAAGTGTACAAATTTGCACGGGAAAATTTTCCATTAATCGTTCCTGCACTCTTCACTACATTCCTATATCTTTACATTGCCTCAAAAACTCTAAAGAAGCGTTTAATCTTAAAACTCCATCCTTTAAGAAAACATAAATAAATAATAAAACAGACGGCTGTATATGTTAAGATCCCTTTTCCTTTAAAAAAGTTAGTAACACTCCATTATTAGAGTATACAACAATGGCACAAGGGAGGCTTTATGCTTTGGCTATAATAACATAGCAATGTTGATAGTACGTACGTTGCACAGGTCTGGGCGGCGGCGGGTTGCGGGGCGGAGGAGGCACAGCACGCGCGGGGGGCGGCGGCGGGGCACGAGACGCTGTTACATAATAATTGTTATTAATATAACACAGTGTGTTTAAAAAACTCTAAAATATATGTATCGATACATATGATATAAGGATGCTATATATACCATATCATTGACAAATTAATAATACACATTTCATAGTTGTAAATATAACAAAGAATAACATAAAAACAAGGTTAATTATAGATAAGCTCGCCTGGACAAAACTGTATCCTTGTATGTATTAGTATGTACTAATTATGTTTGTATGTATTATTTTTTCTCTAATTAATTAAATTATCTTTAGTAAAAAAAATTATAAAGAGTCATAGTAAAGTGAACTCAATATGATTGAGTATTCAAGTAACTTAAAAAAAAAGTATAATTCGTTCAATAAGCTCAAAAGCTAAAAATAATTTTAGCTTTCAAAATTTCTTACATAAACGCCAAATTCAATCATGGCATCGCTATGACGTCACGGCCCTCTGAAACGAATACCTACCGTTCTATGTATGCATTAGGTTCAATTCTCGAAGTTCTGATGTAAGAGGGGCGTGACGTCACGCGCTGTTAGTTTTTTCAAAATTAATATAAGCGATATTATATATATAATAAGCATAAAATTGTGATTAATAGTATGTTAAATACTACCAGGAAAAGAAATGTATTTATTTTAGTTTGCCGTCTACACCCGTATTAGTACACAGGCTATAGTATTATTTACAACTCACGTGGTGCAGGCGGATGTGGCGGGGCGGGGCTCCGCGACGGTACAGGAGGCGCGGCGTTCTGTCTCTCACTTTGCACTACAAATAAGTATATGAATAATTTATATATTGGAAATTTTAAAGTAACGCGGCATTGTTATAATTTATATATAATTTATATATTGGAAATTTTAAAGTAACGCGGCATTGTTTTCTAAGTTATGTAGGATATTTATTAAGTGTTTGACTCTGTTTTAAATAGTCTTTGATTTATTTTCTTTAAATAAGCCAATTTTTTTTGAATATACAAGTTTTCATGCCTTAAAATTAAATAATTTGTTTTTATACCCGTGAAACCGCTGTTCATGACGTCATATCGGTATGTATACAAAGGCGCATATACTATGAATTGGATTAAACGAGACAAAAACGACTTTTTTTTTATTTATTTATAATAAATAGGCATCTATTTTCGATTGATCTCACAGATGTTTCCGGAGTGACGTCACACAATGGCGGGTCGCATATAGAGTCACGTGATACGTTAATAAAAAAATCGACTTTTGATTTTACATAAGTTAGTCATGCGATTTTATGTCTCAAAATATCTACGTTTATTACAATCTAAAATTAATTTTTGAGCAATTTTGGGACAAATTTTACTACGGAAACTAAAGGTATTGTCAGTTTGTACCTGAGATGGGTCTGTGCGTTTCGTGCAGCTCCTCTTTCACCGCATCGATGCCGCCGTTCTTGTCGATGAACTCGTATATGAACTGTCTCGTGTCTCGATCCCTCAGCTGTCTCGCCGACACGCCCGCCTTGCAGAAGAACGTTAGCATGTCCTCGCCAGGTAAGTTCTCCACGTCGAAACCTAAATACAAAATCATAAATATATCGAAGGTGCAGCGGTTACCGCTTGCGGTCTCCATGTGGAGGTTTAGCGATCTTCGCAAAGGTAAGGACATAACCAACTCTCTTAAGTAGAATCCGTTTCGTATCCCGGGTCCGAATTCCGGTGCGCTCTTCTCGTAAACGTTTACTTTTCGCTCCCCCAAACCTAAATAAGCTTTACACAAAAAATTGTTTTATATACCGTTCCACCAACATGTATAACAGAAATTTTACTGGTATAGATCTTTTTAATACTTCTCTTAGCAAATTAAAGAAAACTTTAGCACAACAAATTGTTAGAAATGAACTTTAACTTTAATTTTATTTAGATTTATAACACGTGCTTTCAACTACTTTAATAGAATAAGAACTTTAATTGTAATCAATTATTATGGGCAACTGTTAAATGAAATTATAGCGTTTCGTTTTATTTTTTGTCTTCTTAGTCAGAAGTTTGTCTTCCAATCAAGTATTTGTTTTTATGTTTATGTAAACTATTTAAATAAGACTTTCCATCAAATATTATGTTAGTAAAACGATGGCACGTTAGGTCTTTAGCTATATGAATAAGTGTATTTTAAGTAACATAATTATGTATGACTGTTGTTGCCACAAATAAATGAAAAAATAAATAAATAAATAGCGTTAAGTCGTTGGTTTCGGCTGAATTTACATTCATTAACACCCACCAACTTAACCTTGGCTTGCGTCGTTGGTTATTGCTCATTGTTCCTATTTGGGCCGATCTGTGCCCCTGTAATGGGGACATTAAAAGGTTGATGACAAAATATAATTTAATACATAATTTTATTAAGGTATTCGATAAGAATACGTCAAGTAACTCGGTTCAGGTTCGAAATGTACAAAACAACAAGATTTAAGTCTTATTATTTTAATCTGAGGTTGATAGTCGGCAGATATTTTTGCTACTAAGGTTATGTTGTCACGGTATGGATAAGCCTGCATTTCCCATATTAATAAAAAGTGTCATCGTTTTATAATTTAAATTCTAGAACTTTGATACGCAGGGATCATATCAAACATATATGGAGAAGTTCTTTTTAATTTTCGAGCTATAGATAACTTGTATCTATTTCATCAGAAATTACAATTTTTATGAGATTGACACCTTTCTGTGCGTGTGTGTGTGTGTATGTGTACCTTTATCAGCGTCCCAGCCGACGTGTGATACGTGTTTGAAGTCTTGCGGGATACCGATGTCTGCTTTTGTAAGTTTTCTTGTAGGCTTCTTTTTACCAGAATTCTTGAGGGTATATCCACTACCTATAAGGATAAGTTGTAGGTATTATTGTACAGGGTTCGGAGTGATAAATATACATTGATAATTATAAAACACTACACAAACTCCTTTTGTACTTTAAGACTTGTAATTAAAGGCGAATCTTTAAACAACTGTCAAATGTCTAGAATGGACCTACAGAACAAAAAAAATTGTAAGACCCCTTTTTATTAAAAAATACTTTATTTATATGTTCACTTTCGGTTTAAATGTAATTTGACAGTTCTTTCGTTTATTTTGTTTGTATATTTTTTATATGTATTTTAACAAAAATAAAAGTTCATTCAATTATGAATGCTTTTCTGTATTTATAAAGATTATTGCCAATAACTATAGATAATTATCAGATATTTATCCAAAAAAATAACTATGGTATGGTGCAAATGTTATACCAGACCCATTTCATTGTGATAATATTTTTTATTAAAAAGCACAACATCTGAAATGTTAAAAAAAGGTAATAAAAAAATAAAATGTTCGAAGTCTAGGCATGCCACTGTAATTGACTATTCCTGTGACATGGCTGTTACATGATTTTATCAACTTAAACTAACTCATAGATGACATGCCTTCTCATGTTCACAGTGAAAACGTATTTTATTTTACGCTAATATAAATATCCGTTGCGTCACAAATAAGTTCGTACCCATAACGTTGGCTTTGGGCATAGGCACTGGCGTGGGTGCTTGCGGCTGTGGTGGTGGAACTCCATTTTGCCTGAGGACGGGCGCCGTGTTCCCCACCGACGTCGTACTATTAGCACGCGCCGCCAACATAGACCGTTGTCGCCTTTCTGCAATATTAAGAGTCTATACTACCACGACTTATATATATTAATCCTAGGTTTCCGCAAGCGGTTTCGCCCGCGTGATTTTTAGTGACCGTTTATTAGGATAAAAAGTAGCCTATGTTAATATAGGTTTAGGAATATCAGTTTGTCAAATTTCATCAAAATTAGTTTGCATTACATACATAAATCCTCACAAACATTCGCATTATTTATATTATTAGCACGACATAGAATAATTTAGGTTTTATACATTGCTGTCTTTAAACCTCAGAAAAATTGACAGATTGATAGCACGGTCAGAGTTTTACCTCTGAATGAAACGTAACGAGCTGGAAACTCGTACACAGTCTCATTGTGGTATTAAATAATGGTGTAGGTATATAATACGACGCAAACACGAGATTTTACGAAACAAAATTTACAACGCTCAACTGAACGAGTTTCCTACTTATTAACTCCCTTCTCTATACCCCCTTTTAGACCACAGTCTATCGTTAAGACAAATATTTGGAACTGCGACTTGTAGACATTGTTATTCTATCTTCAGTTAAATGTCTGTAAAGAAGAAGATGTATGTAAAGAGCCACGAGCGTTAAGGAAGTGAAAGAAGTATATAAAAACCATTCCTTGTCGCGCTCAATTATCTGCTTACTCTGTTACCTTTCTGGCATGAAGTCCTCGACCCTTAGTTACCATAACAGCCACAAACGGAAAGTCAATTCAGGCTAATGTATGGGCTTTTTTTATCGTTCTGATCCTTAACCAGTTAAGTATTTGTGTTTATCAACTCCAAAAACAATATTGGTACACTACAGTAACTTGTTTATGCCTATTTGATCATTCATCCTGTCGCTATGAGGGGACAAACAGGAAACGAGTGATGTGTTACAGTTGCAAAATTGCTGAACAATTAAATCAAATCTATTTTGGGAGGAAAATAGTAAAAAATTACACTTATTTCCACAAACAAAAGAGGTTTAATACCACCGAAATAATGTTGTAGAAATTATGCGAAAAATAGAGCATGCAATTGTGAATACAAAACAAATTGGCATTTTAAAAATAGAATTCCGTAATACCATCCGTTATGTGGGATTGTAAATCGTAACAAAATCAATCAATGTCTGATTAAGATTAGTAAATGAGCAGATAAGGTTTCTGTTTAATACTACAGTATCTATGTAGTGTCGCGTGACACAATATCAATATTTGTCAACGATCGATAGCACAATAACGTTACGACGGCTCGAGGGAAAACAATTAATGAGTCTTCCTTCTGATTGTTTCGTAATAGTAATAAAGCTTTGAATATGATCATACTTTACGAAATATATTCGATTTAATAGCAAAAACCTACAATCTAATAATACTAGCTTCTTGTTTTATTTTAAGTAAAACCATGGAATTGATTTTAAAGACTGAATATGCAAGACTAAATCTTTGTCACTGAACAGTTTAATAACTCTTAATATTGAACTGTAACCCCACCTATACTGGACCGATTTCAAAAATTCTTCCACCTACGGGAAGCTACATCATATGCGGTAAATATAGGTTATGTTTTATCCCGAAAAACAGCAAATAAATGGATGTTAATGAGAGTGAATGTTTGTAGAGGGAATTAAAATATTTCTATGAACCATTTTTTACTATTCAATCTGTTATTGTAATTATATCCGTATCATGATATGAATGGATATCCGAATAAACAGTTCCCCAGCTTTTTGCCCTATGCTCTATCCTTGTAAAATACAACAAAACAGTAGAAGATATGGGTCCTAAAATACGTTATTTTTGTATGATACACAAATGATACAAAGCTTCGCACCCCAAAGAATATTGTAAAGGGCACCTTTAAATAGTTTGTCAATTTTATTAAACAACATCGGTTTTTGTACGTTTCCATAAAACAACATGTTGTTGTAAAGGAGACAGAGATTAGATGCATTCAAAATGTGGTGCTGGAGGCGTATGCTCCGAATACCGTGGACAGTCAAACGCACAAGTGTCTATTCTCTCCCAGCTTGACATTAAATCCCGACTATCGAGTTGTGTCTGCAACGCATACTTTGTTATTTCGGCCACATTATGCGAAAAGGAGATATTGGCTTGAAAAACTGTTCAGCGTTGGAAATACAGAAGGAAAAAGATCTGTAGGTCGGTCACCGACACGATGGTCTGACCAGGTGAAAGCAGCTACATCCCTACCCGAGTTCTGCGAGGTGGTGAGGGCTGCTTCCGACCGGAATCGATGGAGAAAGGATTGTTTGTTTGACGAATTCCAGTGACCACGATCCTCACTGATAAGGGACCGACTACAGAGTAAGTAAGTTTGTGAAGACAAATGTTGTTTTCGTATTTGATGTTTCTATTGAGTTCTAATCCGGGATTTCAAAATATTTTAAAACTTATTTCAAATTCAATTTTGGATTAAATGTGCGCCCGTATTTTATGTATTTCTTTTTTAATCCAACTTTAAATAAAAATAAAGCGCGATTTCTGAATAACAATGAATTAGACGTAGCAATTTGGTTTGGGACATCATTGTTCAAAATGAGAGCTATATAGCCATATGACAGTTAACTAGGTAAATTTTTGGTGTAATTGTTGAATCGTCCATGGATGAAACTGCGGACCCCATACATGTACATACTAATAATTAACAGGACAAGTAAAACTCTTCAAAATAATCATTATTAACGTCTAGTAAGGATCTTAAATATTCGTTTTTTAAGAGGTTTGGAACTAATTAAAATATACAAACGCCGAATACATACAACCGTATGTCATTGCTTATGTAGGGACGATAATGTTAGTAAACACAATGAGTACACGAACGAAAAATACACTATGCGTTCACAGATCCATCACATGTGCCAACAGTGAAGTCAGGACATTTCAAATAAACTACGGAGAGGGAGGAGAAAGCTTATACATAAACCAAGTCACGGCCAACACGGATACAGACTATTATAGACAAACAAATACCAAAATAGAGTACAAGTTATGGATAAAATGTTATCCTGAGACCTGCTACGTAAACAGAAAACTGTGGTTTTATTACATCAGAAATAAGGTCTAAAATTAAATAAGTTCAAAGAAGAATGTCTACCGATTACGTTTCCGTAATATTTTCGGCATTTTATTTGTCACATTTTGCGATGTATTCATAATTTTCAATTTGTACTAATATGATAAAGAGAAAAGATTCCATTGAATAGGCTTTGAAACTACTGGACTGATTTCAGAAATTCTTATACCTGCGAGAATCTACATTATACATTATACGCGGGAGATAGACTATAAATCGCGAGACAACAGCTAGTAACTTATAAAGAGATTTACGAGGAATAACGTAATAAATGTGACAATTCTGGGTGAAAGTAATGTCGTCAATTACATATTATCCAACGTTGGTTGGTTTACGTAATCAATGTAAGACTGTTTTAAAGATTAAAGGTATTTCTGAACAAGTGAAAGATATTCTATAATCAAACATTTTTTAATTCTTCATTTAAAATTTACACAGAAGTAAATTAAACTAAGCATAGAAATCGTAGGCTGGATCAAATGCCGTTTTTTCTAATGTATATTTTGGGGTTTGGGTGTTTTTGGTCGCGGTATCCTTCGTATAAGTATAGGCATTCATATTCCGTATGGTGGTCACATCCAATTTATATAACAAGTCATTATATATTTACAATACACAAATGTTGTGTAATGTTTATTTATATCGATTAGATTAGAAGAAACGCACAATGCGATTGGTATTTGAATTGCTGCGCGCCTTACGATTTTTTAATTTACATTATGAAAGTAGTTTCATTGCATTAATTTTCAAGTGTGCGTTTACGAGTGCAATTGTTCACTATCGCAACATAACCATTAGTAAAAGTACTATAGTAGTCATACGAAACTAATTTCACATCTATTTTCATGACAAAACTAGTGTCGCGACACTTGCTTTTCGGTATATGAGACTTCAAATAACTCCAAAGTAATTGAATTTCGCATGTAGCATCGCATTCTCGTCTTTCTCGTATCAATAAAATTTTCTCACCATTTTGAAAATGGTACATTTTAGCGTACCTGGGTTACCTTCTGGGTCACCTTGGTTTTCTGTCCCAGACAACCGATGAACTTCACAGTCCCATTTAAAACGTGACGTCTGGTCACGCTATTCATAAGTGATATAAGTGAATAAGGGAATGTTTTACTGTGATATATACCTGTTTTCAAGTGTAGCGGGCAACCAAACGTCTAATGTGCAGGGTTTTTAAAACTGATATTAATATAATGTTTATAATGTCAGTTCGAATAGTACATACCTTCTCTCCGCTGTTTCCGCAACTCAATCTTTTCAATGAGAATAATTCTAAGGACTCTGGCTTCATCTTCACTGGCAAAGTTGAATGCAGTCATATATTCCTAGAACCATATTATCTTAATAATTTCATGTTATAAAAAAGAGAGTTAAAAGCTAAATGTAAAGATATGCAGAAATGTAATAAATCAGGGTTGCCAACCATCCTGTTTTCTTAAGTTTCTGTAATATCAGGATGTCCTGGAATGTTTTTAGGTATGTCTACATCCTTACAGTCATGCATTTTAATGTTTACAAGCTGCTTTGGAATTTTTTATGTTGCAGTTTGATTCTTTATCTAACATTGTTCCAGCTCATTTAACATTATTCATTTATAGTTTTAATTAAAATTTGTAGATAATTATTAGTTGAAATTCCATATTATCTATTCTTCTGTTTTTAACCTGAATTGTCCTGGCTTTTCCATTCATTTGAATTCTTTATTTGTGAAATTTGGGCTTGGCAACCCTACAATAGCTGTATCCATCATTAAAGACATTACGCATTTGATAGGTCATTGGTGCCAATTCTGTTGTAACACTCTCTAAAGCAGCATTTCTCAAAATGTGCCCTGCCATGCCCAAGGCCTGGCTAAAGCTAGGCTTGGCAAAACTTAATTTTTTTTTGGTTTTGTCAACCATAATCATTTCAAAGCTAAGCTGATCTAAAGTAACTTAAAAAACTATAATATAATTTGCATTACCTAAAATGTTATCTTATTGTTACATGTGATCTAAGAAATATAATAACAGTCCTATGTATATAACAGGTATAGTATAATAAGTTTATCTATGTAATTGTTTACACATATAAAAATAGTTAATACCAAAATTAGCCTAACTTCTACCAACAGAATTGCCAACATTATATACTTTTTTAAATGTAATATATTTCCGAGGATTAATAATAGGTTAACCATGAGGACTTACTTCAGCTTCAAAGGTGTGTAAAAAAGGCCTAGGATTCTTGTACTCTATCTCCATGTATACTTCATGTTCCCAAATAAGTGCTTTTCTGTAGAGACAGTAAATGCGGAAAAAGTAAGATCGTTTGCCATTGTCTTTTATAAGGCATAGGACACCTGTATCCTTCTTCTTCCATTCTGAATGTTCTGGACCTTCAGTTGTGAACAGTTGTACTACAGCTGTTGCTAAACTCTGTCACAAAAATAAATGAAACACATATAGTAAGGACTTGGCTCCTTTCAGACTGATTTATATAAATTAACTACTTTAAACTTAAGTTACGGTACTCTGTCACAAAAATAAATGAAACACATATGGTAAGGACTTAACTACTTTCAGACTGGTTTATCTAAATTAATTACTTTAAATTTAAATTTAGGTATCATATTAATTTCCGTCTTAATCCCTCTCAATGCTTAAAAAATATATAACATATTTCTGTTTGTATTACATTTCTATTGACCCGCACAGTACATTAGCCATCAATAGTTTTCAATTATAACATTGGCAATTCTTTATTACTCTATGCGAAAATGTGAGAAATACATTTTAATAATATTATGGTATAAAAAATACATAATTTATTATCTTTGATATATAAATAAGGTTATAAAAGAGTTTTAACTGATTTTGAATGTTGAATTGCAGGGATTAGTAACTGAATTTTGGAATAAAGAGGTGAACATAAAGGTTATGATATTTTTAATTTGCTTTGTACAAGGTATACTTAAAAACCTTGAAGTACCAAATAACATTTTACACATGTCAAAAAGATAATAGTGTAATTCATTCTGAACTTATTCATCAATCAAAGATTCCAATACACAAATCTAAAAATGGCAAGGTTATTATGATAGTTGAATTATTTTAATTTTATCAACAAGTGATAAAACAAGTTTTTATGTAAAGCTTAAATATCACAAAACAGGGTTTATTATAAGATGATTGAATCTGAATATTGACATAAAAATCATTTAGATAAATACTACAAAATTACCAGAAATAATGTTTATCACGTTGATAAAACAATAACTGATAATTTGTCAATTCCAAGATACAAAGGTGGTACGTAATCTGAAAGTTATTATGAATCAGAGAGGCCACTGCCTGACCCATTACACATACCTGACATTTAGGACCAATAAGACTGAACACTTGGTCATTCTCCTCTCTAGATAACAGGACACTTGGTCTATTTTCACCTCTCGGCATTCTTTCAGATAAAATAATAAAATACACGAAAAATCACTTGATATACACAACTTCCGATGTGTCAGTCACCACGGTTTTCCAGCATTTTAGCTCTAATGAATGTATGTTTTGGCACATAGGACGTTCTTCGGACGACAATAATAACATTTCTCACAGCGTAGAATTATTCATTTCACAATTTAATTGTATTAATTGCAATTAATTTGGAAAACACTTTCTCTACTTATCCGTATGAGGACATCAATCATCAAACCAAACTGACAAATTGTGCTGCCAGATTAAATTCTTGCTTTACCGCGTCAATAACATCAAATACACAAAGTACAGTCAACAGCACGTCAGGCTACATCACAGACTATAAAAAGTACCGATAAGCTACACTAACTGTCATATTTCTTCTTCTTTTATTTAGTTGCTATAAGTTCAGTTCTATTTGGATAAAAAAAAATGTGGTAGCTTGACGTGCAGCAGTTAATGCAAAGAGTTTTTAACACAGTTAACTCTCTCTTTCAAGTCTCGTAGAAGTTTTGGTAAAAAATATAAGAATTATAGTTAACACAAAGTAGCCATTTAAAGAAAAAATTAAAATCCTTAGAAAACTTCCTTTAAGACTACAAATAACCCTATTTTCAGGTATTTTACTCGTAATTGGCAGCTCAACCGAGCAAAGAGTAGATGGCATAAATAATTTCAAAAAGGAAAAGGTATACAAAACATACAGCCACTATATTTATTTTACAACTTTATTTTTCATTACAACTTAATTTACGTTTAATACATACAATATTTTATAAGGCACATGTATGTATGTATGATAATATAATGCAGTTGGATAACGTCATGATAATAAAGTAGATCTTAGACAGTGCTCACAATGTCGTAGTTACTATATACCTGTGCTAGTTTGCTTCTTGTTTTTTTTTAAGTTTATTATTTCTATCTGCAATCAGCCGCTTAGCTAGAATCAGACTAACTAGTATTCCACTTTGTGAGACCACACATCCAATTATGAGGTGTCCCTTTAATATTAAAGACCATAAAGATCCTGTCACACAGCAGCCAGTTAGTCTCTTTTAAGGCGTTTTGTTATTACGTCATAACGTTACATATTATCCTTAATATAGGGTATTTGCAAATATTCATATACTTGAACGTTTTTCGTGAACCATGGCATTGCATTGTACAGAACCTTCAGAGCATATTTCTGAGATCGCTGAACTTTTTCGATGATAGAATGACTTTCTGAGCCCCAGAGTTCTATTCCGTATATCCAGATGGGTTTCATTAAAGATTTGTAGATGGAGAGTTAATTTTCCAGATTGAATAATGTTGCGTTCCAATAAGCCAATGCATTTCTCTGATTTTTATATTAGCTCACTCTAAGAGATCACGCTTTTAGCTTTTATGTGATCTCTCCAAGTCAGTCTCCTATCCAGGTCTAGTCTCAAATACTTTACTGTTGTTTTGTGAGGCAAGACAATATTGTCAATTATAACGAAGGGACAGTCCTAATTCTTCAGCGTAAAGGTAATGTGAGTTGATTTTGAAGCACTGGCCTTTATTCTCCATTTCTTTAACCATAGATCAACATCATTCAAGTGTGATTGGAGTTTATTTGATGCAATCTATGGGTTTATACTGCACGAAAGTATATCTGTGTCATCCGCGTATATCGCTATCATTACTTCAGATGATATAGGTAAATCGGAGGTGTGAACAGTGTAAAGAATAGGTCCCAGGACTAAACCTTGAGGAACTCCTGCTTTTATATCTTTTAGGTGTGATAAACTATTCTGAAATCTTATCTGAAAAACAATTTCAACAGTTCTGGTAGTGAACTAATAGGTTTGTATGAAGATGCTTCCGAGATAAGTTTGCCCGGTTTCAGAACTTTGCTCCCCCCCCCCCCCCTACGCTCCATGAAGCTGGATTTTATATTATATTTTTCTGTTATTTCATGACAGAAGCCTACAAATTGTAAAGAGATTTGAGACTGAAAAAGGTATTATATAAATGATGATTTTGGCGGCCCCTGACAGGCCTGAGTAATATTTTGATTGTATTGTAGTATTTTCCAGTGTTCCTGTCATATTTGTTTGTAAATAGAGTCTGTGATGTATCCAAAAAAAAATACTGTTTGCATAACCTTGTGTGCTGTTAACAGTACCAGACTTTCTTTTTAGGTTCCTTCATAATCCATACAATGATGCAAGGGAAAATAAACGAAATCTGACATTATAAATCATTATTATTCGGATTTTTTTCAAAACAAATTCCACTAATATAAGTGTAATGTTATTAACATCATTTTCTTTACGTGCATACGAAATTAATCTAATTGACTTGAATGACAATGAGGAAGTATATAAGAAACGAAATATTGGTCGCTTCGTAGGTACTTTTAACACGTCAGTGTTAATCAAATAGTTAAATGTTATTTATATGACTCAATTAAAAACCCAAAAATTTGAATTGTAATATTTTTTATCACCTTATTTTCTTAATGAACCTCAGCTTGAAAAAATATTTTGCTAAACAGTTTTTTTTCATTGTTTTACGTATCATTTTGATGACAAAATATTTCGCACACTATACCGTCCTTTAGTGAGTTACATTTATTCTAGTACTTTCTACTGGTTGACTCAAAGAGGCATTAAAGGATAAGAAGAAATGTGTTTTATTATTTCCTCATTCTCTTGACTTTTTCATTTTACTAAAAAAATATTAGATAGGTATTATATCAAACTGTAAATACTATAGGTATTAAGACATGTATAATAATAGTCAGTTCAAACTTTACATTATTAAAAGTAGAAATATTGTGTTTACAGTTTCAGTATCTGAGTATCTACCTCGAAACTAATTAACTATATACAAATGTCATCGAAATCGAACTTTAAGATCACATTATAACATTGATTTAGGGTCTGTGCAAATCAGACTGAAGATCCGTCAACCGTAAAAAATACAAAGTATGCGTTAGTACGCGTCAGAACATCTGTCAAATGTACATTTGACAGATTGATTGATTGTACTAGGATGATAGTCAGTTGCACAAATGTCCATATAAATAATCAATAGTACATTTCATTGAGGAAGTATTTAAAAAAAAACGAAAGCACTAAAAAAGCACCTCTACTAGATGGCGACTCTAGCAAAAGTTGATTTTTGCAGGAAACGAATGGACCAAGGACAGTCATTTCCGTTCCTATTAACTGAAATTTGTAAAATTCGAAATTTCGATATCAATACAAATACGAAAAAGTACAAATAGAATATGAGTTGTTTATTGACTTTCTTTCTTAGAGGTGCTTTTTTAGTGCTTTATTTTTCTTAAAATACTGCGATACCTACCAAATTCTATCTAATGCGTATTACCAACTACCTTTTAATTTACGGTGTTCATAACTCACGTTTTGGATTACAATGGTAGTGCATTTTTTTATTGAGACAATTCGTATTTATCGCCTTTATATTAGCAACCTCATCGTGTTACAAAAAAAAAAAAGAAAAATTAAGGCAGAAAGAAATACATTTCTTCGTAGCATGTTCGAAACAAATCGGTTTCATACATTTTGTATGGTTAGAGACACATTTGTGTATCGCGATATAAATATTAGCATTTCATTATAATATATGGAAAAACACTCGATAGCAAAAACTACAACACTACATAAATGTGTTTCCGTCTTTAATGCGACGGTGAGCATACGGTCAAAGTAGATAAATACATACGTTGTGCGTTTAAACTGTTTCACGGAAAATAGCCCTTGGCATAACTCTTATTCCTTTTTTATAAAAGCGAAAACATTATAATCTGACTGAAAAGTAAAATTAAGTAATATTTGTAATGTAAGTTTGTAGGATTGCAAACCGTTTAACGGGAATTATAGCTAATTTTTTAAATTAAAATTTGTTTAAGGGCAAGCAAATATGATATGTTTATAAATTTACTATGGATACGAAGCGATATGTTATTTATGTGCAATTTTTTTTCCGGTATTTCTTCAATCTATAGTAACCGTGACAGATCAAAATATTTTCATTAGGGGCAAACCTTGGAGAAACTTCATAACTACCTTGTGCATAATTATAATGCGTATTGATGCATTATCACAGGGCCGGATCTGGGAGGAAGGCAAGTAGGGCACTTACCTCGGGTGCCAGTGTTAAAAATCCTATGAAGGGACGGGCATGAAATAAAATATAAAAAGTCTTCACAAGGGTCAAGTTTAGCTGCTCTTGGCAACATTGTAGATCCGGATCTGCGCTATCGTACTTCATAATTATGTTTCAAAATGTGACGTCATAGCTGTGTTCCGGCTTAAATTAACTAAAATAAGTTAATGTGTCCCAAATTAAATTAACTACTTTCTAATATCTACAAATTTCCATATAGATAATAAAGTTAAATGTTTACAAGTTTATTATACTGCCATTTCGATCACGACAAACCAATAGTTACATAGTTGTTTTAATCACAAGGGTCGGTGCAAATCGGACGGAATATACGTCAAGCGTATCAACAGAAATATCATCAGTTAATACGCTCGACGGACTGACGGATCATCGGTCGAGTGTACATGTAGGTCTATTTATTGAATACGCGATAGCGCTACCGTTGATATGCACCGACCCTAATATATAGATACAGTACAACGGTTCGCTTGATTTTCACCTAACGCGCGTCTCATTGATACGGCGTAAGTATTTAAATTTATTATTTTACAATTAAATATATCGCTACCAATAATCTTACATTTAAATCTCATAGACAAGAGTACGCGGCACTTATTTCTTTTGAAAATAAAACAAAACATGAATGACTATGAAACTATTGAAATTGTACAAAAACGCATACGATATTAAATACATATATCGAAAATAACCATTATGCAGTTAAAAAAACGTATAAATTAGAACGAAGTAAATGTGATGGTCATTATAACAGATATTGATGGGATCAAGATCATAATTACCTATTATTAATTTTTTTTTTTTAATATATCACGATCACTAATATTACAATAAATAGTGACCACAAGTTTTAATTTCATACCATCGGCCGGTACCCATCTTGCGAGGTTTAGAATAAGGATATACAATAGGCCCCGAAAATATTTGAATTCGATGTTTGTTCATGTAGAAAGATAAGGCGAAAGTTAGGTAGGTACCTAAGTTTTTTTTTATCATTTGTGCATTATAGATCACATTCACAGTCAATGAGATAGTATAGTAGGTACAAGCAGCACATTAGGTTATTACAAAATAAATCGCGATCTTTAACTTTCTTTAGGTTTTACTGCTAACGTAATAAGGTTTAAAATCTAGTAGGTAAGTAGAGTTTTGTGTAGCCTAACGTGCTATTGCTTTTAAATAAGTACAGTAGATGCAATATTGTATTTTTCATTCATTGTACACGAATTCGTTATAAAAAACAAGGGTTCGTGTTAAACTTACTCAACTGTATAAACTTCTCACTCATACTTTTTATTACTAAAATTCGTTAAAACGACATTGTATTAATCACTAAATTTAAAAAAAAATCTACGACAATAATGTTTCAGTGCGCAACATAATAATTAAGTATTTGATATAAACATAACACTTTGATACTCAACAATTTCGTTATAATAAAAATAATTAATATATACAACAGGTAATATTACATAAAGCTCGGGCATACATGGCAGCGCCAGCAATTGTAGTAAACAAACAAACTTTCAAACATTTTGTCATTTGATAATGAATGTTTCCATTCCTTCTTACATATAAATAACTTTTTATAACTGTAAATTCAAAATATATTAATGCACGTATTCACTAAACTTAGGAGTCGCTCAAATCTGCCGCCTAAATATTTAAGACAGGGCCGGATTTAAGGGTGGGGGGGCACGTTTCTGCCGCAAATAGTTGAACATTCATTTCACCAATGACTAATAACGACATAACAACATTAATTAATGTATAAAGTGACATGCGTTATGCGGCGCCTTGATCAAAGCACTTTTGTAATATGACAGATTACAATTATGTCAAAGGATAAAAGAAAACATGATAATTAGGAATGAATCTAATATCCTTAGGCGTAAGATTTAGGCCTTTCCTTATTTTATTTAGGTTAGTGAAAACAGGTGTAAATTCCTACAATGCTCATTGCTACTTTACTCTTTGCTCACTACTCTCAATAAATAGTGTTTACTACATGTACTAGTGCTACCACGTGGGGACAGAAAGTTTCAGTAATACGTCGTATTACTAGTACCTAATTTTTATCCGGAGATCAGTTCTTACAATGTGAAACTAAACGAGTAAGAGAATTTTGTTATCACTTTAGTAAACTTAAAAATACTTTTATCTATAATTGCAGCTGCACACGACTGTACACAACAGCACCACTTTTTGCATACCCACATCTCCGCGGAAAACGATTATGTCGATAAAAACCAAACAAATATATTTATATAAAGTAAAATTTAAGATATTTACAATACCTTTGAATTTGAAACTAGGAATTACGTCATAATATTTCCAGATACCTGTTTTTTATTTATATCCAATATAGCATTGTTCATGCAATATGAAATATAATAATTCAAAAACTTTTGAAAACAAAGAGGCAATAACTTAATTTATAAAACGTAAACCACAATAGATATTTTTTATTTCACATAAAAAAACATTAAAAGGCCTATTCCTATTATGCCTGCGCCTGACACGTAACATAACTAAACTCTTTATTGTTCAAATACAATTTATAAGCAAATACGTGATAAAGTATCAAATACCCGTGTCACATCAACACCTATGTGTATGTCAAATAGCTAAATTCTTTGAAGGTCTCAAACAGAACAACCCAATCAAAATGTTATGTATAAAAATTGGCTTTAGAATGGTGTAATAAGACCATCTGTATAGATATGAAATGGGATTACATTTAAAAATGTATATTTTCATACATAGAATATACATATATATTAAACATAAATAATAAGCACCACTTATACTTAAAAGAACATCTCACTCCACAAACAAAATAAATTGTACTATTGGAAATCAACTCGACATGTGTTATAATTTAACTAACACTAATTTGAATAAATATTATGTAAATATAACTCGACTAAGCGTATAGTCTGATTTATAACCACATCACAATCTAATAAATTAGTAGCTACAATCATACATTTTAGTTACAAATACCATTCGAATAGTGACCAACATCTACGCCATCAATGTCAAAATAATTGAAAACCTTTTGTTTCGTAATTTTTTTAATGAAAACAATTCAATAAGCATAAATATTTGTTATTTTATATAAGGAACACCTGACAAATTATTTATAATAATTTCACGCGTCCCAATTGGATTATATAAACCTCGGTATTGTCAATAACGTAGTACCTAATTTTAGTCAAGATTTAAAAAGGAAAATACAACACACCTCACCTAAGTTCACCAATATCACTACAAAGTATAAGTTTAATTCGCTGTGTCCGTCTCCGCAATATTTCCTGTGTTTTATTCAATCTTTTAACTTCTATGCTACTGTTAGAGAGAAAAACATTGACTACTACTGGCAGCACTAATTGTCGATTTCACTACGGGCAACCCTATCTTTGAGTTGGCTGTCATTGTCATTATTGACTTTACGTTTGATCATTTTCGCGCCAATACGCTGGTGGGTTGTCATTCTTGTGAAATTATTTGTATCGCCATATTGATTTTAAATATGTCAATTGAATAGTAAAATGCGTCTTTCACTGGCGAATTAATTTAGAGCTGTTTAGTTTATGATTATTTTGAAGCTTATATATAACACAGCAAAGACGGTTGCTAGTTGTAATATTTTACTTAACAAACAAAATAAAACGACCCTAAAGCTTCACGTTGGTAACTGTGCTTAAATTTAAAAGTGAACCAAATAAAATTAAATGTATATAAAGCTTCTTTGAATCATGTCCTTTTCATTTTCAAACACATCCTTTCCACAGCTTAAGATTTTTTTTCTATATTTTATGGCAATAAAAAGTGTCACTAAAATAAATTATTTGTTTTTCAAATATACGTATCAAATATGCTACGTTATTTATTTCGATAAGCGCATGGGGATATACAATATGTGCATGATATGACCCGCTTTCTCAATTACCTAATTGCACTTCAAATTTTTAAAAACAACTATAGTTATAAATAGGAATTATAACTTTTACAATAAACAATTAAATAAATTGCACAAATATGACGTCCGTTTATTTGATTTTCGTATTTACCTTATTGTTTTAACATTTTCCATTAAGCAGGAATAATTAACCTCCGGTAAAATCTTCGAAAACTTACAAGACTACCACATCCTAAGCATTACATACAGTTCAGAAATTTAAATTCGACTTCGAGCCCCTATAAAAATACCTAAATAATTTAGATTCCCTACAAAAACCTACCTTATTACCACCAACATAAAAAGCTATTTTGTACACTATACCTAAGCTGTGGTGGGGGTACATAACTCAGTACTTATTATAATTGATTGAGATTACTTATGCTTTGGGCAAGTCCACTTTAGTCCGAACGGGACCGCGAGTGAGAGAGATAGCTCAACTGCAGCCTTCCTTTTTTAACGGCGGCTCGTCGGCGTTCTTTACGTCATGATCAGATTTCGAAGGACCGGGCTGAGGATTATCGGGATCTGAAAAAATAAAAAATTGTTACATAAATAATTAGTTCCGTGACCGATTTGCTCACATTGGTTTCAAGAAGTCTCCATATTTGACGGCCCGGGTTCGAATCCTAGTTCGTTTAAAGTAGAAAACGAACTTTTATATATTATCTTGGGTTCGGGTGGTGGCGCTGGACATAAGGGTTTTACTTGTGATTACTGTTTGACTTGGACTCTACGACTTAACTAGTGGAACTTCACACAACTGCCATTGAATTCGAATTTGAAGAGCTTACACGGTCGGTTGCACAAACGCCTATTAAGGTTTAATGACGCCGTGACAATTTTAAAGGACGTTTGTCGGGAGTTAATCTAATTTTCAATTTAAAAAAGAATTTGAAAGACAACTCTTGATTTTCTGCAAATATGGTTTCCTATTTATGGCCCACTTAATGCTGCATACTTGAGAATAGCGTAGGTAACCTATCAATAGAGTCGGTATTCTACGCAGTAGAACAATAAATATATATAGTGATATGTATTGTTCACGAGTGCTGACGTAAGATTTTATCGCATATTATGCGGCCAAATTAAACCAAAACAAGCTAATTGCTTCGCCAATATGCTGTTCGATCCTTATCACGTGCGTACATAAATACCACATGACAACACTATCTGGATCTAGCTTATCGATCAAATTGTAAAATGATGCGCGATAAGGGTCAATTGTAGACGTTGTAGTAATATACTTGACGTCAATACTTTGTACAATATGAGTCTGTTTCTTTCATGATATTAGTGTAAAACAAGTAAAATTAGTTTTTAGAAAAATAAAAGATTTTTAATTCAAGCTTTTGTTTGGTGTATAGGCCTAGGGCCGCGGCAGTGGCCCGCCAAGACGAAACAAACAATAAAAAGCTTAAGGCTACCTACTTTTTCTCAGGGATTTTTGGACCCTCATAATGTTTGGATTATTTTTCATCTTTTCATTTGATACTCATTTTTGGTAGCTTGTTCAGAAATGTGCACGCCGCCATTTAGTTGCCGCCGCCACGCAATATACTTGCAATATCATTAGAACTAAAGGGACATTTAAAGTACAGATACATTTCAAATTTCAGCTCAGAACTTAGACTGGGAAGTGGGTGAAATTTAATTACAGGAAAACAAACATCGGAACAGGTGAAATTACTAAAAAGCTTGTAATTAAGAGATAATATCTTAAATACTTGTGATAAGATCACTATACTTATCAATAGAGCGATTGTTAACTGTTAAAAATATTTTTTTTTTGGAAAACATGACTTGGGTTTTATAAGTACCAGCAGTTACCAGTTGGCTTCTATTTGGTTGACATATATTCAACGTTCAATACAGTATTGAATGTTATGTGTATTTAGTTTGAATCCGATACTATACCAATAGGAGCCGATGTTTTTAGATTATTTTCAGGAAAAAAATGTCTTAGCAATTTATCTCGACTCTTTAGAAAGCTATTAGATAAACGTTACTAGATACTGTATTGGAAGGTCGATTTCTGGTTCGTAAGGGCTATAGAGAGATACTATAAATGATAATGGATCAATCATTATAGAATTTTTACTATTCTTGCTTGACCCATTTAAAATATTAGACACTAGCTTTTTCTTCTGTATAGTTACAAAATGCTTACGAAAGGTTCTGTAGGTACCAATATCTATAAAATATTTTTAAAGTAAAATATATAAACCTACTGTGATTATTTCAAGCATCTACTCGTTATCAATATCAAATCAAAAAAACGAAGAAAAAAACACGTTTGACGTTTGGGAGCCCCGTTGAACATTTATTTTATTATGTTTTGTTATTAAAGCGGCAACAGAAACACATCATCTGTGAAAATGTCAACTGTCTCCTATCACGATTCATCAGCCTTGTGACAGATAAGCGCACAGTGGAGTCTTCCTAAGAGTCTCGTTTCTACTGTATCGGTTTTGAACCCTAAAAATTTCCGTTATTAATTTACAATACAATTTTCTTTTTTATTTGTTAGTTCACTTATGGTTTAATGCACTATTTGTGGTTTACAGATAATAATTACATCTAATTTAGAATTATAGTACATAAACTAATTACAAGCAGACACCACTTACATGAATGCAGTGTTTTAATATACATAGTTTTAATTTTTGTAGTGATTTAATATATCATCACCAGCCCTTTTACGTCCCCACCGCAGGGGCTCAGGCCTTCCTTATGGATGGTTAAGGAGGAAGGGCCATGATGGGCCTCCACGCTGGCCCAATGCGGATTGGAGGGTATTAACGACTGCAAATGCAACCGGGACCAACGGCTTAACGTGCCTTCCGAAGCACGGAGTAGCTCGAGATAATAATTTTTTGGTCACCCATCTCGTGACCGACCCTTGCGAAAGTTGCTTAACGACTACGATCGCGGGCCGCGGCGCTTATCGACTACGCCACCGAGCTACATTAACCGATTTAATATATATAGATATTAAAAAGTTTTTTTTATATCGTTATCGTTTTTAGAAACAATTGGTTGTACTATTTCCTATGTTAAGTTCTTGTATACACATTGGTGTGCCATAATGCGCGCGAAATACACTTGGGAGCAAATAAATAGAGCCGCTCCCGTCGTTAACTCATAAGTCAATTAGCGCTAATGTCAAATTCTGTTTATCAATTATATTATATAACTGAATTAAAGTTGTTTATTAATTATTTGGTATTGCTTTGATAATACTGGGCACATACAAATTTTATGTCGTTTAAATTAGTTAAGAGTATTCACACAATTATATAGCTGATGAGGACCTCGATGGCGCATTGGTTAGCACGTTCTGTCTACGATGTGGAAGTTACAGGATGGGAGGACAAAAATGTTATAAATAACAATAATAATCATTTATTCTCTCAACACAAAATTATATATATATAATTATATGAGTCTCAAAATTCTTGTCTGCTTTTTATGTCGAGCTCTTTCGTGCTTCGAGAGGCACGTTAAGCTGATAATTGCTTGGCTATATCTGCAATCATAAACATTCACCAACCCACACGCGCCCGCTATGTGAGTCATGGCCCATTCTCCCTATTCCATCCACAGGGAAGGCCTGTGCCCCAGCAGCGGGGAAATAAATATATATTCTGATCATGATAGATAAGATTATATAAAAAAAACAGCGTTATAGACACAGAATACAGTGTTTTGTGGTTATAAAGATTTTGACAGATGACTGCAGACATTTGGGGGCCTGCTAATGCCTAAGGACCCGGGTGGACCGCCCCTTCCCCCCTTAGTCCGCCACTGTTCTCACCGTAAATTAAATGATATCGAATTGAATCGACAGCTAACGAAGCATCAACGTTAATTAAGTCAGAAAGAAAATCGAAACATGTGACAAACATTATTTTAACTTTACGTACGCCATGACAAACTGGAGAAACGTTGAGTTTACACCAAACATAACTTTTCTGCGTCGAGAGTGAGATATAGTATTAGTGCTCCAGAGAAATGTGACGTTTGGGACATCTAGACTGCTGAGAGTAGTGTCAATTATGAATGCGACTTTATGTGGTGTACTGACCCGAAGTGGCGAGCTGCTGCAGACGCGAGGGCAAGTCGGAGGTGGTGACCTCGGCGCCCTGCGGGTGCAGTATATCGGGCATGGCGTTCCTGCGACCCGTACGACCTGTCTCGAGGAATTCCTTAGGTACTTCCTCACTATTCCTGTCCTGCATTATGGCCATCATTCTCAGAACTGAAACGCCCGAAGAATATCAGTTAGAACCTGTATTTTATCATACTATTTTTTTTATTACATTATAGATAGAAGGAGGACTATATCATTTGTATTTTAATATAAGAAGCACACCAACTGTAACGTTGGCATTGTTCTTATGTTGTAATATTTACTAAGTAAGTTACTTTCTAAATTACTTAAACTAGATAGCAATCTCGTGCAAATATTGGTCACGGTCACCAATATATTAGTATCACCTAAGGGTGTATGGAAAACGCGACTATAATAAAAAAACATTTCTCACTTTAATGAAAAAGCTACTATCTTAACTGCCGATATCGAATTATAAATAAAACGACTTCTTCTATTGATCAAAACAGCTTTTTGCTAGAGCGACAAAAACAGCGTGTTGCTTATTACCTCGAGAATTCCGCGGCGTTCTATTGCACACCCTCTTTCCCTTTCAGTTTAGAATGTTCGAATCGCAAAATTTCCAATTTCTGAAATGTCTGATGATAGGTTTATTGAACACACGGATGAATAATATGTAGCAAGCAAGCAAAATATTAAAACATTGACAGTGTTATTAATAAACAAGGTTTAGCGTTGGAGTAAATTTAAGCTGAGACTGCACTTAGTATTAGTCAAAATTCATATTATTAAACAGAGACTTGGCAAAGGTTAACCTAGTACGAGTTTCTACGGGAGTAATATTTACTCCTAGGAGGTAGTGGTTTGCTTATTCTCTGTATCATATGAATTTGGACTAATATTAAAATTGCAATTTTAGCGTAAATTTACTCTGTTTATTAATAGCACTGCTACACATTATCTTGCTGTGTATTTATCTGTGTATTCAACCACCATGATAGTAGATTGGACATTTTAGCATAGGTACATTTCAAAATACAGACATTTCGGGAATAGGATATTTATCTGAAGTGAAATGTCTCCATCTTTCTCGCTCTAACAAATGGCGGTTCTGAACGAAAGAAAAGGATAGGGCGACGGAGAAAAGGTGATACCGTACTGCCAGCTTATACTTTATTTTAGTCTTCCAAGTCACTCCAGTGATAACGAAAAAAAGTCAAGTAGACTGTGGAACACTATGATAAGTACTATTTACTGAAGATAAGGTTTATTAAACAGCAGCATTTACTTATTCATCCCCATTATCTCAGATAAACATTAGCTTTAGCATATAGAATCCTTTACTTTATCAGTTTCATCACATCATTTAAATAGTCATCCGCCTTTAATATAACATCATAAGATTTTGTGATAACAACACAACTTTGTATACTTTAATAACACATAAATAGTAGTACCAAGTTATCTATGTCATATAAACAGTCAAGGGAGGACTGTAGACATCACTCACTGATACAAATTGCATGATAAAAAACAGGTAAGTGTGGGTATATGCAGTGATAAGAATCATCATTGAAGTTGACCGTACATTCACCTATAAACTGATATCAATAGAGGATTTTGTCCAATAAAAGTATATTAATCAACACATTATCTATTGGGTTAAGTAATACAATTAATGAGATAAGATAACAAATTGTACCCTGGGATGTCAATATGGTAGGAGACAGATAAATATATATAACATCAGGAGGTGCTAAGTGCAAAAATACTCTATGGATGAAAATCCAAAGCAAAAGCAGCATTGTTTAACTATATTATATATTCGTATTCTGTCTAAGTATAGGCTCTCTACCCCAAAACTAAAGTGCACTCCTAATGAAGCATCTAATTCTACATTAATGGCCTTACCAATAAGCAATGAATAAGTGTTGTATAGTAATAAAATGTTTTGTCTTTTTCTCTCAAACTGAAAGTCACATTGGAATGACATGAACAGAGCTTTGTGTAACTAAACAATGATTATAGGTTTCTTTTTAGTAAGTGTAATAATGAGTAAAACTAGTTGCCTTAGTCTACATACAGGTAAGCATCTGTAATAATTGCCGGTAGACACTATTATAATGCTAATGAAGGCTTTTAATGGCATTGATGTCTCTGCCTTCTACATACTAATTACAGCCTTTTATGAGTACAGGTACAGTCCACTACATCAAGTGTATACAATAGTCAAATTTCTATAGCAGATTTTAACTCTTAACATGATTACAGTTAAGGTTAAAATCAACTGCAGAAATTAAGTCATTCTGGGGTGTGTACATTAACATTATAATTAATAGTAATATATGTCACAATATGCCTCAAATTATGGGTGAATATTCTATTTAATATGTAAAAAGTAAAACATTGATATGCACATGCAACTTAAATTAAAAAAATGAACATGCATAAAAGTTCAAGAAACATTTCAATGAACAAAATATTTTGTATAAAATAAAAATAGTAAAATTATAAAGGTGATTGTGATCAAGTTTACCTCAGTCAGTATAGTTTTAGACAAAGAAAAACTATATCTTCATATCTTAAACTAGACTTTGGATACAGATTCAGTTCCATTTTTTCCCAATACACAAATTATAATGGAGTAAAATAAGAAAACTGTACAGATTTAGAATGGTTAAGTACCATATCATCCCAAGACAATCTTCAGCCGTGTTGTAGACACCGAGACCCTCGACTCAAGTAGCAGTCACACAATGCATCATGCACCTTACTGTCCTGTATCAATTCAAGACAGTGTTAGTAATCATCAACATATTAAAAGAGGAGTAGAGTGATACCAAATGATAAGTTAGTTTTTTAACCTGTAATGAAAATAGAATCACCAATGAAATAAATGTCTCATTATTATTTCACCAATAATAACTCAATCTGAAATGGCCATTATAATCATAGATGCTAAAATCTCATTTAAGTATTGAAAGATTATTAAAATAAACCATTTGTAGAGTTTTAAAGAAATGATAAAATTAGGATTTTTTTACAGTTGGGCTATCCAATGAAAACTAGAGTGAAGCTTAAATCAAAACCCCGCAGTCTACGACACAGCGACAAGCAAAGCCTTCGCATGCGTGCCCTAGTATACCTGATCGGCTCTTCGCATGGTGACTTCCTCTCGGTTTGGACACACGGCCTGTCCTCACGGCAGACATAATTATTATGATACCTAAAACTTGTTTGCACACTTTTGTAATACTAACTTGAAGCTAAAATTTATTGATTCAGGAACTAAAATCGTACTCACAATCACTTAAAATAGGAGTTCATACGTCAAATCGCAAACACTTCACAGATCACCTAATAACACAATATTTAATGAATGTAGAGACAGTCTATAAAGATGGATTTATTATTTTTCAGTAAATACATTTCAACAAAATTACACCCACATCACAGAAAACCGTACCGAACAGAGATACATACACAACACAATAGATCGCGAAAATAACTACGACATGACATGAATGAATGACAATATGACAGAGCGCGATAGACAAGCAAGACACAGTACAATAGTACTCTTTTGTGATTGTGACAGAACCTTAGAACCATTGTTATTGTTCCCGCTTCAAGGTGACACACTGTGACCGTTACTCAGCGTTGCCAACTCTACATGTCAAAAAGTCGTTAGCGTGCGTTTGAGAAGTCGCTAGATGTCGCTAGCTATGGACAAAGATTAAAAGTCGCTAGAAGTCACTAAAAGACTGAGCGCGTGCGTATAAAACAGCGCAATACAGTTAGTCACGTACTTCTAATTCTGTATCGTTTTACGCACGGCAGAAGAGGGCACAGTTTTTTGGTCCTTTGGTATAAAAGAAAATAATTTGTTTTACTTATAATAATATTTGTAATCGGTATAAAAACAATTGAAAATAACGAAAAAACAATTACTTGACAAATAAAAAATCAACAACTCAATACTATAATGAAATATAACAAAAAAAAATATTTATCAGAATTTAAAAGTGCCTAAGGCATTAAGTCCGCCAATGTACTTTTTTGTGCATGAAGAATTAAATAAATAAATAAATAAAAGTCAAAAACTTAATACCAAAAAAGATGAAAAAGTTTATTTATTCATTATCAGAACTATCGCTAATAATCAGATAATCTGGAATACTTAATGTATCCGTTCTGGAATTGGAATTAATACCCGAAGTTGATGGCTGAAGCTGCGATGTACGTTTGGCAAACGAATTCCCCGTTGTACGTCCACAAGTACAGCGTTGGGGGATCTCGGCTTAAGTATAAGAATTTACGGCAGCGTTCCGAAATTGTTTAAATATTACTTACTCTGATAAGAGTCTGTAATATTTAAAATATTTATAAAAATATTTATAAATATTTATATAAACTCTAGAAGTCGTTAAAATAGTCGCTAGCTTTTTTTTGTCGCTAGACACATAATTTAAGCCGCTGTTTAAAACGAAATGTCGCTAGATCTAGCGACAAAGTCGCTAAATTGGCAACACTGCCGTTACTTGGATAAAAGTTGGTATTTGACTTTCCTAATCACTTTTCAATTAACATTATAATAGAACAGTGTAATGAAAGTTTTACACATAGTCTAGAGAAAAAAAAAGTTGTATGGGTGGAAAAAAAAGTGTTTAAATATGAAGTTTCATCTTTCATCCATCACTGATATGCCTTTATGATAAAAGTCATTAGACGATCGTTTACTTTCATTAGCATCGATCTTTAATAGTCCTCGTTCATCGTCATCAAGAAGATAAATAAAGAAGGCACTCTTGTAAGAGCGTCATTTACTTATTACGTACGAGTAGATCGATCACGTACTACTGAAATATCACGCATACATTATTGAATGAAATACATACTATAATTATACTTATAATTACTCATGAAAAGTATTTAGTGTTTGCAATCGTTGGAGGAATACGTGGTATTACTAAAATTAGTAAAGTAAGGTAATAATAACACATTTTCGTATGAAATCGTGCACCTGCCGGCTTAATCGCTAACTCAACATATAACCTAAGTCGTTATTACCGCAATGGTTCACAATTTTGAAATGTCAATATTGGTGATCTTCACTGAACTCCATTTTAACATTTGATCTTGTATCGATGAACTATTATTTCTTATTCCGTAAGCATTATAATGATAATGAATATGAACTCCAACGAGTGATTTCATCTAAATGAGGAAGTATTTCAAAAAAAACATTAGTTCCCGAAATCAAACTAGATGTCGCTACGGTACGTTCTTGATTTCTCCATGACAACACTTCCGATTTTCTTTCATGTTTAAAAGTAAATTAGTACTCAAAACTCAATAAAAAAACTTATGTTCTATTTGTACTTTTTCATATTTTTATTGATATCTAAGTTTCGAACTTTTCAAATTTCAGTTTTTTAATATGTTAGTTAAAAGTAATGGAAATGACTGTCTTTGAGCCATTCGTTTCCTGCAAAAATCAACTTTTGCTAGAGTCGCCAGCTAGTGGAGGAGCTTTTTAGTGCTTTTGATTTTATTTTTAAATACTTCCTCATTAAAATATATATACACACACATACAGTGACTTATTAAAAATGAGCTGTTCCCGTTTAGCATTATACTTATCTACATACTATGGTCGTCACTCACTGATAACATCAATCGGGTAATTATATTTTCTAATTCTGGCAACCCACTTATGTAACGTCAGTTTCTATCATTGTCAAAAACATAATTGTCAAATTTGCCACAGCTGATTTGCAATTTATTCTTGAGAACGAAAACTTTTATGTAATCAAAACGATAAATCATCTCTTTAGAGGTACCCACTAGAGATACATTAGTGATCTTCATGTAATCATGAAAAGTTATCTCCTAGTGCCGTAATAAAATCGCTTATTTACAGATGATTCGAAACGTAGCGGTAGGGTCTAGCTTAGTGGCTTTGATACCAACCTTAAAAGCTGCCAGTCCTGTGCAGAATGAGACATCAGGGCCTCCAAAACCACCTCCAATGAGATACACTGACCTACCCATTTACGAGGCACCCCATGCAGAATATGGCGAGTAAGTGTCACTCATGTATAGAAATTTTACGTATTGAAATTTCCTTTGATTTCACCATCAATATTTCCAGATTTGTCGAATCAAAATCTAAGTCTGCCAAGAACAGTTACATCAAGACAGCGCTACAACCACCAGTGAAGGCAGTTCGTGAGCAGGTGCAATATGTTTGGGATCAGACTGAGACAGTTAAGCACACTGTACAAGACCACTATCATGAATTCAGGGACCGGTCAGACTGTTAGTTTCAAATGATTATCACCTACATTCATTTCATTATAATATTAATTGTGGTTAGTAATCACTACTTTGTTCAAAATAGTATTCAAGCATGGGCATGAAAGGGAGGGAGGACCAATGGACTGTGTTTACCCCACAATTACCAGTACTATAAATATTTAAACCTGAAAAATTAAAAGACTAATGGTCAGTTGTACAAATGTCCATTAAGGTTTAATGACACCTTTAAGCTCTAAAGAATGTCAAATTTGTATGGGTAATGTCACTTTAAACTAATGAAAAATTTAATGACTGTTGGTGCAACTGGCTGTAAGAAAAATATTTTTTTTACTATATTAAACACAAACATATCTATATGTAATGCTCAAGTACCAATCATTAGGAACGAGTGGGTCAGGGTACATTCTCCCTATTCGTTTCCATCCATAGGGAAGGCCTGTGCCCCAGCAGTGGAACATTAATAAGCTGGTAGTGATGATGATGTCCACATATTAAATTTTGTCTTCATCTCATAATTTTCATCGAGTGTCTTATTCATTTGTATATAATATGTATATTTGATTTATATTTATGAATAAAATTCAGTTGGTAATTTCATTTAAATTGAAGTTAGTCAACTATTTATTTTATGTGTATTCTAATAATTAACATTACAATTTCCAAGGGATTTTGCAGTATTTACGAGAAGAAGCAAATAAAGAAGCACGCTATGGTGCAGTGGTTATGGGAGGTTTAACTGGATTTATATTTGGCCTTAGAGGAGGGATTTTCAGGGTAAGTTTAGAGATATAAGTATTTTCATGAAGTTTGTCTACACAATTGTTGGTAGAATATTTTAACGAATTAACACAACAACAATGCTTATTATTCCGAGTACATAAAATCTTATTAGAAAAATATCTATAAAAACAACTGTGTGTATTTCTAAGGTTAATATTAAAATATCATTGTGAATGCTTACACCTGTAAATGAATATCAATATCAGTATCCAATGCATGTATTGGAATATCACAAATATGGGAATACTATAAGATTCCATAATATTAATTAAGTTGATAGGGCTATACAGCAATAGAATGATTGCCACATGTCCATTTGGACCGCAAATCAAACAACTACCTATGTTTTCGATCTTCTTTCTAGGTCCTAAATAGGTCAATTGAATAAAATAGATTTTCTTTTATTCCAGAGGCTGGTGTATACAGGTCTTGGTACCACAGGCATGGGGTTAGTTTGTTTCCCAGAAGAAACGAAAGAAATTATCAAAACCAATGGGTCTTTTGCAAAACAATATATTAATATTGCCTACAATTTCCTTTATGGAGGTAAAGTACTAGATTTTATCATTTACTTCAACTAATATGACAATATTCTTAACTATAGGAATATGAAAATATAGTGAAATATTGAAAACTGATTAGAATAATTTAATAAATGAAAACTTTTATAATATGTTGAAAAGTTATAATCTTACCAGTTTTAGGGTTCCATAGTAAACAAGGAACCCTTATAGTTTCGCCATGCCCGTGTTTTCGTCTGTGCGAGGTTTAGCTCAAAAATTATTGGTATGAGAAGCTTGTAATTTGGCATGAGTATACAAGTTAATTACACCGAAAAAGTGGTAAAGTAAAATTTTGGACATAAAAAAAATTGGGTACCTCCCTACATTTAAAGTGGGGATAATATTTTTTTTTTACAAGGATAGTCAACCAATTGTATTTAACTCAAAATTTCGATCAACTTTATGGAAATCAATAAACATGTTTTTTTACTTATTTTAATAAATATAATGGTAAGGAACTCAACGTGTGCGACACGTACACGGGCTTCTTACCATTATCTAGTAATGTTTGACTCGCTATTAAATCATATTACTCTTTTCATTAGTTAAACCTGGAGACCCCCAGCTAGAGATCAAATTTCCCGAATTATCTTTTCCTAAAGATTTCTCGGAATTTGTCGATCTAACTGTGTCAATGGCATCTTCTGTCAAGCAGGCGGTCATGCCTCCTCCAGCTAAGGAATCGTTAGATTCCAAACAATCAGAAAAGGATTAGGTACAATTATTCGTTGTAGGTGGTGGTCTGGTTTTGGCATGCTGCTTTCTTTTTTTTTGTTCTTATTTGTATCTGCATGATGTTTATGTTATATAAATTTTAACTTTAAAGCTGCAGTTGCCGGGGAAATATGTATTGTATGTAGTATATTTTACTTGCAAATCAGTATTTCTCCTTACCTACTCTACATACCTATATCTAGGCCCCACGTTGGGCGCCAATCGCCACGTAATCGCATTATTACAAACTTGTGTAATAGCCTACAACTATGGCGCGAATCTTTATTTCTGCAGAAGACCTATCAATTTCGACGACGACCGAAAGTATGATTAAAATCTATAAGGAGTCTTGTTTCAATAACACATTCACTCACACCTGGCAATGTAAAGGCGCGCGGATCGCCTGACGGCACGCTACTTGTATCATTCTGATTAGCCAACATTTGTCGCACAACGAAATATTTGTTAATATCTTTTTGTATAAATCTATCATTCTATGTTGCACTTGCTAACCAACTTTTTCACGACGTGAAGCATGTCACATTATTATTTAATGCTAAACACTGTGCTATGAATAATGAAGATAGATTTATTTGCTTACAGGTTGCAAAAGCCCAAATCTCTGTAATCGATACTAAGCATTAATCTGCTGTGTTTAAAATAATAAGAGCAGATTTGGCCTTTCATAGTAACCTGATGTGCTGCTGTGTGTTCAAATAGTTTTTCGTTTTACTTTTTTATTTGTAAGGCTTTACTTGAACATAGATAAATTATATTAAGAGATCCATAACATTCTGTTTTCAATTTTTCAGTCTATCTCTTTCAAGATGAACTAGATGAACAATCTGTAAATTGTAAGTTCTTTTTGCCACTGTTGTATTATTATAATTTCAACGATTATGTGTTCATAGTTAAATTGATATTTTTTCTTTCCAGCGTCATCATAATAGGAAACAGATGACTACACTTATATATAGTTCATGAATTTATGATAAATAACTTATTGTTTTGTTCTTTTAACTTATTACAGTGTAAATTGACGATAAAAAGAAATAAACAGTACAATTTGAAATTATTTGTTTATTATTTTTATTTTCTTACATACATATAACTCATGGAACTTGTTGCTGGAAATCTATCGACCCATCTGCTGCCCCAAACCAGTGGTGCTTAAAATTGACATTACAATCTATTTTATCCTGCCTAGATATAATATAATCAAGGCTTCTATGTTGGAAACTTTCAGTTTTCTTGACGGTGGATTGTATATTTATATATAACTGACTTCTGTTCTCATAGAAGTGAATTAGGGACAGATAATAATAATAAATATTTAAAATATGAGCAGAAATTAATAGTTACATGATATAAGCTGGATTTATGGCAGGAAGGTTATGCAAATATCATTTCTTCTCTGCGTTTTTTTGTAACTACGGTACCTGGCTTATGCTGAGCTTCTGGATGATTCATTAATTCAGGTGGACAGGTTGATACAGAACTAGAAAGCAAAACTTGTTTAAGGTCATAAAATAGCGCAGAATCTTCTTTTGTCACAAATGATATGGCTTTACCAGTTTTACCGGCACGACCCGTTCGACCGATACGATGAGTATAATCTTCTATGGTCTTTGCCATATCGTAATTTATGACTATACTAACGTCCTTGATATCGATACCACGACCGGCGACGTCTGTTGCCACTAGTATATCTTTAGAGCCATTTTTGAGACTAGCCAATGCAAAATCACGTTGTTCTTGCCCTTTGCCACCATGCAAAGTACATGCATTGAAACCAAGCTTCTCCAAACCTTTCGCAAGAACATCAGCGCCTTTCTTTTGGTTGACGAAAATGATGATTGGAGGTTCCACTCCACGTTGCAATATCTCGGTGAGCTTCCTACGTTTTTCATTCTCACCTATCATGTAGACTACTTGTTCAGTTCTATCCACAGGTTTGCCAACAGATCCTATGTAAACAATAGCTGGTCGCCTCAAATAACTTCTGGCTAAGCGTTCAACTGCTGGAGGCATAGTTGCTGTAAACATCACAGTTTGTCTATACTTCTTTTTGGTATTATAGTTTGCTAATAAAACAGATGCATCTTCTGCTGCATCAGTATCGGGCTTGATATTTGATACAGGCATATATTCCAAAATTTTTTGCACATCTGGTTCAAAACCCATGTCTATCATACGATCTGCTTCATCAAGAACTACGTATGTGCAACGGTTCAATACTAAATAGCGGTTTTCTAAAACATCTATAAGGCGCCCTGGCGTAGCTATAACTATTTCGCAACCCAATCTTAGTTTAAACCCTTGCTCCTCTCGGGAAAGACCACCAACAACTACTACTGATGTGATACCTAATGGAATACCAAATTTATTAGTTTCTTCTTCAATCTGTTGAGCCAATTCACGAGTTGGAGCCAATATTATAGCATAAGGCCCTTGATCAGCATCTTCCATACGTTCATTTTTAGGTAGCGATTGAATCCAGGTAAGTAATGGTATAAGGAATGCCAAGGTTTTTCCAGAACCAGTTTCAGCAACACCAATGATGTCTCGGTTTTGTAAACCAATTGGAATAGCTTGTCTCTGAATGGGTGTGGGACTCTTGTATCCAACCTTAGTTATAATTTCCATTATATCTTGATGAAAACCTGCTTCTTTCCAGTTTCTTATAGGATTGGGTATTTTCCCACCTTTAATGGTAATATTGTAATCTTCCCTAAATATCCTCCAATCTCTTTCAGTCATCTCATCTTGGTCTTTTTCAGACCAATGGCGGTCATCCCATTTTTGTTTATCTTCCTTCTTTTTGACCTTTTTAAGACGCAATTTCTCTTGTTCTTTTTCTAGTTCAGTTCGACGTTTTTCCAATAAATTACCATAAAATTTGCTGTGATCTTTTTTCTGTGCTTTTATATCTATACCAGCTATGTGACCACGACCAAAGAATTGAACTTGGTGTCTTTCCTTGTAAAGTGTATTGTAATCATTTGAAGTATCTTCTGAAGCATCCCAATCAAAAACAAATTTTCTATCATTAAGTCTTCTAACTCTTCGTTTCTTCTTCACTATACCTAAATACCTAGCTTTAATGGCTTCTTCTTCTCTTTCTTTGTCCTTAGTCTTAGAACCTTCATCATTTTTATCCTTCTTTTCTTCACGACGGTCACCACTTTTCCTGTCATCATATTTACGGTCTCTGTCAACTCGTTCACTTCTATCATTTCTTTCTCTATCGTCTCTTCTATCCCTCTCTTTCTTTTCTTTTTCATCTTCCCTTTTAGATGGGCCTGTCAAATCAATTGTAGTAACATTTGTTCTATCAACATTTGCTCTCATAGCTTCGACTTGTTCTCGCCTCCTTTCTAAGGCCAATGCAGCTCTTTGCTCTTTAGTTAAGAATACTGGCTTACTACGAGCTTCCTCTTCAGCTTTTTTCTTTGCTAACAACTCTTCTAAAGACAGTGGCTCTCTCTTTACAGGTTTGGGCTCTTCTTTTTTTACTTCTTGTTCCTCTTCATCTTGCTTATTATCCTCTTCTTTTCGGTTTTTGTTTTTATCTTTGTCGTCAGTTCGCCTATCTTTACCTTCGCGCCTCTTTGGGCTTCTTGAACGACCGCGATCTTTGCGTGGACTTCTGGAACGATCTCGGTCTTTTTTTGGGCTTCTCGATCTGTCTCTATCCTTCTTAGACGGACTTCGTGACCGCTCTCGTTCTTTTCTGGGACTTCTGGATCTCTCCCTGCGTTTGATCTTCTCCCGATGAGATTCACGTTCGTCGTGACGATCTCTATCCCGCCTCTCTTTAGAACGAGAACGCCGGCGTTCGGGACTTCTATCTCGTGCCATTATTAAACAAAAACTATCTCACTTTTTATATTTCTTCAAAGAAATTAACCACTATATTTATGGTCGTAAAAATCGTAGCTCACGATGTTTGTAAAAGCGCTCATAATAGTACTTGACGTGACATCATAGGTATCATGTTTTCCGAATTATTACTGTACTCTTTGTATCATGTGTCAAAAAAAGGTGTCAATCAAACATATTTTGACGTTTCTTATTTTAACTTTTGAACAATGATGGTAACTCTTCTTATAAACACAGGCTCCAATTTTGTTGTATCACTCTCCAAACTAAACAATCTGACTTATTTTGGGTTTTATTTAAATATTGCGATGTCGTTCGATTTGAATGAATTATTTTAAATGAAATTTCGACGTGACTATTTCTGGTACACTTGCAAATATTCAAAAGGTGTGTCAAATAGCCATCATTTGGTTATAGCCAACTTATATTATTCCTCTATGGTTACAGCCCAATAGAATAAAATAAAACGAACAGCAAATACTCGATCCCTTTGCCTTAAGTTAAAAAGTAATATTAATGACATGAAACGTGAAAATAAAAATACTTTCGTTTTAATTAGGGATGCTCGATATTAAAAAATCATCGATCTTGACATCGGTGTCATCATAGTAAGCCCAACATCGATGTTCAATATTTATCGAAAATTGAACATCGATGTTGAAAAAGAACAATGAGTATTTGCAATAATTTACAAAGAAATAAAATACATTGAATCTTTCGAAATTTATTAGAAAACAGAACAAATCCTTACATATTCCAATATCAAATGATTGAAGAAAAACTAATTTTGATAAGGAAGAACCTTTTAATCTATTTCTTTATGGATTAAGAGTCAAACAAGCTAACTTTCCTAAACATGTATGCAGAGATGTACAAAATACCCTGTACAAAGTATCTGGAATACAAGAAATAAAATACTTTTAAATTAAGTATTTCAGATACTAGACACGAAATACTTTCGAGAAAAGTATTTGAAATACTAGATACAAAATAGGTATCTTATAAATACTTTTTAAAAATACAAATACTTTTCTAAAAAAAGATTTGAATTTAAGTTTGTTTATTAAAGACCACAAAAACCTAAATCTTAGACCAGATGGTTCCAGGGACAAAGTGGATTTTTTAAGCATTTTTCATTAGAAACAACTTTTGTAAGCTTTTATTTAGTTTTCTGTGTTTGTACTCAAATCTAAATACAAGCTAAATTTCACCCACTTTTCCTCCGTTTTATTTGTTTGTCAACCACAATGTAACATGTTAAAATGCAAATATTTAATACATCATCACAATATTTAATGGTTTTTAAAATTAATGGCGTGAGTTGTGACGAGGTGAATGTGCGATAGTATGTAACGGAATGTATATTAACTTTTTTTGCAGAACTACCGAAAATTATGCCCCTTTAGTGTGTTAAGCTAATTTGAAAATTTTTTGTAGAAAATATTTAGCTTCTGTGGTTGATTATAGTACGATGGTTTGTAGGAAAGGCTTATAATACGTAGATATACCTTAAAAAGACGTAGAGTTGGTATTGCTGGTACTGTTGGTAATGCGCCATTAGTTACCATCTGATCGGATAAATCCGGTCTCAACCGGATTTGAAGTATTAATTAAGTCTTTATCTATGAAATTTCCGTTTTTAATAAAATAAATGAAGCTTTATTTTCTTATTTCTATTAATCAAAGTAATCACCCATGCAATCAATACATCTTTGCCAACGCATTGGTAGCTTAATGATGCCTTCTTGAAGAAACCAGCTGGACGGGAGGCAACAAATACTTCAAAGGCATTTTGTACTGCCTCTCGGGAATTTATTTTTTTCCCGCTAAGACGTTATCCAAATTCTGGAAGAATTAGAAGTCTGTAGGCGCATGGTCTGTTAAGTACGGCGGATGACGGAGAACTTCAAACCCCAGCTCTTGTAGCTTGGGTACCGCCAATTGTGTAGTATGAGGTCGTACGTGGTCGCGCAGGAGCAGTGGAACCGAACGATTGACAAAACCTGGTTGGAGTTGTGCCAGCTTCTCCGTCATTGTGTTCAGTTCTTCATAATACACACAGTAAATCTGCAGTAATGCTCGTCCTGTTTGGTAAGAAGCTGTGATGAAATACATCCGCGTTAGACCACCAAACAGCAACCTTTTCGTAAACCAATAACGGGCAAACCAATAACGGGTGTGCGTTAAATGACACCAAACAATGTTTGGATTCGAGTTATTTTTAACTAAATATTCATTGCGTTGATAATTGAACACTTTCTTTTTGTAAATATGTATGTTTTAGGCAAAAATGTTTTGTGATATTTATAAAATGTAAGAAATAATCTTTTTATAAAGTATTTTATCAGAAAAAATATTTAAAAGATACTAAGATACTAAACAAAAGTATTTAAATACAAGATACAAAATACTTCCTAAAAAAAGTATTTTAGATACAAGATGAAAATACGTATTTTGTATCTTGTATCTGTATTTCAAATACTTGTATCTAAGATAAGTCACATCTCTGCATGTATGTACAATATGTATTTCAAGATGTATATATATATTACAGACACAAAAAATCGGCTTTCTTTTTATCAAAATTTCGATTTTTTTTTTTTAATATCGATTAAACATTGTGATCCGAGGGACTTCTTTCGTGAGATGAACTTTAGTTAGTTTAGCATAAGTCATCACCAGAGGTCGGAATTAGGTAGAGTTATTTATGTACTTGCATCGAAATGTTGATATGAATGTGGATCTTCCCGAGATTTCTAATGGACAATCCCGTGTAGCCAACAATCTTACGACTAAATAATAATAACAACGTCAGAGATAGACAAATCAAACAAAGATAATTAACATAAAATTTTTATTAGTTTATAATAATTTACAATACAAATTTTGCAACTTTGGACATCCGATGTCATTGATGTAAGTTTGGCAACGTCATGCGTGCAGTAGTTTAAATTGTGTAAAAGTAAATAACTTTTTATTTAAAAAATCACGGGATTTTTTCTGCTCTTTAAAATTAATCTCGGGATTTGAGGCATATCCACTTTATTCTTTCGATGTATGAAATCAGTGTAAGTACATGAATAACTCTACCTAATTCCGACCATTGGTCATCACTCATACATGCGAAGCTACCCGAAACCGAAGAAAAGAATCCTCCTAAACATTTATACCATCAGTGCAAATCAAAATCAGCAAGTATCGTAAGTATCGTAATCTTCTTAAGGGCAACTTATTTATTTTTGTTCTCAAAATTACCTATAAAATTGTAACAGTCATTGAAGTACGATATCGGGTAATTATAGGGTACCAAAGAGCGCTGAAGTCGACAGATTAATTTTTAACTTCCTTGGAAAATGCAAGCAAAGAAAAAACTATTTGTTTGGTTACTCCAGTTACGATTGCAATCGGTGATATCTAGTGAAAAATTGTTGAACTTGATATACGAGATCATATTGCTAATACATTTAGAGCACGTTAGATGATCCTAAGGATATATAAATATTTTTTTTATAAACATCGATGTTTGGCTAGAAAACATCGATGTGCTGATGTTATTGCAGTTAAAACATCGATGACAAAACAACAAAACAAAACAACACCGATGTGACGATGCTAACGAAGTTAACATCGATGTGCCGATGTTGTCGAATTTTTCTAGCTGAACATCGATGCTTATTAAACATCGATGAATATCGGTCACCCCTAGTTTTAATGCATTTTAAGATTAATCTTGTTGTTGTTTGGATACGTGGACAAATTGATTAAAATAATTAATTAAACAAGTTATTTAACTATTATAAATAAGAATATTTATAAATATTTTATTCAACGCTTTTCTTAAATCACTTAAACAATGGAAGAAACAAAATTAAAGATGTACGTAACCTCAACTGCATTATTACTTAGTTTTGCTGGTGTAGCATATTTTGTTTTAAGGAAGAGAAGGAAGATCCTTGATGTTACAGATGCCTTCAACCATTTGAGTATCAAGATTATCTCTGACGTAGAAGTATGTGATGAGGTGGTGCATGAATTACGAAGGTATGGCGTACGTGTTTGTTAGTCAAAATATTGATCATAAGTTTTATTATTTATTGATTATTATATAACTCTATTAACATTCCATCAAAAATAAATTTCCAGGAGATGTAAAAAATACAAAATAATAGGATTTGACTGTGAATGGGTAACTGATCATGGTAAGCGGAAACCAGTAGCATTGATGCAACTGTCCACTTATGATGGGTACTGTGGCCTCTTCAGGCTTAGTCATTTAAAGTCTGTACCTAATTCATTAAAGGTGAGTTCAATCCCTGATTAATTTATTTAGTATAAGCTGGTTAGTACATGTCAATGTTAAAACACTATGTATAGTGAATCAAATCACAAATCTACTGCAGAAGAGTTTTTGCTAAGCTGTAACTCTTCCGTCCATATGAATATTAGGTGAAGATTGGGGAGGGATGTGAATGTAGATGGAGAGAATTTATTAAAAATATAGTTCACGAATTTTGGTATTAATGCTACTACAGTCCATTGCATTATCGTCACCATTTTTATAATTAGTAAGCAATTTGTTAAGGTGATTGATATTTTTGCTTAACATTGGTAGTTCTAGGATATCCTGAAATTTAGAAGACTTATGACAAATGTGTAGTGGCTTTTTAACAAGTTATCATTTGGGGATATTTCTGTTGATGACTTGTCATTACTGAGACCACAACCATCTGGAAGAGAAGAAGGACAGTTTTCAATAATGGCCTGTTGAGCCGATCAATTGGCCCAATGGGATCCAAGAGCTTGAGACAATAATACAGTTTTTCAGTGTGAAGTTGTACCTGTTGTACAATATCACATACCCTTCTTACATATATCTTATCCTGAAAAAAGGACACAAAGGGAGTGGAAGTTCATATAGGGCATTAATTGTTACAGTAGAAACCATTTTTATACACAAACTAAGCAATTAATATACCTTAAATAACAATACAATATTTTAATCAAAAATAAATTTTCAATAGAATGGAACTGTGCCTCAAATTAAGTTAAGATATTACAAGTCATTTATTTATATTCCATGTCATCCTTCTCTAAATGCATAACAATTAGATTAAAACTGCATGATAACAACAATTAGATATCATGCAGTTTAAATCTACTATTAAAGAAATACTTATTAAAAAAGCTTATTATAAGGTATTAAAGCCGATTATATAACAGATAAGAACGCTTGGACTTGAGATGATCCAGCAACTGGATAGGTGATTACTTCTAAACTCATTATATATCAAAAATTATCATTTTTCAATTATTATTAAATGATAAAGTTATCATTATATTGATGACACGGTTTTTGTAAATGTCAGTACTCTTATTAGAGCTGGTGAGTTTCTTGCTCGTTCTTCTTATCAGCCAATAGACATCCTGAGCGAGTGGCAGGGAAAAAAAATGTTGGACGATTCAAAAGTACTTTTAAGAAGTCTATTTGAATAAAGATTATTTTGACTTTGACTTTGATTAAATGTTTTAAATTAAGCTAATATTGTCACTAATATTAAATGCATATGTTATATTGGCTAAGTACACAAATATGTTACATTTAGCTGCTTCTACTAAGCACCAGATGACACTATTGTAACATAATAATAACATACGGATGAGCTAAAATTGTTTCGTCAAAAATTTTAAAACATGTTATTTGATAAATGTTTTTATTCAGTAAGTGCGTTTTTAAATTAAAGATTTTATTTGGAACACTTTAATTGAATGACATATAATAGTTAACAACTAAATACCTGCAAATAGTTTAAGTTATTGTATGCTGTTTAACAGTAGAATATGAGATACTTATATTGTTTTCTTTAATTTAGTAGTTGGTTATGAGTAACTAAGTTTCCATAATCTTTGCGTTATATTTAAAAAAGAATTAAACATTTTTTTTCGCTTTCCAAGCTATCTTTAATACTAACGTTCACAAGTCAAATAATTGTAAAAACTACAGAGGTTTTGATTGTTTGGGTCTACTAAAGTAGTTCAACACTAATTGAGTTTTTGTTCTTAAATAACGTGAAATACTGTAAAAATCCCTTTTTTTAACAAATACATGTGTTTTATTTGCAAAATAATAAACCAGTATGAGTCAACTCGATCAAGAAGGGTTCAGAACTGAAACAAACAAATAAAATCACGTTTTTTGTATGGGAGACCCCTTAAATATTTATTTTAAACTGTTTAATTGTCACGGTTCATGATATACAGCCTGGTGGCAGACAGACAGACAGCGAAGTCTTAGAAATAGGGTTGTTGTTTTATCGTTTGTGTATGGAACCTTAAAATTGAAAGATTCTGCCGAAAGTCAATATTCCATACGGACGAAGTCGCGGGACCAGCTAGTGTATTATTAAAAAGGGCTTATCACTATCAATGTATTGTTTGTTTCGTTTATAGATGGATTGGTGTATAGACCGGGAGAGTTGACCCTGGCGTCTGTCTGACTAACTTCTGTGATTATTCTTTTAGGTGTGTTAATAAATTCGGTTTCAATGTCATTTCAACGTATGTCCTGTCTATGTGAATAACGAAGTAGAAAGTTCGATCATTGGTAGTGGAGTAGAAGGTCGGTCCGAAGGATCCGGAGGTTCAGAAAGGGGTCAGTGTAAAGGACAGGGAAACAGAAATCTATAACTACTTACCAATACCAGCGGTTGTACTAAATACAAACACTATATTTGGTAACTCCACGTAGAAAATGGGCTAATATTCATTAAATAAATAAATAAATATAGCACGTGTAATAACTAACACATGCTAGGGCAGAAAAAAAGCATTCTCTGTTATATGGTTTATTAGGAACATTCCTATATATAACAACTGTCTTGTATTATACACAAAAATCTTCCTTTTGAATCAGCCTATCTATAAAAACCGCATCAAAATCCGTTGCGTAATTTTAAAGATTTAAGCATACATAGGGATATATAGGGACAGAGAAAGCGACTTTGTTTTATTCTATGTGGTGATATTATCTTTCGCCAGCAGCTACGCTCTCGTGGTTTCTAGGGAAATGTTTAGTAGGATAAAAAGTATTCTATTATGTAGGTCAGCTAATACCCTATCTGTATATCAAACTTCATCAAAATCCGTTCAGTAGTTTCGGCGTGATTGACGGACAAACATCCAAACAAAGAAACTTTTACATTTATAATATTAATAGGACTCATCACCAAAACAGTGGCAACATGCAATTGATTGAGTAAACCTGCCAGCCTGCTTACGGACCTTGTTGTTTACTGACCAATTTCAGTTAAAAATACATGTGGTATTTTTTATGAATAAGTAAACTAATTTTGTTTGGTTATTTCAGAATCTTTTAGAAGACAGGACAATTTACAAGGTTGGAGTGGCGCCCATTGACGATGCCAAGTACCTCTTCTATGATTATTCTGTTGCAATCCATTCTACATTAGATGTCCGCCATATTGTTGCTTTAGCTGGTTATCATACAGGGGGTTTGGCTTCACTTTCTCAATCTTTACTGAATGTTACTTTGGATAAGAGCTGGAGGGTATGTAGATGAGTCAGTTTATTCAATTTATCTATATATCTCCATACAGTGAGCAGATAAAATCCGACTTCATATACTTATGAGTAAAGGCTATTATAAAGTTGATGGTTATTTTATGGACCGCAATGCATGAAATTAATAGCCTTCACTTTTTTCTATTATGACTAACTATATGTCATACAGACTTTGAAAATTTTATTTATTATTGTTATAATACATACTATTATGGTAATGACATGATTTATGTAAATGTCATTACTTATGATAAGGAGCTGGTGAGTTTCTTTCCCTCGTTCTTCTTGTCAGATAAAAGACGTCCTGAACGAGTGGTAGGGGAACATTTTTTTTTGGATGAGCCAAAAGTGCTTGTGAAAGACATTTTCTTTTCTATTTCATTTCTCAGAGTCAATATAGGCAAAGACATTCACGGGTTATCCAAGGTGGTCGTAGTACTTTAATATGCATAATATCAAATATTAATTTTTGCTACAAGAAGCACTGCAAAAAAGTTTTATTGACATGTATAAATTTTTTTTGTTGCCCTTATGTTTAATGTAGATATATCTTTTTGTGTAAAGGTTCGATGTAGTGATTGGGAGGCAGAGGAATTGTCTGCAAGACAAGTGAATTATGCTGCAGCCGACGCTCATGTTGCTTGCAAAATTTTCATAAAGATGATTGATAAAATATCTAAGCAAAATGTTTGGAATATTTTTAATACAAGAACTAATGAGACCTGGGATAACTTGGACAAATTATGCAGTCAATATTTAGATATAAATTTTAAAAGCAAGAAGGATAAACCAGATGTCAATACTAAGTAAGTATTGGAAGCAAAGTATATAGTCAATTCAGTTCAGTCCACAATTGCTGAATATTAAAAGTTTTATGTTTCTATACAGACTATGGTTATTGAGCGTATGAATTAAATCATCTGAAAAACAATAATTATGTTCTATTTGTAGTGGCAAGCAGTATAATAATAAAAAGAGAGAGAAAAAGAATTCAGCATCCGCTAGATCGAAGCCATTATACACCAACAGCTTTCTAGAAGCGCCTGATGGTGAACTTCTGTGTACATGTGACTATAAAAAAGCCATGTGGTAAGTTCACTTTTCTCAATGTTTGTAATTATCACTAAGTACTTCAGTGGGCTTCAGGAAGTATTTGTTTCGCACAAAATTAAGTTTAAGCTCTCACTCTCATCAGTCGTTTAGGCGTAGTCTCCACGAGCGAGAGAATCGCGACTAGTTCGCGTTTCTGTCGTCGGTTCATCTCCACGAACGAGCAACTGTTCCGCCAGCGTGTCGTCACCACCTGTAACGGAATCGCAGCGTGTCCGCAACGACTCGTCGGAATCGCCGCATTTCCTTGACGATGCGTTGTTCTTTTATTTGTTGGATGCTAGACGAGAGCAAAATAAGTATTTTCTCAGAAAATAAAATTATACTTTGTTATGTATCTTGTTTAAAATGCCTTATTACGCTGCGATTGACAGCGCACTCGCGGAGGGCGATACTATGTGGAGACGCGTTAACAGAGAGTGTATGGAAATACGTGGCACGACGGTAATATCGCTGCAATTCTCTTGCTCGTGTAGACGGCGCCTTACTTAATATATCAATCTATTAACATTAATCTATATTTTGTGTAAAGACTTAAAGAAAATATCTCTTACAAAATTAATAGTAGTTCTACAATTTGGTTAAATAAATTGGTGAATATGTTTCACATATAGTAGTTTTATCTTCCAAAATTGGAGATATCTCACTTCTTACCGTTTGCTTTTACACATACCTCGATGATAATTTTTTATTACTTCTGAATTTGAAACTTTCTTTAGAGATTGTGCTTTTTCTATGTAAATGTCAACCATTAGGTATATAGAGAAAGAACTAGCAGACATAGTGAAGGAGTCGCCATTCACAGTTCGCCTGAGGTTCGAGCCAGCGGCGCGTTCTGTAGGGGAAGTCGGAAAGTACTATCAGATTGCCAAAGAAAACTGCTGCGTCGTGTGTGGAGACACAAACTCTTATATTAAAAAGAACGTTGTGCCTAAGGAGTATAGGAAATATTTTCCTGGTAAGTGTTGTCTGGGTCACAATTTTTAATACAATCTCGTTGACAATCAGGGGTGTCTATGAGAAAGTATTAAAAAAAGCACCTCCCCTAGATGGCGACTCTAGCAAAAGTTGATTTTAACAGGAAACGAATGCACCAAACATGGTCATTTCCGTTCCTTTTAACTAACATGTTAAAAAACTGAAATTTGCAAAGTTCGAAACTTATATATCAATGCAAATACGAAAAAGTACAAATAGAATATGAGTTATTTATTGAGTTTTGAAAACTAATTTACTTTTTTACACGAAAGAAAACCGGAAGAGTTGTCATGGAGAAATCAAGAAAGTACCGTAGCGACATCTAGTTTGATTTAGATTGTTCAGCTAAAATTAAGTTAAATTCTGCAGCCCTCTGAAATGTCTGGTGTTACAATATGAAGTTCGATTGTCCAGATGTGATGAAGGACCACTCGTGCCACGACGTGTTGTTGTTGTGCCTGTCGTGCCACCAGCGCAGCAACATGGCGGACCTGCGCGTGCGCCTGCGGCTCGCGGCGGAGTGCCGCGCGCCACTCACCAATAGGGAATATAGCCGGTTCACCGAGGACCACGATGTCAAGTAACTACATCATCTACATAAATATTAATGAGAAATACTTAACAAATCCACATCGGGTTCAATCCCATCTCAGAGTACCGGGGATAAAGACCATACGTCATTATCAGAGGTCGGAATTAGGTAGAGTTATTTATATACTTGCATCGAAATGTTGATATTAATGTGGACCTTCCCGGGATTTGTAATGGACAATCTTGGACATCTTTGGACATCCGATGTCATTGATGTAAGTTTGGCAACGTCGTGTGTGCAGTAGTTTAAATTGTGTAAAAGTAAATAACATTTAATTAAAAAAAACACGGGATTTTTTCTGCTCTTTAAAATTAATCTCGGGATTTGAGGCATATCCACTTTATTCTTTCGCTGTATGAAATCAGTGTAAGTACATGAATAACTCTACCTAATTCCGACCACTGGTCATTATACTATGAAAATAAAATATATACCATAAAATATACCAATATTGCCGTTTCAACATTAGTCAAGAGTCTAATTTTCTTAACAGCAAATGCTGCAAAACTCAGTCTATTTGACAAGTTATCAATATAAGGATCCCATTGCAGTCGAGAATCTAGTGTAATACCAAGGAACTTTGTCGATTCCAACTCAACTTTTTCACTATTTACATTTATAAGTGTACTAACATGCCTCACATTAGGTAATGCAAACTTTATGAATAAGCTCGAAAACAACAAAACAATTTCGATTTTGTGTATGTCGCAGTAAAATAAAAATAGCCGTAATATAGTTGTATCCCCAGGAATATAATTATATACCGGAACATATAAAATTTTCAATTTGAAATGAAATGAAAATATATACACAGTCACATTTGAAATGAAAATAGCTTTATTCAAGTAGGCTATTACAAGCACTTTTGAATCGTCCAAAAAATTTTTTCCCCTACCACTTGTTCAGGACGTCTTTTAGCTGACAAGAAGAACAAGCGAAAGAAACTTACCAGCTCTTTATCATAAGTAATGACACTTACATAAATCATGTCATTACCAAAATAATATATATTATCTCAATAATAAATACAACCTTCAAAGTCTGTAGGACATAGGTTGAACATATAATTAGTCTTTATAGAACAAAGCGAAGGCTATTAATTCTATGCATTGCGATCCTTAAAATAATCATCAACTTTATAATAGCCTTTACTCATAAGTATATTAATTCCAAACCTTGTTGTTTAAGATTCAAATTAATGTCAACCTTAGAGTGGTAGAAGATATTTTTTATTTCTTTTACACCAAGGAGTTGCAAGAACATATCGATAGTGGAAAGGCAAAACTGCTAAAGCGCCAAATAGGCCAAAATGAGTTATATATATGTTTGAATAGGATTTTTTTTTCTGCGTCGATTGGTGCGGGTCTCACATCAATCCGATGACATTTTTGGCGCTTTAGCAATCGCATTTGTAAAGGAAAATCACAGATTTGTATTTCTAAAGCGCCATAATTTCAGTGTTTTTTAAGTTTTGGCGCCTCAGTAGTACATTTTTTTGCCACATTGTAGTTATGACACTTTTCTTGCCGTCGTTCTGTTTATTTTCATTACATACGCACTTTTTCTTGTCTATAATTTCATTGACTAATGCACAATAGCAATTTAGCCTTTTCGCACATTAATATATAACTGCTTATTAGTCAGTTTTGTTGAAGATGAATTTCAATGATTTATCACATTAGCAAAATTTGTTGCGCGCGACATAAGAGCGGTTGGCGCTTTAGCAAAATTTTCCTATTTATAATTTACTCATCACATTCTATTAGTAAAAAAAAAATAACGCCAATCTATCAAAACAAGTTATTTATCTGGAAGTTAGCAAAATAAAAACCTATATTCAAAAATTAGAATTACGTTTAGTAATAATGTTGATAGCTTCCCGGGTTAAACGCTTATTCAGGCCGAAACGTGTTAGAACTAGTCCTTGCATCTTTGACTCGTAACATCAGTGTAGTGATCAGTTTCTATTGGGCTAGCTTGGTGAGTGATCGCGTGACCATAATAGTAAATAAAATTGCTAAGACAACTAAACAATTATTTGTTTATGTTGGTGTTATCCCATAAATGCTGTAAATTGATTGAAAGTGATTGGTGTCTGAAAAAAAAGGTATGTACACGATAAGTTATAAAATTTTTGTTTACAAATCGACTTTATTTAGGTATCTATAATAAAAATTTGATAATAAATATATAATATAAAAATAATAAGATTATTTTGCTATTGGCTTTTTGATTTGTTTTTTTTTATTAGATTTTAACAAAATAAGTTTTGATTACCTGTCAACATTAGGTACTTATATTAATATTTTTGAAAATCAATACCATGGTATAACATGGTATCGTATTGATCGTAACCTATCGTATCATCGTCATCAGCCTTTTTTATGTCCCCACCGCAGGGGCACAGGCCTACCTTATGGATGGTTAAGGAGGATGCGCCATAGCCCTCCACGCGGGCCCAATGCGGGTTGGAGGGTATAACGGCTGCTAATGCAACCGGGACCAACGGCTTAACGTGCCTTCCGAAGCACGGAGGAGCTCGAGATTGAAAAGTTTTGGTCACCCATCCTGTGACTGGCCGTTGCGAACGTTGCTTTACATCAACGATCGCACGCCGCGGCGCTGCGCCATCGAGCTCCTCGTATCGTAACCTATGTTCTAATATAATCGATAACAATACTAAAGGAATGTGTGTTTGTTTTAGGTTTTTTATGAATAATGGAAATTAAACGTAATGCCTATTTCAAAAAATACGCAAAAAGTCAGTCTTCTGAAAAAGAAAAAGTCGATGTAACAAAGTTACGTCATGCGAACACTATGGACTACTTAAGTATACAAGATCATACTCATACCATCCAAGACGATGATGCTGACGTTGTGACTTCAGTGCAGATCTCACCATCTCGTAACCCCCATCAACCCGACATTACAAGTAATGTTTCAAACCCGATAATACCTTACCTGGAGTCTTCTCCTGTTGAACTTGTGAAATCTGATTCAGACCACGCCTCGATCCAAATGATGCAACCAAATTCAACACCTGAACACCTAAACTGCACTACAGCTTCTGAGTTGTATAATCCCTTAGTTAAAGACTGTTCAGACCAATTGACATTTCAGTCAATGTTAACTCCTAAACTTCAAAAAACAATCTTCGAGAAAGGTGCATCAAATCAGTTAGCCCATCAGTTCGCGCCAGCTGCTGAGCTGCAGCAGTCAGACTGCGCAAGTGTCACTTCAGAGCAATTGACATCAGCTCTTCAGCTTGAGCAGAGAGACTTAGTAAACGACGCTTTAGAGCAGATGTTGCCAGAGTCTATATTTGTCCCCAAATGTCATCAATCTGATTTTGGTAATAGTACGTCGGACCCAATGTCAGATCAGCTCACACTGACTTCAGAACTTCGGCAGCCGGAATTCGAGGATGCCACTACAAGCCATGTTTCATTTCAGCCTACGCCGAATCCTGATTTCACAGTGTCTGAATATGGCAACGTTTCGGGTCAAATATTACCACAGATTACACCTGCTTCGGAACCCGAGCTTTTGACCGAAAATGTAATTTTGCTTTCTAGAGAAGAGGAGATTGAAGTTTGCTTGCAGCAAATTCATTCTAATGATAAAAATGATCAAAGTGAAGTTAATTATATTAGGATTGAACTTGAAGAAGATACAAACGGCGTTTTGGAAAAAAATGATGATAATGAAAGTAAAACAGGCAAGGAAACATATGAAGAAGGCAAAAAAAATCAGAAAAAAAATAGTACTACAAAAAGGAAATATCTAAGTCGCAAAGGGAAATCCAAAAAGAGTAATAAGTTACATGAAATCAAACACAAAAAAGCTGACGATTTTCATGAAAAACCTGGATGTAGTAAGCAAAATACCGAAAATATTCAAACCCGGCTTGAGAAGAAACAGGAAAGAATTATCAAGCATATAGATTTTTTGTCAGACGACGAAATGTTTACTTTGTATTCTTCTTCTTGGGACGAATCAGATGAAAGTGACAGCTCTAACATATCAAATGCTAATAGAAAAATTAAAATCCAAACGAAAAACATGAAAAAAGCTGAAAAAGGAAACAAAGACAACCATTACTTGACGTCAATAGAAAATTTAGAAAAAGAGATAAATACAAATGACATTAGAAAGAAACAAAGGAAATTTAATAAACGTAAAGACCGAAGTTTTTTGAAAAGATCCGGGAAACGATATATTACAATGAAAGGAAAGGTAGTAGACGCTAGATCTCTAAAAGAAAATCCATGTAAGCCTAATGGTAAATGTCCTAATGAATGTTATACTATATCAGAAGAGAGAAGAAAAACTATTTTTGATCACTATTGGAGTTTGAGTGTTGAAAGACAACGTGATTGGATAGTAAGCCATATTAAGAAAGAAACAGTAAAGCGAAAGCGCACCAAAGATATAGAAAGCCGAAGGCAATTTACATACAGATATTGCATTAACGATGGAGAGGGCCAAAGACCCGTGTGCATGAATTTCTTCATGAATACATTAGATGTTCGACAAAGGAATGTTCATCTACTAGTTAGTAACTCGGAATATGGAAGCTCTAAAAGTGACAAAAGAGGCAGAGGAGTACCAGCAAATAAAACTCCTCCGTCATTGATAAACTACGTAAGGGAATATCTTCAAGAGTTACCAGCTGTTCCTTCTCATTACTGTAGGAAGAATTCAAATAGAGTTTATTTGCCACAAGAGTACAAAAATTTAACAAATTTATACAAACTTTATAAGTTACAGAATATAGATGCAGGGAAAGAATATGTTGGTGAAAAGGTATTTAGGAATATATTTAACACAGAATTCAATATTTCATTTCATGTTCCCCGGAAGGACAAATGTGTAAAGTGTATTAAGTATGAAAACAGCTCGGAAGAATTTAAAGAAGAAAAAACTAATCACTTACAAGACAAGGAAGAAACGTATTCGAGATTCCAGGTTCATCAAGATCTTCATAATCATGATAGTAGTGTCTTATGTTCAACATTCGATTTACAAAAAGTGCTTAACACTCCATATGGTGAAAGCATGTTGCTCTATTATAGCAGGAAGATTGCAACATATAACTTAACATTCTACGAATCCGTAACCAGAGAAGGGTTCTGCTTTCTATGGAATGAGGTAGAGGGCAAACGAGGAGCAAATGAAATTTGCACCATTTTAGCAAAATACATCAAAATCGTAGATGAAAGAAAAACTATAAAACATTTACTACTATATTGTGATGCTTGCCCAGGGCAAAACAAAAACAAAATTATTTTGGCCTGCATTTCCAAAATTCTCAATCTATGTAAAAATATTATGACAATACAGATTAACTATCTTCTACCTGGGCACACCTTCATGCCGGTAGACTCAATGCATTCGGTCATTGAAAAAAGTGTTACAAATACCATCATATGGGCACCATCCCAATGGCCGACTGTCTGTTCCCTAGCACGAAAAGCTCCAAAACCCTACGAAGTTGAAGTTTTATGTTACAAAGATTTCGAAGGATGGGACACAGTATCCGAAAAATACTTCAAAGGCAACCTTACGGGTAAAATAAGTAAGATTCGGATTGCTACCTTTAAAAAAAATAATCTCACTCGCATGGAGGTCAAATACTCTATGTGTGATAAAGCAAAATCAGAGTATATCGATATTATTGGAAAAATCGACCTCATGCCCAAAAAAATTTATAAAACCAGACTCCCTATTTCCAAAAAGAAATATAATGATTTGGAAAAATTATGTAAGAATAGAACTATTCCTGCAATGTATATTCCAGAATACGAATCATTACCGCAAGCTGCCAATATACAAGACTGTCTACCTGATACAGACGTAGAAGATACTGTGGAAGACTAAATTAAAATTTTAGAGTTATTTAAATAATTATCATTGATTTGTTTATTAATTATTGATATCTTGAGGCTAGCATTTTCATTAAATTTTCTGTTGTAATTGTATTCAATAATGAATATTTGTTGAAATAAGATATCATTCGATGGTTCATTAATGTGTAAGAAAATAATTTATCAGTAATTGTTATGAAAGAAAGTTATATTATTTTTTGTTAACTTAATTATGCAAAGATTGTGATTATTTTTAGTTCATAAAATTCCTAAAAAAATCTGAATAAAGATTATTTAATGCGACAATGTAACTGATACCAAATTATCTGATTTTCGATCTGTTTTGTTCCAATATTTTTGTAACTACAAAAAACTTAATTGAATAAATATACTTATGTTGATTTGCAATACTAGTTTTTATTTTTGTTATTTATTGTTAATAGCATTTTTTACCATTCAAAATTGCTACTTAGTTCATACATTTAGATCTTTTGTTATTGTATTATTCGAAGTAAAAGGCCTTTAAGATTTTTTGCCTCACTACAATTTATTAAGTTCATAAGGTTAGCTATATTTGCTGCCGACATTGTATGTATATATTGCTGCTTAGTAATTATTGAGTTTTCAATAATAAGTTGTAATTCTCCATTAGCAATTTCGGCTCGATTGACCTGATTCATCTATATCACTTAAGCATTTTTTCCAGAACCATAGTAAGTAGTAAGCCGAGACGTTTTTGCTAAAGCGACATGTATTTCACTTGTTAAAATAGTTATTAATCTGCAAAGATATTCTAAATTTAGATAAAAAATCACTTATCATTATATATAAAAATGAACTTCATTAGATTAAAAACAAAGAATTTATAAATTTATTTGTAAAAAGAAAAACTTTAGAATTCATTTCCCAAAAGTGCCATTGTAGCGTGTTAGCAGTTTTGCCTTTCCACTGTCGATATGTTTATTTCCAATAGTTGTAATATGCACTCGCATCTATCTCAGGAAAGTTAAATCGGCGGCCCGCGCCCTCCTTCATCAGCGTGATAAGATCCCGGAGGAAAGACGAAAGCAACTGGAAACTGTTGTTTTAAACTATTTTCCGGAGCAGAATGAAGTTACACAGGATCTCTTGATAGAGGCAGCGGATCTGGAAGCCTAGTGAGTAGTGTATATTAGAAGTCACTTGCCTGTAATACCGACTGGTGTGAAAAGTATACAAATATTTTTTTGTCTGTTTTGCTTCAGTAAAAAACAATAATGAATGTAAATTATTTAGGTACCCACGGTAGCACGCCAGGTTACCGCAATATATCAAATTTCTTCAGTTGATTTTAATCTCTATCCACTATGTATTTAGGTTTTAAATAATATGGACATATTTGTATGATGCGCTGTTGACTGTGCATTTTATATACATATTTTGCATCATTTATCAGTTGCACAACTATCCATTTTTGCTGTCCATTATTGCTGCTGAGTGTTTTGCTTTGTGCCTATTATACATATAATATACTATTTATGTATAAATACTGTATTATACATAATAAATACTATATTATACATAACGCGTGTTTATATATAATATAGGGAACTATAGGTTTGTTTTATTGTTAAGATTCGTGCTCATATAATTAATAAACAGTTTTATCCTCGAATAAATAAATAAAAAAAAATATATCTTGGGATTTATCTCTTAAGGTACAATACGTTAATTTTCAGTGTGGAGAACGCAGATTACTCTGCGCACGGTTTGAAAGTGGTGGAGCATTACGCGAGTCGGGAGGGCGGTCTGCTGCGACTGGAGAAGCTCTGGCGGCGACACTTCCTGCAGACGATGCGGCCCACGCACATGCCCCCGCTGTGGTCCGTCGCACACAATGAGGAGAGGTGAGCTGTTATATCATATTATTATATGCCAGGACTACGTGGGGTGGATTAGTTATGTATACTGAATAACTTTTATTATGGCAGCAACATGGAATTCACTAAAAAGAATTAGCTTAGTGAAGAATTAACTTTCGGGCAGGTATGTGCGGATGGGGAGACCCATTCACCCCTATCAAGCGGGGACAAAAGACGGTTATAAAAAACTGAATTTTCTCCAGTTGATATTATACCTTAAGAACCAGAGGTCGGAATTAGGTAGAGTTATTTTTGTACTTGTATCGAAATGTTGATATTAATGTGGACCTTCGTGGCAACATCGCGCGTATTGGTATTTTGCAACTTTGGACATCCGATGTCATTGATGTAAGTTTGGCAACGTCATGCGTGCAGTAGTTTAAATTGTGTAAAAGTAAATAACTTTTTATTTAAAAAATCACGGGATTTTTTCTGCTCTTTAAAATTAATCTCTGGATTTGAGGCATATCCACTTTGTTCTTTCGCTGTATGAAATCAGTGAAAGTACACGAATAACTCTACCTAATTCCGACCACTGTTAATAACATAAAGGGTAGATAAGTAAGACGGGTTAATACAACCTAATATGCTATTTACTTATTACATTTATTTTTTATTAATTTTTGTTTTCTTAGGTTGCGTGTGCGTTTATTAGATGGCCGACTGACAGATGAAGATATGAGATCGATAGGTCTCCTGAGCTGGATTAAAGAGAGGCAGGCGGTTGCTCCTCTTCAAAATAAGGTCGACGGATGAACGTGTGTGTCTTATTTGAACATTTGGTATAACAGAAACCATTGTATATGTTAATGAGGAAGTATTTAAGAAAAAAAAGAAAGCACTAAAAAAGCGCCTCCACTAGATGGCGACTCTAGCAAAAGTTGATTTTTGCAGGAAACGATTGGACCAAAGATAGTCATTTCCGTTCCTTTTAACTAACATTAAAAAACTGAAATTTGCAAAGTTCGGAACTTAAATATTAATAGAAATACGAAAAAGTACAAATAGAATATGAGTTGTTTATTGAGTTTTTAAAATTAATTTACTTTTATACATGAAAGAAAACCGGAAGGGTTGTCATGGAGAAATCAAGAAAGTACTGTAGTGACATCTAGTTGGGTTTCGGGAACTAATGTTTTTTTTAAATACTTCCTTCTTTGTGGCAGAAAATAAGGATGAAAGCGTTATTAAGAAAAAAAAAACACTATTTTTATATTGTCTAAAGTATCTTGTTTCACCGGGAAATCTCCAGGATGATATTACCTACGAAAAAGCGCTAGGGAGTGTTTGCAACTGAAAGAGCTCTGGACTAGCAAGACCAGTCTTATTTCTTTTTATAGATGCTACAAACAATTTTCAGGCCCGATGTCGCAAAAATTATTCACGTTGTATTATATTGATGTATTATTAATAAAAAAATGTGATTAATGTAGATTTTCATGAGTTTTAATACTTCAAAAAAGTAATTCAAGCGATCTAATTATACTGGCTCAAGATTATATAGTAGCTCTGTGGCGTAGTGGATAAGGATGGGTGCGCAAAAAAAAATATCTCAAGCTACTCCGTGCTTCGGAAGGCACGTTCAGTCATTGGTCCCGGTTGCATTTGCAGTTGTTAATACCCTCAAATCCGCATTGGGCCAGCGTGGAGGGTCATGGCCCATCCTCCTTAATCATCCACAAGGAAGGCCTGAGCCCCTGCAGTGGGGACGTTAAAGGGCTGATGATAAAGACTACATATCTATAATCCTATGCTACATAGTTTTATTTATGAATTATAAAATTTCCCAAGACCATGTGGATTTCCGTGGTCAAAACAAAATGTAGAGTTGAAACTTGCTTTATGTTAAATTATATAAATAATTTATTTTTATAATAGACTTATATAAATGAAATTTCCGATACTTGTGTGATGAAATATCATAAACTGCATAGGGCATAATGTACATAAGAATTTTTATTTATGACAAAGAATAATGTGCAAAAATTGTTACCTATGTATTAAAATAAAAATTTACAATCTCACTCTTCTGTCGTTTGTGTCTTCGTCTGCTGCTGCAGATGCAAGTACTATCCCCAAAATGAAAATTATGAGACCAGGGATTACATTTGACTACTTGGTTGATCCTTGGCGTGCGGTGCCATGTGTACCTGTAGCCTGCGGGCGTCTCTAGTAACTCGCTCGTGCCGCTTGATTAGGCCGCTAGTCTGGGGTAATGTTGGCTGAATGTATAAAAACTATAACCAAATAAAAATTAAAACACTAAGAGGAAAAAGTGATGAATCGTAAATTGAATAATAGCAAACCGAAAAAGACATTGATTTATCGTTTTTTTTTCTCTAAAATAAAGTTAATACTTATGTTTTTTGTTGAGAAATTACATATTTAACCAAGAAAAACCTGATGAAATTGAAGATTTTAGATAGAACATACTTAAAGATTATTAAAAAAGTACAAACATTTTTACAAAAGATACTTACTGATCGATATCGTAAACATTTTAGGTTCACTTTACTATAAATTAGATAGAAATCTTTTCGAGCGCAATTGCAGTATATTTTTGCACGATATATAATAATAATAATAATAATAATAATAATAATTCTTTATTGAGTAACTACATAGCGTAACAAATCAATTTGCCCTGTCTCCCAAATTAGGTTGCCCTGTATGTCAGGAGTCAGTGCTCTCTTAAGTATTACATTTTGGCTTATGCAGACTAAGAAATGAAATACCAAAGGAACAAGAGAGATAAAATAAATAAATAAGACTTTTAACATTTACAAATTATTCTATTAGGTTAACCATGCTAGAACCAGGTGTGTGTGTGTGTGTGTGTGTGTGTGTGTGTGTGTGTGTGTGTGTGTGTGTGTGTGTGTGTATGTGTGTGTATGTGTGTGTGTGTGTGTGTGTGTGTGTGTATATAGCAAATTTATTTGTCTCGCAAAATGTTATTTAAAGGAATTATATCTTCATATTAATTTTCATTAATTGAAATTGTCCCGCGATAACAAACAGAGCCGTGACGTCACATATCAGTAAATAGACAGAGTTCGTGACGAAAATGTGCAAGAGGTTACTAAATCTTGATATTTCAGTATGTTGAAGTACAGTATAAGTATGTTGAATACATCTCTCAGTATCCAATGCGGAGGACAGGCGTTGGTGGCTGCGGCGTGAAACAAACTTCCAGCGTTGCTGATTTTGTTTATTCCTTTAATTGAAAGTATTATTTCATGAACACCAGCTTCTGAGATTTGTTGAGTGTTTCACGATTATGTAATCTAAGCTCTTAACTAAACTGGAGAGACTTTTATTTTAAGTACGAAAAGTTAACGAGCCTTAATGAGGAAGTATTAAAAAAAACATAAGTTCCCGAAACCAAACTAGATGTCGCTAGGGTATTTTCTTGATTTTTCCATGACAAGCTTTCCGGTTTTCTTTCAAGTTTAAAAGTAAATTAGTTTTCAAAACTCAATAAAAACTCATATTCTATTTGTACTTTTTCATATCGCACGTTGAGAATAACAATGTCACTAACCAAAAATGACGTATTTTTTACTTTTGGCAACATTTTTCTTTGGTACCTATAGGGTATGTTCCGATATACACTGCGAGCACTGCGCAGTGGTCTTACTGCTGAAAAATCCGTTCCGTTATGGACTGCCAGTACACTGCTACAGTACCCTAGGGAAATTTATGACGTCATAAATTGCCGCCATATTTGTACTGTGAGCACTGGCGATTTCGAGGTAAGGTGCTCGCAGTGCTTTTGATCACGTGATCAGTCGAAACAAAATCAGAAAATGATAAGTTTCTAAATAAACAAAAAAAATTACTTACGTTTATTTATAAGATGGATTAAATTGATAAATAATTTTTTTATACAATTTTCCATTTTTTTTTTTGAAAAGAGGGAATCTTTATATTTATATTCACCTTGCATTAACAAATTTGAAAATGGCGCCAAAAATAGGATTAACAGTTTCCGTATTATTACTGTACTCTTTGATTAACAGTATACTGGACTGCGTTCCGTTTTAAAAAGTCACCAATATAACTAGCTATAAAGAACCGGGCTTCCAGTATACTAAATTGACGTCATACTGTTCAGTGGTCGCAGTGTAGGATATCGGAACATACCCATAAACTTTAAAATGCAAAGATCCCTGTGAACGTAGCTTGCATAGAAACTGCTAGGTGGCGTAGTGACGATACGTTGTTTAGAGGAGCGGATAACAATTTCTTGAACTTTAAACGCTCATTACTCAAAATCGCATTTTTTGCATTGTGTCACTGTAGCTCTCAACGTGTGATATTTGTATTGATATCTAAGTTTGGAACTTTTTAAATTTCAGTTTTTTAATATGTTAGTTAAAATGAACGGAAATGACTGTCTTTGGTCCATTCGTTTCCTGCAAAATCAACTTTTGTTAGAGTCCCATCTAGTGTAGGCGCTTTTTTAGTGCTTTTTTTTAAAATACTTCCTCATTTTATATTTGACTGCCATAGTTATTATATAATTATAAAAAAATTGTAATATATTTTTGACCCCTATATCAGCCAAGAACGCCAAAATTGACCACTTTAATTAAAAATTACACTCAAAATATAATAGCGCCTTGACAAGACTATTTGAAGCAGATTAAAATATCACTTTTATAAAAAAGATTAAAAGAATATATATGTTAACTTTTTTAAGTACTGATTTTCTAAGGAAATTATTTTTATTATCGAGTGTATTCTTAAAAAATCGATGTTTCGATTATTTCGTCTCTAGTTAGAATTGTCAAAAATTTAACGGTTGAATCTGGGTTGAACTTGAAAAAAAAAGAATTGTTTGTTTGTTGATTGTTTTATAGGTACAGTAAAGAACAAATTTTATTTCTTTAGTATTATAGTTAAAAATAATTATACTGTTTAAATAATGACAATCACGAAACAGTTAAAAATCACTAAACTTTTTCGTAAAGGGAGTAAGTAATTCAATTTCATTCACCTTTATCTGCACATACATTTGATTGTATTACATTTCGATAAATGTTGTAATTAATTTACAGCCCAAGAACCAGAGGACTGTGAAGAAATAGAGGAGGAAATTAAACAACTGGAACAAACGTTGAAACAGAAGCAAAATGAACTTTTTGAATTACAGCGAAACATTTACAAACGCTCGTCTTCGTCGAAATGTTCGTCTTCAAAAATTAAAACTGATAAATTTGTGAGACCACAGGTAAAAATTAATGTTAAATGTAAAATAGTAAAATACTTTGTTGAATATTTAATGTAACACCATCCAAACATCTTATGTTACAGACAATATATCTTAATAAAGTAGTGGATACATTGAAAGGGAACATTGAGCTCATGTATATGTTATCTGGTATGGAAGTGCAGTCATATGTTGCCAATGACCATTGCTGTATTGTTTTTCACATGCAGCATGATACAGAAAACATATTGAAACATGGCCTCAGAATAGATATGAAGTCTGGTAAGAAATTACCTTTATTGAGTTTATGAATAAATAAATAAAAATAAGGTAAATTTGATAAAATATGATTTCTTGATTAGGTTCAAATGACATTGCCAAGTCTTCGTTACCAATGGGTTTCAATTTAAGCGCTGTACTTGAAGATTTCAATAATATAATGATGCCAGATTGTCTGAGTGCTATACGAAAGGCATTAGTTGCTTACTACTGTAGATTGGAACAATATGAAGCATTGAAGGTTTGTATTAATTTGGTTTAATTTTTTTACTATATTGTTAATTTTATAATAAAAAATTAAACTTTGAGTGCTAGTCTAATAGTCTATATATCATAGTCTAATAGTCTATTATCAATATTTCGTACCCATTTGTAATGTTCATAAGTTAGTAGACATGCGTAAATTTTTACTGAATCTACTTAGTGAGTCAGTTCAGCAAAATTATGCACTGATTCGAATCACAAAATTTGCTCCGAATGGATCTGTGGTATTCACTGACACAAATAAACTGAGGAGAACTGAGCAATTATTGAGAAAGATTCGGGCGACATAAAGTCGTGTATCGGTAACAAATGAGCACACTGTGCATACAGATACAAATGATCCAATGTTTTGAAAGATATATTTTTGTAGTACCTTAAGTTAGCTACAATTGACTTTCACACACAATGGCCCTATTAGTGTCCAAGTGCAGAAAATTCCAAGTCCCCTAACATAGGCGTAGTTAGGGTGGACCATAAGAGTGCACCTGTGGGCCCCCCCTAGAAAAATACCCTCCCTCATACATAAAAGAATTATTAACCCGTCACGCGATTAAGTCACAAAACGCACTTGAAGCGTTTGCACACCTGTGTGTTCAAAAAATCGCGAGACGGGTTAACAAGACATTGCTGGGGCCATTGACCCTCCTACGAAAAATCAATAGCTATGCGAATGTCCACTAACCTAATCTGGCATTACATAATTGAATTATAATATTTTTTTAAATATCAATCATTTTTATTGCACACTTTCAGAAAGTTGTAGTTGGAGAAGCGCAACTTTTCAAGATTATTGATGGGTCCCATATAGAAATAACCTTTCTTGCACAAAGTGACATGGAGGAAGAAGATGAACAAATCAGTGTCATATTAATGTTGGATTACAGGGTGTATGATATAAGACCAAAGACATTTTCATTCAAAGAAATTGGTAAGAGTACAATTTGATATTATCCTCAATTTTATTAGTTGCTGTAAAATTGGTAATGTTTATTCAGTTTAAAGCTGTTGACAAACACTTATAGAAGTTATAAAACCAATGGTTACATATGTAAACAAACTTATTAAAATAGAAAAATTCTTTCACTAATGAGAAGCCACATCATATATGGGCAAAATAGTCTATTTACATAGGCAAAGTTGCGGGAAAATAGCTAATAAGAACATTGTTTGTAAAAATGTATTGTTGATCTTTTAACAGATTTACCAGAAAATGCTATTGAAGCACTCAAAGCACAATGTTCAGTTTTTAAGAAAAAACCTCTCCATAAAGCTTTCAAAGAGGCCTTCATGGAAGGCAATGGTCAATATAGTCTAAGTTACCAGGTAAATAGTATTAATTTGATTTTTAGTCTTGGTGAATGTATAAAAGTGCATGTTACTATGCATTAGTCCTTATATTTGTTAATTAATAAGTAGACTCTGGAAATTTGTAAGAGGCCTTATTCATATCAAAAGCAGGGGGATGGGGGATCATTTTAATGCAAATATTTTCACATCTTTTTTTAATACAACTATGTTTTGTAGTCTCATGCAGATTGTAGTTAAGCCATTTTTCCATATTTACTTAAGGTTCTTGTGGGAAGTTTGTTACACTCAGGAAATGTCTATCGTGTGTAAGCACATAATAATTATAAAGAGTGCCACACAGCACATCCCAATTATATCAAGCAGTTAGGTAGTGCCAAAAAATTCTATTATTATGGTTATAATTAGAATTTTCCAACATAAGTAAACACAATAGTATAAGTATACATTAAACATTTGCCATTATTTTAAATATTGAAAATGGTTTTAAGCTGGGGCCTGGAAGAAAAGAGCCTCAACAACCGAGGCGACGTCACAAGCGGCCGAAGCCCTATTATAACAACGACGACACATTCCACCCTGAGCACTGCTCTGAACCAAGCGACGAGGACCAGGAGTCTGATAATTAAACAGTGTTTTATTTCATAAACTTTATTACAAATAAAATAGAAAATGAATTTATACAACTCTCATTGATACAAATTTATACACAAGTCGTTCATAGAACATTCGTTTTACGAACCGAAAATATCCTTTTTTGTTACATGGGAAGATGCAAATTTAGTTTATGTTTCGTTTGCAAATTCTCGACGGCTGAAAACAGTGATTCCTGCTTCGTAAATTACATCCAAAGTATTATAATACATCTTGTCACTAAATTTGTCAATGATGTTTAGATATACAAATATTGAGCTCAGCACTAATAAATTTTTATAGATTAATATATATAACAGAGTATTTATATATTATAATACAAGTAGGGTGATTCTACGGAAACCGAAATTTCGGTTTGACACATTCGTCATTACGGTTCTTTAAAAGTAATAACTCTTAACTGATATATTTTTTTTAATTGGTGACATCCGATTCTAAAAACATTTTAAAATAAAAAAAAAAATATCAGTAAAAGCTTCATTATTTTTGATGAACGGTAATGACGGATGTGTCAAGCCGGAAGTCCCGTTTCCGTGAAATCACCCAATAAGACAACAATAGTGGTACATACAAAACTTTAACTTAAGATGTATAAGTTGTTTCATCTTTACTGATGGCATTTATAATTGTACACACGTGTGCACGTCAGGTTACCACAATATGTCAAATTTCTGTATTTGGTTTTAAACTACCCACAAAACATTAAGGTCTAAAATCAAGTAGAGAAGTTTTACAGATTCGTATAACCTTATGTGCCTTTGACTGTACATACACTTTGGATGTTTCAACTTCGTATTTATCTGACAAATTTCTTCAAATACCTAATTTGAAGCTTAAATCATTTCGCTATTAAGTTTAAAATTGATTGTGAAAACATGATAATTTGTTGTAACCTTATGTGCGGTAACCGTGTATGTACAGTTATCCTAAAAACACTCATCTCTTTCACACTTAATTTGTGCGCTTTATTATTATAGATATAAGCCAGGAGCACACTCACATTGGATGTTCATAGTGCGATTTTGATCATAGAAAATAATGTTACCACAGTGAAGTATCACGTTTATTCTCCCAACGTTTCTCAATATCTAACACAGTTTTGATTACATTATTCTTTATTCAAATGAACTTTAACTTTTACAAGCAGAGTAATCAACTCTATAATCCTAAAAAGGATAAATGTTGTCATAATTTGTAAATGTAACACCAAAAAATCGAAATCTAGAGTTAATCAGTTTTTTTGCTTGTCAAATGTAATGTAATAATGATTATATTTCTCGTACTGACGAAAGGACCAAAACCATCAATATGCAACGTATACTCACTGAGCTATATACATTGAGTTTAAAAGTAATGTAACATCTCAGCCTTTTTATCTTTGCAGTAAAATTGATTATACAGTAAAAGTGTATGTCTAGCCGTTACTATAAATCAGTTAATACTTACACGTTTTCTGCTTACTAAACTTATGTAAGCTTATGATCCCATCGGTTAGACGAGAGCCGAACATTTGTCAACAGTCTAATCATTCTACATTTTATCATGCTATTCCTTAAAATACCCTTTTAGAAAATAAATGGAAACACTGCCAACCTCATTATATTTATAAGAAATTGGTTAAAAACATTTCATTTAAAATTGCACTTCGTAATGTTTCATACATAGTAGACACATGCTTAAACGGTAAATGATTAAAGATTACATTATGTAAAATTCAATCTTCATTCGCTATCCATTTATTATGTTAGAATCTATTTTGCAGTTTATACCATCCCCACCTCCCATGTAATAAAAATAATACTAAACAGGGGGTAGTCTTATTTTCCTGATTAATGCGCCTGCGCCTCCGAAGAATTTATTCTTATGACTTATGTAAGAATTAACAACACTCACTCGCCTTCAAAAAGAATAACATAGGGGTTCGACTCCCTAATTCTCTTTACGTAATAAATGGATGACTCCATTTTGATTGTCTTTAATAAATTTACGAAATAATCGTACATAAATTTATTTATAAATAACTAAAAAGTATGGTTACTCAATAGTTACATTTTACCAAACTGATTTTTCCCATAAACCAATTTTTATTTCTCATAATTAACATATTTTTTTAAAATCGTTTTATTGTTTAAAATTTGGGATATTTTTAATAACAAACAAAAAATTTGAAATAGTTATAGATTTAAATATGTTCTTTTATATTTTAGTGACAAAATTAATTTGTGACCACTGCTTAGTTTACTTTGAGACTGACCGGCCCCCTAATTGTCTAATTTTAAATCTATTGCAATCGCTTTCAGTTTGAAAGGTGTTGCACAACCATTGCTGCATAATACAAATACTTTTTTTTCAACTGTCTTCAGAAACAAGCAATGGTTGTGCAACACCTTTCAAACTGAAAGCGATTGCAATAGATTTAAAATTAGACAATTAGGGGGCTGGTCTTCTTATTTATTTATTTATTCATTCAATTCAAGTTTCAACAGCAGTTTTCTTTTTTTTTAACAAGTTTTCCTAATTCCACATTTTAGTTTCCACTGAAATTTTGTATTGAAATAATACACGGAATAAAAACATGAAGCTTATTTTCAATAAAATAAAAAGTATTTTCAATAGAATAAAAAGTGTTTTCATCGGTGAGTGATGTACGCGAAAGAGTATTGAGATTGTTTCCGGTGTAGTGTTGTGTGAAGGGTGTGGGGGGGAGCGGTTGGTTGGCGGTTCAGACGCCGCGGTTGGGCAGCGGCTTGACCTTGTATATGCGCACGAGCCAGTGCTCCGTGGTGTAAGCTTCCTCCAGCACGTCCAGGTTGAAGTCCTTGTTGCCGATCTCCGCGCCCCGCACGCGGTCGAAACCGGGCGGGCGACCTGACGGAAAGGAGAACAAATCTTATATTATATATATATAATAACAGCTAATTAATACAATGTGCGCTCGACGTTGAGTTGGACGCGCGTTGATAACGTACATACATATAACGCAACTAAGTTTCGAACTAATCTACTTTCACTACAAAAGATGACTATGGATAGGTTCTATGATATAAATTGACACGTGGAATTTTTGTCACCTCGTATCCAAAACCACGGGGTCTCATCACTTAGTACGAAATATTTGATCTTTAAAACCAAAATATATAAGCGTTACATGAATCATTCAATTTTTTACGATTGTGAAAAATTCGGAATATACAGGGTTATGGGTAATTAGACCCGATTCTTTTAAGGGGTCGTAGGGGAGGTCATTTACAATTATTTTCACCTCACATCATGTATCCGAAAGTGAACCATTTTTGTGATAGATTGTATTTTTTTTCTTTAAAAAAGTTGAAAAAAAGAATAATTATGGTCAGAATCTAATTTTGTTGACAATTTTGGAGAGATAACATTCCAGTTCGTGATAAATAATAATAAAACCCAAATAACCTTGACCCAGACAGAAACTACAGTTTTAAATAAACAAAAGAAAGATTTTTGCTGTTGTAAATTTGCAAACAAAAGTGCATTTAAAAAAATAACTTTCGGTTATACAATGTGGAGTGGAAATAATTATAAATGACTTCCCCTACGATCCCTTAAAATGATCCGATCTAATTACCCATAACCCCGTATAAAAACCAGTATAATTTCTTAAAGGGAAAAAATTACTAAGCTCGGAGAAATGAAATGAAGGGCTATTTAATCTCGTTTTTGAAATTTTAAAATTCGTCACAATTTTAGAGCAAAAGCATGCATTAAATAATTAAATGTCTTTGCAGAGATGACGTTGTAAATGGCTTCGTTTTTATTACTATTTTATTAAAAAAATGATTTCTTTGCGTTTAATTTTTATTGATTGACAATAAACTTACAATTAATAGTAGACACAAGAAACTGTTATAGGTAGGGTATATTTAATGTGTATCTATGTTAACGTTCTTGTATGCTACGAATCGACGCCGTCTATTGACTTTTATGCGAAAGTCCATAGGATAGCAGAGTCCAATTCTAAGTGTTGCTTGCTCATATGCGGCATCTAGCGCCGACTCAAGACAAAATAGCCCGAGTTAGGACGGTCACATTTTGTTCTATGGGATGAGGCATCTGTATAGTTAATGTGTATCTGTGACAAAACTAAGGCAACATGAATCTGTATTAAAAGTTTCCCACTATTTATTTCTATAACATATACCAGAGATTAGGTAGCTTTTCAATGTCAATTATATATTAAACGTAAAATTAACTCTACAGTAAGTGCTCGCAAAAAACACTGAGCTATATACAGTGTGTACACTTAAGTGCGCGCGTCAGACATACCTCCCTCCGTGTAGACCAGGCCGAACTTGTAGTAGCTCATCTTGTACATGAGACAGTTGAGTAGAGTCTGCGAGCCGGCCGCGTCCACCCTAAACTCGCCCGCGCCGGTGTAGTAGTCCGCCTCGCGTATGTGAGCGCCGCGCTCTGTACTGCCGCCGATGCGGACCATCCATAGGAACTTGTTGATGTCTGTACACGAGACAATATAACTTGGAGTCACTTCGGATGTTCATAAAAACATTAGAACGACGCTTGCCACTTGACTATGCCGTTAATATGTATAATGAATAATAGAGGACCTAAGACACTGCCCTGGGGAACACCACATTTAATTGATCTACTAGGGAATATACGTGTTACTTGTTGCTGAGATGACTTACAAAGAGTTATTAAGAAGTTCATTCATTCCTTTAGTAACATAACGGTCTAGTCATGGTCAACAAGGTCAAATGCTTTCGTCGTGTCCATTAAATAGTACATGAAGGTACTAGTTTATATGGATAAAAAATGAGATCTTTTGACTAAGCTAACCCCTTACTTCAAAGTAAGCTCTTATTTTGTTTTAGTTTGTTTGCGGCGGTGCCAACGTTCGGATGTGTTTTACGATGCCACAGTGCGTATTAAAAATAACGATCAGAATAAAAATGTATCTGTTGGAATATCATATTTTAGGATTGTAAAAGTCATTTTATAATGTCTATAATTGATAATCAAAGTATTTTCAATGAAATAACACGAGTTTTGTTTCTGTGCCAAACCACGCCCCAACATAGCAAACACTTGACCAAATATTCGATGTTCTAAGACAGCACTTATATGGAGTAGTGTACTATCACAACTTTATTTTAACCAAAAATTTTAACACTAATAAAAAAATCGTCTTAGGGTAATGGTTCGTGTTCTCGATTACAAAACTGTGCATGAACATAAAACTAAATTACTTAAATCAGTGATTGAATGTGAATAGTTTTTAATAGAGATGAAGGTCAGAATATACCATCGACTTCGGATCCAGTAAATAATTGGTCGAATAAAATCTCGACCGAGATCACACACTGCAAAACTTAACGTTGCAGTAAGTTGTTTCTGTAAACATTTACATTAAAGGGAGTAATCACTTTCTTATTGAAGTTTGTTTCGCCAGTTCATCTCAGACAAGCCTCCCAAATTTTGAAGTAGTTTATGGCAGTAGTCAAGGGCAAATAAACAAACAATCAATATATATGTTCCATATGATAAAATTTTAGAATTGTGGATGTGTCCAATAAGTACTGTTTGAATGTAGCTAAGTTCTTAACAAATTATAATATTTAATTTTCAATTTTTTATCATAATGTGTGCAAAAATAATAGATAGGTTTTATAAATATACTGATGTTTACATTAAAAACCTTTAAAAATCTGACAACTTTCTAAAAACTGATTCAAATTAGTCAGTATGTGTGCTAATTGCAACAAAAAATATAATTTGATGTAAATTTAACATTAATTATGTACCCAAAACCATGTTTAAAATTGTAATGTATAGGTATATAAAACGCGTAAACGGCGACTGTGGGGACGACATTTGTAGGGTAAACAAAAGGGATTTTCAGTGAAAAAAATATAAAAATATAGTGTGTGATATTGTCACTCATAAATAAATAACATGCTAAACTGACCCTTGTAAGCTGCTTAAAATCAAGTAAATCCCATAAAATAATTTATTTATTTAATTCTTTATGCACAATGGTACAAAGGCGGACTTAATGCCTCAGGCATTCTCTGCCCGTAAACCTTTTATTATTTTAGTATTTTAGCGGAACCTATTTTGCTCCTTTGCTCATTTATGTTTCTCGAGGAAAATATAGAGCCGATTATGATAAACATATAAAAAAAATATAAAGCATACATTAATAATGTGGCTCATAAACAATGATAAACTAGCTTATATTTATATTATTTTAGTGGTTATTATATAAGACAATGAAGTTTAATAAATATACGTTACCGTCAGACGAGTACCCGACGAGTCCGCCGAATATGACGAGCACGTAATCCACGTCCAACTCTTGCATGATCTCGTACGCCTTCTCCTCGGTGGAGGCCATCGCTTGTCCCACGCGCGATATGTGAGTGTTGTTCCACGTGTTATTGTCCACTATCACCGTGCGATTCGCCATAGCGGTTATTTGGTACCCGTAGTCCCACCAGGACATCACTTTAGCGTTCTGTAACGTTATATGAGACTGACGCATATCTGTTTACGCATAGAATATAATATCTGCGGTTTGCACGTAAACTAGACGCTTTCATAATAATGATTTTTACAATGTGACATTTTTAAATTCTATTATAAAAAGAATACGTGCATTCTGTATCACATAATTAATGGTGCTATTTCTGTCTAATACACGTTTTTTTCTGGAATCATCAACATCAGCTGCAGGTGATCCAGGCCTTCCTTATGGACGATTAAGGAGGGTGGGTCATGGTCCTCTACGAGGATCCAATGCGTAGGGTATTAACGACTGCGAATGGAGCCGGGACCGACGGCTTAACGTACCTTCAGAAACACGGAGTGGCTAGAGTTAAAATTTTGATGGTCACCCATCCCGTGACCGACCCGAGCAAAAGTTGTTTAACAACAACGATCGCGAGCCGCGGTGATTATTTACTAGACCGGTAAAATCGGTTACGACAAAATATGAGTGATATTAGTCTTCTTAAGAAACACTCTCTCTCTTTATATAGTTTCTCATATTCTGACGGATATACCAGAGGGATTCATATAGCCGCACTAATGATATTTAAGAACAAAACCTCTTTTAATTTTTTTTCCCCTTTTCCCATCAGCTACCAGGGTCTAGGTTTTAATTAGATGCGCTAACATCTATCATCGTTATTAATATAGAACAAGATTTTGTTGCAATTATCGAACTAATAACATCACGCACAAGTTTTATTATTATATAGATATATTAGAGATGTTCAAAACGACTAAAAATCATTAACACGCTATAGACTAATGATATATTTTTTAATGTGTTAATGAAGGCGCTAATTTTTTAACGCTTTAATACAAAGAGCGTAAAGGTGCGTGAAGACTCGTTAAATTTTGTAGCGCTAGTTAGTGCTTTTGTAGTTCGTTTGTTTGGTCGTTGAATCGTTTTGGAATTTGAATCGTGTTAGCGCGAGTAATTTTTAGCGCCTTAGCGTATACCTATTTAGCAGTGTTAATAAGCGAATAGCGTGTTAATTAGCATGCTGACGCTAATTTAACCAACACTAATAATGCATGAGCATCCTCACCTCTGGCGTGTTCATCTTGAGCCACGTGTACGCCTCACGGAAGTCGTCGAATATAATCCTGGCGCCGTCGTGCGCGCGCGCCGACAGCACGATGGAGGGCGACGAGTACGCCTCGGACGTGACCCACGTGCAGTGGAACACGTACGACATCAGCAGGCAGCCCAGCACGCACACGAATACGGCGCCCACCTAGCGTCCACCGGCACGAAATTATATGAATATATCTTTTCAATGCAGTTAGTTGCTCATAAAGTGCTATTTTTTTAATCCATTGTAAACACCGAAAGTGAGTCTTCAAACACGTGTTAAATAAAAATGTACTGAAATCCTTTAAAAATTATTTTCTCCTACCACATGTTCTGAACGTCTTTTAGCTGACTGTGAAAGTTGCTTAATAACCGTATCGCAGACCGAGCGCCATCAATATCATAACTGAAGGTTTTTCATTTTCCTTACCTCAGACCTGAAAACCAGGTTGTTCTCATGTTTCTTCTTCTTCTCGTGTTTTTCTACCTTCGGTTCTATATCTTTCACGTGAAGACTGAGCAGACTGGAGGCCGCCACTCCAGACACTATACACATAACCGGTGCTAGGACCAGCATAAGTCGCACCATGACACCCTGGTGACAACAAGAAAAGGGTGGTTTATGTAACTTGGTTTGGCAAAAATGTAGGGGTATCTTAAAATTTTGATCAATCAGCGATCAAAGCGTACGGGTCATAGCACGGAGTCAATGGAATGAAACACTCAACATAGACTCGACGCGCTCAAGCTTCGTTTTTCATCATATTTTGTGGATAACATGGTTTATAAATTGTAATAGCCTTTCAATGGAGGAAGATTGGAGTGTCAAGAGTATAGTCGACCTAAATAGCGCTGATGAGACTGAGGTATGTCAGAACTGAGTGAATTTCAAGTTGACAATTGGCAAGAGGTTGCACAGGAGTTGTTGGAGGCCAAGACCCACTTTAGGGCGGTGAGCCAAAAGAGTAAATAAGTAAGTAAGCATTTATCAATAAATTTCCTAATCAGAAGTGAAAACCATATCAAAATTAGTTTCGTTTGTGAATGCCATCTATAAATATTCAAATAACATGAGACTTGATTTTTCACATTTCAAAGGATTAAGCAGGAATTAATATATTTCAACATAAATTATTTACACAAATATAGTATTATTAATAAACAAGGTTTAGCATTGGAGTAAACTTACGCTGAGACTGCACTCAGTATTAGTCAAAATTCATATTATTAAACAGAGACTTGGCAAAGGTTAACCTAGTACGAGGTTCTACAGAAGTAATATTTACTCCTAGGAGGTAGTGCTTTGCTTATTCTTTGTATAATATGAATTTGGACTAATATTAAAATTGAAATCTTAGCGTAAATCTATTGCGACACTAAACCCTGTTTATGAATAGCACTGATAGAGAATTTAAAAAGGCATTCTATTATTGTAAGAATGTGTGACAACACAGACTAGTTTTCCGCCAGCGGCTTAGTCCCCGTGTTCCTATATTATACAACATCACATACATCACCAGCCCTTTTACGTCCCCACTGCAGGGGCTCAGGCCTTCCTTATGGATGGTTAAGGAGGATGGGCCATGACCCTCCACGCTGGCCCAATGCGGATTGGAGGGTATTAACGACTGCAAATGCAGCCGGGACCAACGGCTTAACGTGCCTTCCGAAGCACGGAGTAGCTCGAGATAGTAATTTTTTGGTCACCCATCCCGTGACCGACCCTTGCGAAAGTTGCTTAACGACTACGATCGCGGGCCGCGGCGCTTATCCACTACGCCACCGAGCTACTCTATATATATTATACAAATTTGTTTTATATTATGTATAGACAGATAAACAAAACTACAACTATTTCTTTCATCATCATCATCACCAGCCTATTAACATCCCCCCACTGCTGGGGCTGAGGCCTTCCCTATGGATGGTATAGAATAAGGGGAATGTGACCAGACACTGGCTCAGCGAGGTAGGCATGAGTGCCTTCCAAAGCACGAAGAGACTCGAGATAATACATTTTTGGTTAACGACTTATTGTTGACCGAGCAAGTTACCCGCTGTGCTAATTAAAAAAAAATAATAAATTGGCTAGATATTTTAGGTCGTTAAATGTGATGATGTTATGAAATACTTACGGCAAAGTATATGCTGAGTACACCATACAGAATGATGAATATGTTGGCATCGGTGAGTTTACTGAAGCAGAAGTACAGGCCGGCGGGGAACAGGAACACCAGCACTTGCAGGTCAAAGTAGAACGAAGACCACGACGTCGGCTGATGTTCGGACACGGACGCTGTAATTTAACTCTTATTCATACAACGGAAAAGTTTAATTTATTTTGTATACCAATATGATCTATATCAGTGGCTTCCATTTAAAGCTTTTCTGTAATAAAGAACGTTATAATTAAGACCAAATATTATAAAACAGTCCAATAAATTCTTGGGTGGTACAATAAAAACTGGTATTGAAAAAAAAAAAGAAATTTATTGTTCACAAATATGTACATGATATAAAAAATAAAAAAACAGTGAGTCCCTATCTTAGTGATGGCCCCTGTATCACTTCTAAAAGTTATGATTTTGTTGTTCAAACTCCTTGGTTAGAATTCCCAATAAAAAGTACCATTGGTCCATGCTCCATTTTTTGTATAAGCCTTTATTTAACTTGCCTTGTTAGTATTTAAATTATAACATAGGAACTTAATAATGAAATTACGTAACTGCATCCTTTTTGGGGCTCGTTAGAACCGTTTATGAGGAATTTGGTACTGGATGCTTTCCAGGCCAAGGTCTGGTGCTAATGGAACTGGAAGGTGGTCATAGGAACTTAGCAATTGCATCGTGTTTGGGCTCTTAAATCCGTCTTTATGAGAACAACATACATACAATTAACAGGAAAAACACCTTGGAATACAGATGCTATGTCAGAAACGAATAGAATGAGACAAAAGCAAAATTATAATAAAAGACTGTATTAAAAAACAAAAAGCTTCTATTATTTTGCAAACTATGGCTAGAGAAATAACTATTTATTAAATTAGATTTTTCTTAAATACATGTATTATTTTGTAGCCTCTGAAGAGATTTTTTTAAGTAAGTATGTAAAAATATAACTCTAAATCTTACCAATAATAGGTATGTGGTTCTTGGCGTAAGACGGATCGAGCAGCGAATAGAATCTGCCAGTCCAAGGTGAGATTTTACCTGTAAGAATAAAATACAGATCAACCTAATGTAGTGAGCAATAACAAAATCTAACATCTATGAAACACGTTGATCAATTTAATAATTTTTTAACGTTAAGTGATACTGATAAGGGTGGTCCACCCCAAATTTGCGTCCACAACAAAACAATGTTTGCCAGGTAAGCTTGTGTTTCTGTATAATTCTACACAAACCAATACAAGCTTTATCCAGAACTAGTGTTTCTAATGGCAAAATTTGAAATAACGAGATATTTCATGAAGTCTTAGTAAGTGTTGTTGCTACTCAAAGCTAGAGAGCGTTGTTCAGGCACCACACAAATTGGATGGCAATTTTTGATCAGAACGGTACGTTCCGTTCTGTAATAAAGTGGTCCTGTCTTATGAACTAGAAATACAGTTGATTTAAAAATTAGAAATTTAAATCAAGTTTTACCTCGCGGTACTTGGGCTTATGGATTTTTTAAGCATTTTTCACCAACTACTTAATTATTAATTACTTGTCAGAATAGCATCGTGAATGCAAAATTAAAATTTATAAAGTACAATTATTAAATATTATTTCATCTGCATAGCTAAACTGGCATTGAACCTTTACAATGTATAACCTTTCAAATGTTGCCTAGTGGACACTATTTAATGAAAACAAGTAAAACATACCGGTGAGTGTGAGTACTACAGCGGCAGTGCCGAGAGTAGCGAGTAGTGTAGACACTAGCGCTTTAAACATTAACTCGAAGTTAGCGGGCGAGAGGTGAGCACGCAAGTACTGAGTGAATGCGTACAACTGGCACAAGCCAAACGTTCCCAACGCCTGACACAGAAAAAAGTTTGCTTAAAATATGTCATGTAATTTTTTCAAGATAATATCTTTATATGTATAGTAGCAGTGTTCCCGGGACTTCACTTATTATCGATGCCTATTTAATGCAAAAAACCAATCAAACCTTTCCTCTTTTAAAATATTAGTGTAGATATAAATATCCCGTGCCACAATGTTTGTTTATGAATTTTGCACACTGCATGTAATTTGGTCCAACATTAGAGATCCGGAGAAGATTCAGTCTGTGATAGGAAATTTACTATCACAAACTTCTCTGTGCTTCAGCAGGCATATTATTATATTAAGTCTTGGTCCTGGCGGCATCTGCAGTCGTTTACGCCCACCAATTTACAATTTTTCAAAATCATATATGTAACAATAAATTATCTCTATTAATGTAGTTTCCAAGAAAACAAAAAGGTTACTGCAGTATATTTTTTGAGTATACATTAAAACTTTACTCACCAGCATATGCTCAGAGCTCTGTACGGGTTGGAACCCAACAAAAGAGATCTGCATTGACAATATAGTGCCCACACAGTACAGAGTGCTGTAAGCTACATATACACGAGCGGAAAACCTGCCCAATAACATCAGAGCCAGTACGTGCAGCGGAATAAGGTTAATGAGGAACACATAGCCACCCCATGAGGAAACCTGGACAGATATAAATAACAGTTATATCTTAAATCTTTCACACAAACTACAATGTGAATTCATTTGACCGTTACGCATTTTATTACATTAAATACCATGAAATGTAGCTAAAAGTTTTATAAATAACAGAAGTACAATATTATATTATAGTTGTATATTTTTAGATTTACTTTGGAGAGTGGTACAACAGAATTGAGACCATTGTTGAACGATTGGTCACTCTATTGTTTAGGGAATAGTGTTTTAAAACTTTCAATTATGATCATAGTAAGTGTTATTAAATAAAGTAAAAATGTATTTTTATTCATTAATTTAAATTTTCTCATGAAAACCATTGTTATTTCGAATCATGACATCACATTTCTATAAAATTTGTACTGTTTGCACTGCAACAAAGACATTGACATTTGGTTTATTGAAATATGATGTCACATAATGCTCTGTCACAGCCGCTTGAGTTTTGTTACTTGAAATCAATACATAATAAATCGCAAATAAAATACTACATAGTTATAATATATATATTATAACATATGAGTTACTATTTCCAACATAATTCATAATTTATTGCTATTAGTGTATAGTATTAGATTTTTTAATTTACTTGTTTAGAAATCTAATCCAGTATCTCAGACATGTGGTAAACAGTAATGCTATTGTATGTAATAGAGGATTAATATAAATTTGTTGTATGAAAGTGCAAAAACCAAACAAATTATAAGAATTTGTTGGTGTGAAGCTTCCATCTTATTGATCTATGATTGCTCTATAGAAATTAATAATAAATGTACTAAAATCAGAATAAATAGATCAATCATTTCTTGTTAATTAAAAGTCGTAAAATATGTAATATCTATAGTTTTAAAATAGTAGTGATTACTTTTATTTGTCCAATTATATTTGCAACTACATTAAGTAAAATAAAAAAGATATAGAAGTTAGCTCTCATTAATTTGTTTTTTTTTTTTTCTATATATCTCTATTAACAGTTCATTATATTGGTAATAATTAAAATAACTACTGTATTTGTCTTTACTTTGTATGTTAAAAAAATTAAACTTACCATATAAAAGTAAGCTAAAGCAGTCATTGTGGCCCAGAGTATGGTACCAGTGTTTACTGCCTTGATCCAGAAATAGTATGTGAGCAGCATACAGAAGATTGCTATGCCTTCATTGTCATAGCTGCCAGCAACTGATCGACTAATGTATCCGGGTACTATAGCTATCATTGCAGCTGCTACAAGACCGGCACCTTCATCCTGTCGCAAAACAAACATTTGAATATCCAAAATTTGCAAAATTAGAGAACTAATTTGCACATCACAAAATTTAAGAAAATAGCTGTGAATGGTCTCATGTAAAAATTGCAATTATAGATTATGGAATCTACAACACCTACTATCACTACCTTTTTCAAAAATATGTATTATTTCGAAAAGCTTTCATAAATATCCCTAAATGTGAAAATAAAATCAGTCATACTTGATAATTTTTATGGTAATGATTGTATAATATTTTATGCTCCTGCTTTAATGTAATTATGAAAACATTTTTTTTGCTTATAAAGCATCTAATTCAAAAACACATCTATTGTTATTAATAGATTTAATCTACAACTGTAAAATTTTAAGTAAAACCTTAGCTTTTTGTTGAATATGGTGAGTATTAATTAATAATACATATACTGATAATTTATTAATACATTAAAAAAGGACTTTTGAAAACAAACAAATTAAGAGAAGATTTAGCATTACCATTGGTAGTAGCTAGATGTACAAATTATAACATTGAGAATACTTATTTATTTATATGGTGAACAATTTACATCCATACAGCATACCTTGAGCTCTTTAGTCAGCAGGTAAGTTACTATAGTGGTCAAGGAAGAGAAGAATGGTGCAAGGAACACGCAAACATTCCTGATGTCTATAGTAATGTTGAGAAACTGCATGATATTGTATAGTGTTGCAGAGGTCACCATCAGACCAGGATATATTGTGCCTAAAAGAAAAAAAAAATAACATGTATTATAAATGATTAAGTGAATTTTGATAATATGTAACAGATAATGTCTTGTAGAATTTGTGATACTTGAAATTTAAGTATGTAAATTGATTGATAGTTAATCATAATATAGATTCTGACATAATTTATATCTGAACTGTATTTTTGGTACAATGGTTTCAATTTCGCATTAAAAGTATTGCTAACTATTTTGTTGTATGGTTTTATATAATTAGCATAAATCATACCTCCTATAATACGTCCCAAGGGATACCATGCTCGATCGTCAAACCAATTATGGAATTTATAGAAACCTTCTTCTGTCAGGTATCTTGTCGTACGATAGTTGAAGTACGGATCGAACTCGTGGATCACGCTTTCAAAGCGGAGTACAGAGAATAGGCGTGTGGCGAATGCTACAAAAACACGTATACTATTACTGATAAGCATGTAATGTTTTGGTTAGAAAAATCACAATTTCCACTAAAGTTATAATATTATTGTTGATATTTAAAATAATAAAATTTGCAGGCGTCATCATTAAAGGACTATTCTATTCATATTAATGTGAAAAACTTACATAAAATTGCTGCCATCGATAAAACAGACAATTTTATGAACGTTAGCTGTTTATCGGACGTAAGCTGTGGCAGCTTCATTTTACTCTGCACTTCGACAGTCATGTTGATTTATTTCAAAAAGTGTTATTTTCTAAAGTCTTACATAAATAAAAATAATAAACAATGTGAAAATAAACGAATTAATCGCCGGCAACCTATCCGATTTTCAGCCACCGACGCAAATTGACATAGAGTGACAGCTCACGAGCGGCGTGGCAGGTAGGAAATGTTGCCAGATGCAAATAACTAAATCTCATTGTAATAACTATAGTTAGTTGTTGATCGAAGACCGATAGTCATTTACTGAGGAAGTATTTAAAAAAAAACGAAAGCACTAAAAAAGCATTTCCATTAGATGGCGACTCTATCAAAAGTTTTTTGCAGGAAACTAATGGACCAAAGACAGTAATTCTCCGTTCCTTTTAACTAACATATAAAAAAACCGAAATTTGAAAAGTTCGTAACTTAGATATCAATATAAATACGAAAAAGTACAAAAAGAATATGAGTTAAATCGGAAGGGTTGTCATGGAGAAATCAAGAACGTACAGTGACATCTAGTTTGATTTCGGGAACAATTTTTTTTTAAAACTCAGTTATTATTAATTATCGAGATTATAAAATCACATTTACAACCTGTAAATATTTGCAGTTTCAATATGCACTGTGACATCGTAATATGCGTTATGTCTTTGAGACTTTGACTGGACAGGACCGGACATCTAGTTGTATTTTTGATCAAAACCATTACAGGAAATTTTGTACTTAGTGCATAAATTAGTACACAAAGAATTCCAACGCTAATAACTAATATTTGTCAATATACCTATAGTACCTATGTTAACTAATTTCAGATTTTTCAGAACATATGTATTTTAAGTTTTCATTAATAATTTTCATCCTATTTTTAATACTTGGTCATTATTTAAAAGTCCAAAGATTGCAATTTTTGCATTTTTTTTTCAAGATTTTATTTAACTTGCCTTGTTAGTATGTATGTTAGTTAGTGCACAAATCTTGGAACGCAAATTTAACCAACTTCCCAATGTCCTATAGGTTTGAAATTTTGCACAGATATGTGAGTCAGATGACAATACAATATTATGGTGTCAGTAAGCATGATGATGAAGTCGGAAGGTGGTCATAGGAACTTAGTGATGAAATTTGTTTGGGCTCATTAGATCGGTTTTTATGAGAAATTTGGTACTGGATACTTTCCAGACCAGGGTCTGGTGAATTTTTCAATGCCAAATCATGGAAAAGCACAAATAACATCTGTTTTTAAAAACTTTTATTCTTGTAGATTTAATTTTAATTAGAAAGTATAGCAAGTAAACCGGTGCTACAAGAAATGCAAAAATGGTGATTTATTGGGGAACTTTGATTGTTGATAATTTTTTTTCGAAGCATTTTCTTTATAAGATTTAGTCGCAAAAAGGCGACCACAAATAATTTGTAAAGATGTTTGAAAACAAGTCTGGCAGGTCTACATATTCACCAAATTATTTTGTCTGCCCAAACTTTATTTCTGTAGATATGCCTGCGAGAGAGCAAGTATAACAAACATAAATCTTGTTTCTGATATTTTATATATAATTGCGTTTTCATAATAATAAACCTATTATTTTTTAAAATGAAGTTAAATTGTCTTCATATCCATTTCTTGATATTCGTAAGAAAATGAATGAAAGTCGAACACCGATTCCCACCCCTATTTTTTTAAAATATGGACTTGTTCCGTTATGCACAAAAATGTTGCCAACACGAACATCCCTAGTTGTCTGTGGGTGCTGTCAGTTACATAATGTCAATCAATTGTCAATGTCATCATCTTGCTGTCAATTTCTCACTTGATCTGTTTCATGTTTCTTATTTTTATCTTATCTTACATTTAAAAAAAGCAATAAGCTTTGTGTGGGTATTTATTTATTCTTGTGCGAAGCGTTGAGAAAAACGTCCAAGTCAGTCTTATATGGTAAAGAAATAGAATAAAAGACGTTTACCAGTGTTCGTTTTTGACTAACCGCTTTGAAGTGTGACTAATTTATCCGAAGAAAGAATCTGGTTTCCGGATATGACAATGTTGATTGACTAAAGTTCACAGGGGTTAAAATAGTACTTTCATTAGGACAATATATGTAATGTCCGACGGTGACCCATCCCTCGAAGAGGACATCCCGAAACCCCTTTTAGAGAAAGCTGAGGAGAATGTGTTTACACCGAAGATAGCAACCCCAATATTTACTGGTGGGGTAAAACTGCATCATAAGAGATCTGATGCTGGAGAAACAGAGTCCTTCTTGTCTGACGCTCAGCGCAATGACCTTGCCTTCCAACAATTATTCACGGATGGAGATGGAGAACTTCAAAGGGTACCTAATATTTTTATTTAATATCTGTCTAAAAGAGCTTTTTCTATTTATCGGTACACATGACAATAACGGTACTTTGATTGCTTAGATTATTATTTGAAGAGTCCACTGTGTGCAATAATGATGAATGTCTTAAAATTTTCACTCCCTTAATATGCAGTTAATAATCTCGTTTACAAACTCAGCAATATCGTTCACAGTCCTGAGAAAATTTAGTTTATAATATTTGCCTACTGGGCTAGTATGCTGAAAGTCACAGGCCTTTATGGCTATAATGATCTATGTCCATTGTTTTGTCATTCTCAATACTTCTGGCTTTCTGTCAGGTTGTTTGTGGTTATGTTAAAAATGTACAGGTTGTTGCTTTCTTTATTAGCAAGGGAGAATTTAAACTGCTATTTAAAAGCTCATCAAGACAGGCTGCCTGTTTCCAATGAAAAGTATAATAAACTGCAGTTTCTGAAAAAAATTGTAGGCCTGAAACGAAATACTATTATAATAAACTTCCTCATGCTGCAATTAGAAAATCAACCGTCAATTAAAAAAATATAATTATTATTTAACTTCATTTTCTTTAATAAATAGGACATCTATCATTATTGACTGTAAACATAGAGTGGACACTGATCGTTATTGTTCCTAATTTTTATGAATTACTTCTTATTTATTAATATTAATGAAGAAGTATTTAAAAAAAAACGAAAGCACTAAAAAAGCACCTCCACTAGATGGCGACTCTAGCAAAAGTTGATTTTTGCAGGGAAAGAATGGACTAAAGACAGTTATTTCTGTTTCTTTTAACTTACATCTTAAAAAAACTGAAATTTGAAAAGTTTGAAACTTAGATATCAATAGAAATATGCAAAAGTACAAATAGAATAGGAGTTGTTTATTGGGTTTTGAAAACAAATTTACTTTTAAACATGAAAGAAAACTGGAAAGGTTGTCATGGAGAAATCAAGGACGTACCATAGCGACATCTAGTTTGATTTCAGGAACTAATTCTTTTTTTAAATACTTCCTCATTAGTTTAAGTTACCTTTGCATGATTATTTGCCAAAAAATGAATACTATAATATAAGTATGTCCTATAACTGAAATAAAAATTATTTTCTTATCTCAAACTCTTGAGCTTTTTTTTTTACCATTTATAAACTTGAAACGGAATTATCTCGGAACACTTAACAAAGGACATTCATCATTATTGCAGTGGATCATTCATTTTACTCCTATTCTTACTTCATCTAACGTATATAATCAATGCTTAATGAAATCAGATTGAAAGGCTTACCAATTTTCTTGAAACTTTGTTTTTTTAGATTAGTAATCTCAAATAGGATGAATAATTGATACTTGAACTACATAAATCTTAATGCTGATGTTTTGATACTGTTTAGTTTATTAAAAAAACCTGATATAAACATTTTGCAGAGTAAATAGAATAATGGGTTAAATGAACTTTGCTATTATAGTTTTCACTGTACAACAACATAAAGAGTACTATAAAAATAGAAATGTTTGTAATAATGCATATCTTATTGTGCCAGTGTCCTGTTTACAATTACAAATAAAAACATATTTTTAGATATAATGTGTCAAATTTCAGTTAAACAACTTTTCTAGCTAGACATAATTGTACAAGTAGATTCTGCCACCTATTAAGACACCCTGCTAGCAAAACACTTTCTATGTGTTAAAGTAGCTCTTAATATAAGTGTCATGCTGTGACAGGATAAGGAAATAACTGATATGCATTAGTGTTTGTGAACAAATAAAGACATTAATTTATTTCTAATTTGATTACATATACATTTCTAATATTTGCTATTATTATACTCAAACATTTAAACAATATAAGTGTCCGTTTAAAGTGTACATTAATGGGACACTTATATTGTTTAAATAAAGTTACAAACAAAATAACTAAAATAGGTGATTCTATTGCAAAAATTAATAAAGTAAAAAATGACTTAGTTTTCAATTTTACAAACTAGCACTTTTGTTTCTGTAAATTAATAGAAATACTCAGGATAGTAAACAGGAGTATAGTTATATTTCTTTGAATACATGTGAATGGCACATGGAATCAAAGAACATTAAATCCAAATTAAATTAAACTTTTTTTAGTTTCGATTCTGTTACTACAGAATTGGCATCACTGTCATCTTATGTTTGAGTGATAATGAACATATAAGCATAGCCAACTTTTTAGAAACAAAATTCGGGCCATTCAAATGGTCATCAAAAGTAAACAGCCTTCAGTTCAAAGTATGTCATAGGAAATAACAAACAATTGTCTATTAGGATCTGGATTATATTGCAATGGGATCTGCGCTGATATAGAGATACCTAAGGCATGAAAGTTGTTTCGTCATGTGAGTGAGGGTGCCGGAGGCCCAACCCGCCCTTCCCTCCCTGCCCCTAAAGGCCGGCAGCCCGCTTGTAGCCCCTCTGGTGTTGCAGGTGTCCATGGGCGATGGTAATCACTTACCATCAGGTGATCCGCCTGTTCGTTTGCCCCCTATCCCATAAAAAAATAAGAAATTAGTACACAGGAAAACATTATTAAAATCGGGACTTCCCCGGAAAATTCGGGCAGGTGGCAACTCTGGGTACAACAGTGGTTAGATATTCCGTGTAATATTAATCAAATAAATTTGAAATTTATTGTTTCAAAATCTTATAAAATAGAGCTATACCGGTATAACATGATAGTGATACTAGTATGTCTATAATACACAAACAATAACAGTATTTTGGTGGTGACAACACTTTTGCAAATAATTTTAACAACATTGTCATGCTAATCCCAAAGGTAATTGCCTAATAAAGATAAGTGATACTGGCCTATAAGTACAACAACACAGACCAAGCAACAAAATTTTATAAATACTCAAGGTTGTTTGAATATTTTATCATAAATACTTATAAATTACATACTTACTTTTTTAAATATATGACTTATAGTATATTTTTATAAATATTTATACATACCTATAAATATTTTTTAGGTAATCTATAAACATTTTTAACTGATTGTTGAGACAATTGTTTTATCTTCATAGTTGAGATAACTATGCATTATTTTTTTTATATAAATTACCTTTAATATATATTTGAACTGAAATAATTACCTCATACTTATCCAAGATTCATTTAAATTATATAAATTTACAGAATTCACCATGTTTAAATTAAAACACTTCACTAAACTAAAGTTATGATTTAAGTGATAAATTGTTGCTGTATTATTCAACCAAAAAGTTTCCTAGTCTGCTCAGCACTATTGTACACTTAAGCAATTAGCTAAATAGCTGGCTTTCATGTTTGGTAGTTCTACTAGTCATGTTTACACTTTAGACAGAAAATTACTGAACATAGAAATATTTACAAAATACTGTACCAAACCTATTACGAGATTTATCTTATGATGACGTTAAAATGATAAAGTCATCTAAGTTTGTAGATTTGATACAATGCGGTATACTGTGGGAAATTAAGCGTTATCTCATTTTACGTGATTACTCAAACAAATAAGTGAGCTGTTCTCGAGTCGCGCGTTGGTGCTAAACAGCGAACAGCCAAGGTCAGTGGTCACGCTCTTGGCTTTCAGTTGTAATGCAGTTGTGCCTTTTAGGCAATGTCTGTGAGGTTTTTCATTGATGTGTTGTCTTATTTATCACATGATGCTGCGTTGCGTAGGATACGAAAACGTCATGCGAGACGTGAACATTTCAAGGTATTGTTATTGTAATACTTGATTTTCCGAATGCATCAGGGACATAATAATTCACATCTTTCGATTTTAAATATAAGTATTGTAGGTATTATATGGCGTCGGTCGTAGGTATTCAATAAATAGAATCTGAAATCAGTGTTTTGTGCTTTTCGTGTGTTAAATAAAGGGTTGTCTGCTGTGAATTACGACTAGTAGATCGAAAGTGCCGGATTTTCAGCACAACATTCATATTAATTAGTCAGTGTCGCGTATTGCTGACTGCGTGTCGGCAAGCGACAATATAGTATTCGTAAATACAGAACAAATTCCTATCCGGATATAAATCAATCCTGTGAATTCCGGATTAATGTCAACCCTAATATTAAAAGATATTGATTATGATTTTGTTAAATTTACTATAATAATGTAGTTGAAAGCGATCGCCATCTATTTTTGTACTTAACCAAATAATACGGCATCGTTTTATAATAGTTTAGTCGACAAGTAATACTGATTCCAACCTTCTTGTTTGGATCAGACGGCGAAGGAGACGCAGGAGACTATTCCCGACCTGCAGGCCATGTCCGTTCTGAGCATGTACCAAGACAACATGTCGCAGGACATGAACACAGACCGGTGAGTGAGTGCGTTAGTCTTGCAACAGCTTAATAACCGGCTCAGCATACGCAGAAAATTTTAATCTCTAACTGGATAAACATAAGGGGTCAAATCAAGTCAATGGACCTAAGTGACCTGACGCAGTTGCATTACCTTTTCCGAAGATGATTTGAAAATGACTAATTAAATTAATTTCTGTAATGCTAGTTGTAGGTCACTACCTAACAACAACAAACAAATCGACAACACTTGTCGATTTGTTTAAATCGGGACAGAAGTTGAAATAGGTAAATCGGGATTTAGGGTTGTAAATTGGGACAAACATAAATGAGGTTTTAACCGACTTCAAAAAATAAGGTGATTTTTTTAAAAGTTTTTAGTAGACTAAGTAACAAATCGGGACGCGTCCTCAGACCCTTGAAAATCGGTACGTCCCGCCATAATCGGGACACCTGGCAACGCTAGTTGTGGGATAGATCACATTGGGAAGCTGCTTCCCTTAACACTGTTTATTCCTTAACATTGTTTATGATGGCATTTCGAAGTTATAATTTAAGCCCAATCTGAGCCTCTTGTCTATTCATTTAATGATTCGTAATTGCTACATACGACAACATAGTTTGTATCAAAACTATTGTGTTGTATATTGTATAGGTGACCAACTTTTTTACATCGTTACATCAACGACAAAAACTTTAAAAGTGCTTGATGATGATGCCCGATAAAATATTATGCCGGATTGATTTGAATTAGATAGGTTTGAATATAAATTACTCGTAGTTTGTACCTACCGTGTGTAGTCTGGATCTAACAACCTCAGTTAATTATATTTGATAAATTTTGTATTCACAATGCTATACTGAAAATATTCTTAATGAAAAATGCTTAAAACATCCAATTTGTCCCTGTACTCTGAAATGCGATTAATTTTATGAAAACGTCATATACCGTTTGATGTTAAGGTAAATGTATTCCACAATATCTATAACAGTATTGACAATAAAATTAGCTATGATGAACGAAGAAGGTATTTTTTTTTATATTTGCCAATTTTACTAAATTTCAATGAGCTGTTGCAATTTAACGCGTTGTTTTGTGTGACTTGTGTTGTGAATGTGTTAAATATATGTTGTGTTGTGATTCCGTTTCAATGTCAATGACCTAACATTGTTTGAAGTTTAAATAACAGATTTACGACTAATATTTTTTTGTAGAGTTCATGGTTTGCACAATTCAATGTACTGGGTGATATATCCATTTAGGTTTCAATATCTACTAATTGAAGTGATTATTGACGCTATTCATAGTAATATACTCACGTTACTCGAATCCGACACCATTCCCAAATAGTTTTGGGAACATTCCGTAGGTATTATTAGGTTTCATTAAAATAATCGCTTCTCAATGTCTCCAATTTGACATTTTATTTAAGGTCAATGTCGTTTCTGTTAGTCTTGGGATTCAATTCTGCTAATGTTAATGTAATTATGACATGTCAATAGTGTTCCAAAACCTTTGTTGACACAGTTAATGTAACTAAATCATAAAATAATAGAAGAATCTGTCGTCGTTGATTCATCAACACGCCATTGCTAGAGTGAAATTCTACTAATTGAAATGCCATTGAAGTGCACTTATTACGTTAATATTAGTAGAATTGAGGGCCCGTTAAATGGCCACCCTTAAACAGGGCCTCGGTCCAGTGAAAGGTCAAAGATTTCCTCTCACAAGGTAATGCGAGCTTTGTAATGAATTGATGAGACAGTAACAAGATTGTTAAAAATAAGATCTTGACATAAAGCTTAAAAATAACGAGGACTGTACTTATAACTCCGGGAGACAAAAAAGCAGGATGTTTCTTGAGAAAATGGGACTTTGATGCAACCGTATATAATGATCTGGCTAGTAAATATCCGTACTGACTGATATAACTTATTTAAATATCTTCACCGTTCATGGTTGTTACACTTCCTACGTAACTATAGTAGTATGTGAAGGTTGCGTTGCGTACCCATTTTATTAGAGTTATTCTTCCAATTGTGTGTCATCAATACATAGGGCGTTGTTTCCCCATTTATCTGTAAATACGACTGATGATTATTATCATAGAATTACGCTACGAAAAATAATGGATTTTTATCCATTTGAAAAGTGTTATTACTTTTTGATTGCTGATAACTTGATAGGCGTGCAAGATATTGTTTAATCTAGGCTGTTATCAAGAGATTTGTGAGGGTCAAGTTACTGGTTATTTGTTAAAGAAAGTCTCTTAAAATTTGGGTCAGTTTATTTTTAAACATTTGCCGTACGACTGTTTCATAATATCAAATTATCCCTTCGGGCAAAGTTCAGCGTTATCGTTTTGTGCATTTAATTATACCATTATGACGAATATATTTCCTAAATATTCACCTAATTATCAGTTAATATTTATTCTTGATACTTTTAACTGCATGAATATGACACCGCATTCTTTTATAACTGGAAAACTGGTTTTTCTAAAATGGAGGGAAAAGGGTATTCATCTTTTAATAATAGTCATATCCTTCAGTATAGAATCCGTCCCCCAAGTGTAGCTGTTTACAGGGACAACGGTAGCGAGGCGTCGACGCGTCCCGCCGAGGAGTGTCTTTGCGGGGGTGATGCTCTGCCAGACGTGACTGGCAATGGCAAGCCAACCGCCAACCATTGCTCGTGAGTACTCTAGACGTGTATTGGACCAAAGAACAGAGACGATATGAGTACCGAGTCTCATAATCGGTCTCTGATATTTTTATTTATTTAAGTTCTTTATTATGTATACGAAAGAATGCTTACTCATTTATTCCTATTGTCAATTGTTTTAGAAGTTTACTAGAAAAGAAAATAGTTTAGTATAATTTTAATATAAATTAAACATGTCATTGTACGTTCAACTATATCTATTTATTTTTCTAAACAGATATTTGACCAGACTTTTTCGCACATGACGTGTCATCTTAACATGGAAAGGATATTAACATAAACACGTTAGTGAGTCATTAGTAGACATGCTACAAAGTAGCTGGATAATTATTCGTTAAATGTACCTAACTGTTCACTTAAAATGATTTTTTCTTGATTATTATCGTACCGATCAAAGTAGATATAGTTTGACTTATAGGGCTAAGAGAAAAAATAGGCTACGAGCGACGTTTGATTGATAGCAAGTTTACAGAAAAGACACAATTTGTCTATAGATCATATGATTATAAAACTGAACTTGTTTTAAGGTCAACTTTTAACTCGCTCACATTGTATATTTTGTCATATTAATTTACTTTATTTAATTAAGGTAAAAGCGGTATATTGCAATCTGTTCATCAAATACCGTGTCTTGTTTGGTCACCAACTGCCTACTTGCGATTTGCTATAATTGAGTTGATAATTTATAATTCGTATGGACTTATTGAGTATCGATTTAGTAAAGCTTTATACATTTTAGTATTCGTATTCATATCGCAAATAGCTTATGTGTAAGCTGCTTGCCTGTATCAGATTTTGTGGTTCTAATTATCGGGTAATATAAGTATATACATATATATATATTTAAATCTGGTTCTTGTTTAGCATTGAAGTTAATATCTTTTATTGTTTTAAGTTATTGCCAATTAATTGATGTGGGCAAGCAGCCTTAGATCAATGTGTTTGGTTCAATACACAGTACATAGAAAAGAGCATATAAAATGAAATGTATGTACTGCTTAGGTAGGTACATTCTATCCACGTAGTTTTAGAAGTATCAACAGCATTGTGTACGTCTATCTGTGTTTACCACTTTTTATGTTCATAGTTATTATCAACTGGGAGTTATGAGGTCATATAAAACTAACATAATTCAACTAATACTAAAGGCTTTGCATTCTGCATGCGTTTAACAATTTGTAAATAAAAAGGAATACGTTAGTTTGGATAAGAAAAAAATATTAGATCCATTACTCTGACTGCAAAAAGCTAAGGCATATTGAATTCCGACTTAGAATCTTTATGGTCGTTCTTATATGCCGTCGCCTCAATAAAATTATATAAGATTGTAGCGGCACAAAGGCCACCATTCGCCGCTATGTCAACATTGTTACGTTAAGGCCTGGAGTATTTTATTGGGAATTTCATATGAAGTTTCCTCAGTTTCCATGTCTATAGTTTTTCTAATGTTGCCTAATATGACATTAATATTAATTGAGCATCGTCCATTATGCATCAATTAGATCCCATTAAGTATTGTTTGATTGAATAGTTTATTTAAAATAAATAGAATAGTTCTTTTTGTTCATTATATTCGAACACTCGTTTCCATTCCCGGTTAGAGTTTGATTGATTTTTTATGCAAAATGCTTAGTGGTCGCAGAATACGAGCTCTACTTTCATTTTTAGAGAAGAGTGAAGCCATTTTGCAATGATATTTGAATATAAATCTGTTTGTTTGTGTAGTATCATAATGGGCGGCGTGCTCAACAACCCGTCACTTACTTTTAACGACGGCGTGCGGACCATCGACTACGTTTTAGTATGGGAGTCTGCTAAAGAAGACGCCTCCAAACCAGAGGCATTCGAGCAGAGGAAAATATTCGAGGAAAACTTGGAGAATGAAGGGCTGCAATTGGAGCGAGAAGCGCCGGAGAATTTGCACGGGCTTCACTTTGTTAAGGTAAATCTTATGTATGATATACAAACAACCCGTTCTCCTAGTCTTTATTTTTTTTCGCTATCTTCAAATGTCATCATCTTACGTCGTCGAATATACTCAAAACCTTGGGGAAAGAGGAGTCACCCTCTGCGGGAAGGAAAAGACTTGGGTAAATAACAGTATTTTCCCAAACGGTGGATCGTCCCCGTGGGCTAATCCCAGGGGGTGCGGCTGGGGTGTCGGCCCTCGTCCGCCGATCCGCAGAAGGGAGGGATGCGTTAATACGCGATCCCACCCCCTTTGCCGCCTTCCCTTTCAAAAGTGCCGCCCGGGCCTCCCAACTGGGATTCCTGTGGGCTTACCCCAAGGCTGTTCCATTAGGTCTTCCTCGCAGCACTCTCGTTCCCGCTACCATATACTCAAAACCTCAGTGAATTATGCACCGGAATTTTATATATTGTATATATTTTTGATAGTTTTTTTTTTTTTTGTAATTATGATTCAAATGTTTAATGTATGTTGTAGCGATAAATAAAATAAATAAATAAATAATTTCTTTCTCTTTCTTTCAGATCCATGCGCCTTTAACAGTTTTGAGGGATTATAGTGAAATATTAAAGTTAAGAATGCCAATGAAGGTATATTGAACTATGTGTGCTAAAATAAATATATTTAGTATAATAGATGTTATTTATATGAACACTTCATTAGAAGCGTGATTGTGTTGCTTAGGGTTACCATCTATAAAAAGTAGCAACTATAATTATAGCATAAGAAACGTCAACATTCCGGTTTTAAGAGTGTAAAATTCCGTATGTACAATAAGGTATCGTACAATTGTATCCATTCGCACGCGTACGTTGCCGTCAGAAGTACTGCGGTGATCTATAATAATATAGGATAATTTTGCAATAATATATTTCCGGAAATATCCGGATGGATGGCAACCCTAGTATTTTGGCATGCAGTACTGACCCCTTATTATTGAGCTTGTTATTGCTTCGGGGTTAAAGTCAATATTGAGTATTTAAAATAATAATATATCACACGGAGAGAATGTTTCCGAATCTTAAATAGTTTCCGATTATATCACGATGGATACATAACCTGAAATCAAGTCAATGTTAGTCATTGAAAAATACCTATATGCTGAACTTAAAATAAAAGTATTTTTTTTATTAAATGATCTTTTAGTATATATAATATAGCATGTCGTTTGTTTATTTATATAGTATAAATCTGCTACCACAATTTGTTAACGTTGATGTGAATATATAAAAATGGATAAAATTTTACTCACAACAATTCTCTCCGTGGATAACGTATAATTTAGATGTATAATTTATGCTCGATTGTTTTTGGCAAGTATATAAGAAATTTAATAAAAAAAACAAGTTAGTTTGTATTTTGTACTTTTTACTAATTATTATTTAATTGAATACCATTTGACCGTGTAGTTGGAACACGCACTGCACGATCGCACGAGGATTTTTAAATATATTGGTAGCCCTTTTAGCAACAGAAATAAACTACAAATTTAGTTCCAATATTATGCAAGTAGGGTATAGAACCCTTATGTTAAAGGTTCCCAAATTCGGGATATATGTCAGTCGCTTCCACTTGCGATTATATCAAACTTTCAAGCGAGATCCAAATTTCCGGCCGGATACGATACGATACTCCTCCGGTTGCGATACTATTATTTAGATAATACAATCGCGTAACAAAAATTAGCTATATTCAATATAACTTTCATGTAATGTTATAACTTATTTTACTATAAGATTTATTAAATCATAGAAGCAATGAACGTCAATAATAGTTAGACTAAGAAGAAATCGCCAACATTCTTGCTCTATTTAAATTTAAAAATCAAAATTCGTTTTTTTTTCTTCTAACAATATATATGGAATTATTGTTTAAGTAATATATGTTTATAAAATTTGTAGTAACATGCACACGCGTGTTGTATGTAGCACGGTAACATTGTATTGTGTGTATACGTTCGTAGGATTGCAGTAAGATAAGAAAAACTGGGCGGACGAATGCCATACTGAACGCTGCTATGTATATGTCTAAGGTATGCGAACGGTGAGGCAGGCGCATGGCTTTACTAACCAACATGTGTGACGTAACGCTTAGGGTTGGTTGCACTTATTTACTTTAACAATAACAAATATGTTAAAGTACCGGTTAAGCAAATAAGAATGATCATTTGGCTATGGTTAGATGAAGTCATAACTCTAACTATAAACTATAACCGCTTTAGTTTTGCTGGTTAAAGATATTGTTTTAATATGCCAAGAAAGAGGCCGGAGTGACACATTCCACAGTCAATGTTAAAGTTAGCGTGACAGATATAGACACATTTGACATAAACCTTAACTTTTACTGCAATTATGGTGCAATCCAACCTTAGTCAATTTTCAGTGCGTCTTTGATGTTGTGAATTGATGTTTACACGTGTTATCGTTTAAATGTATTTTAATACAGTGGTTAATTAATGCATACAATCTCATTTTTATGTATTCATATGAGAATTGTGTGAAAGAGAGCCGAATAATGAATGTGAACCAGTAAGATGCAGTTCCTTTTTACTTAGCTTAAGGAGACATAAAAAGCAAAGCCAAGTCTGCGTGTGGGATGATATTGATATTTTTGTTATTAAAAATAATTTCTGTAATAAATAAACAGGCTATATTAATAAATGCATAATTTGTTTGTGGTTATACTAACAATATTTTATAAGTTATTTTAAAGAATCATTCCAGGTACATAAAATATGTTTATTTTGTGTTACACTCTGCAATCTAACTTTTCATTAGAATTACTAATAATTTGTCATATAGTATTTTTATATATATATATAAAAGTATAAAATGGACATATTAAAAACACAATACATATGTTTTTATTTATTATGTTATTATAATCCATTTTGTGTTGATATAGCTTTTGATTCCCTTACCAGTTGCTACCCTCAAGTAGGGCCATTAGCACCTTTTAGTTTTACAACTACACCCCGTACAACAAAACACAGTACTGAAATGATGTTGAGGTGTATGGTAGCGATACGTATCGTCTACTTTTCAACGCTTACATAATTGTATACATATAGTTTTTGGTCTGTTTTAAGACTATATAAGGATGATCTCAATGTGCATATTTACATTCTTATTTAAATTAGGTAATTGTGAACAAACAAGTTGTTTCAAAACGAACTCTATTACTAATTCAGTTAGTTTAATGTTACAGTTTTCAGCGTTGAAAGATGTACATGAGAAAACGAACAGTTTCCTGGATCAGGCGGACGCGTGTTGGAACAGGTTCATGTCAAATATAAGGCTCGACCCAGAGAAGTTTCCGGAAAGGAAGCATCGACTCACTGCTATTTATTCTAAGGACAAGGAATATTTGTAAGTTATCTGTCATATCATATGAGTTTTTATTTATCATTATGGTATGTCATTAATATTATGAAAATGTTATATATATAATAGGCTTGGGTCCTAATAGTAAAAATACAGGTTTCTGTTATATGTCCGGAAAATATGGACAATTTTCATCTTGTAAATATTTGACAAAATAAATTTTATAACACTGATTTCGAAAATATTATGCTTTGAAAACTTGAAAATTTGGCAATTTGCTCAAACATATATGTCGTTAAATTAGTTACATAAAATGTTACAACTTTCAATTTAACAGTTATAAACATTAATGCACAAATAACAAAAATTGCCCTGAAGCCCATACACGTTTTGCTACCGTAAAACTGTCTGACGTCACTTAGTACCTTCAAGTTGTGGGGATCGTTATCGACCGAACTGCATTTCTACAAAGATAGAACCATATCTCCGAAACTATTAATCATCCTTCAGAAAAATTGTATTATTTTAAATAGTTTTAGATGACATGGAAATAGGGACACGTTTATTTCTTACTAGTTTTCTTTTTTTTATAGTTTTAGATGACACGGAAATAGGTTTATTTCTATCTAGCATTCCGCCAGCGGCTTCGCTCGCGTGGTCTTGTATTATACATAAAAACCTTCCTGTTGAATCACCCTATCTATGAAAAAAACTGCATCAATATCCGTTGCGTAGTTTTAAAGATTTAAGCATACAGATAGATATAGGGACAGAGTAAGCGACTTTGCTTTTACCCGACTGCGCGACGCAAAGGAGGGTAGTGTAGTTTATACTATGTATCACTACACTTGTTCAAAAAATTTATTTAATATGTTAGTATTTATATTTTGAACAGCTTTTTCCCCATTTTTGACACACAATGACAAAATCATCGGGATATATGACAAGGAGATTTGAACACGTATCAGCCAGTGCGTTCGGTCAGCGATACGGATGTTGAGAAACTTTTGAAAAGCTTATCCATTAGATGGGTGACCAAAAATTTATTTTTTCAAGCGCCTCCGTGCTTCAAAAGGCATGTTCATCCACTGGTCCCCGCTGAAAAGGCAGTCGTTAACACTCATCAATCCGTACTGGGACCACGTATCCTTAACCATACTGTGTGCCCCAGCAGTAACATAAATAGGATCACGATTATAACGATGACGTATCTGCCATAGATTCGACACGAACGCGGAATGCTTCTGGACGCCGTCGATCAGGTCGCGCATCGTACAGTTCATATTGGACCGCAAGAAGTTCTCGAGCGCTTCCGGCGATGACTTCGCGTTCGGTATAGCTCGACTCATCGATAGAAACACTTACAGCGCCGCCTACCCATTACACGATGTATGTATATATAATAGTCCAGTCATATTAATCTTTGAATGAGAAATATGTTGCGAACTCGTATTCACGTTTATTTTGACCTTTTAAATGTTTTCTCGAAAGTTTAATAAAATCTCGTGAATGCGTCTCGAGTTGTTCGAGGTCGATAAACGAAAGTTAATTCATTTTTTTTTTTCTGGTAGTGTTCAATATATTTTTAGTATTACTAATAATCACACTGATGCTTATTATAATTATAATATTGCTTAAACTTATTAAATAAAACTTAAACTAATTAAATTAAATTACTTAAAGTAAAAAAACAATATTTTATGCTCTTTGTCACGTGACCTTAAACAGCGCGTGACGTCATGCCCTTCTTACTCACATCAGAACTTAGAGAATTTAACCTTATGCATACATAGAACGATATTAATGAACGATATTAATAAGTGCCGTGACGTCATAGCGACGCAAAGACAAAAGTGGCGTTTTCGCGGGGAATTTAGAAAATTCAATTTATTTTTAGATTTTAACTTATTATATAAATCATATTTTTTAGATATATTTCATGTATATCTAAAACATAAAAATAAAAAAATGTCTACACCCCTATTAGTTAATTAACAAATCTTATCACTCCTAGAAGTTGTCATCTATTAAAAATTATAGACAATATTATGACAAATCTAATCATTTTTCTGTGCGCAAATGTTTTGGTCAGGGAGCTTTGTTGAGTAACACTGCGAAGTGCCTATAAATATTAAGGTTAAAGTGATAGATATCCGAATTATTAATTTCAGAATCTATATAATTAAATTATGAATATATATTTTTTATTATAAAATAACTTTATACATAATATTCACCAAGAAAGATAACAACACTGGGACGATTGAAACCGGGATAATCACAAAAAAAGGATTTTTGTGACCTTTGACCTTGAGTAAGTTATAACGAAGAGCAGAGCTGTCAAATCCACAGGATTTAGCTATCCAGGACCTAACAGGACTGACGAATTCTTTCAAGCACTTATTGCTTTTTCGCTACTATAGAGTGTAGTTTCTAAAAATATTTTTCAGCGTTGTGAATGCAAAATTGATTAAATATAATATATTAATTAAATTAGTAATTTATATCTTGACAGTTGAAACGTACTGACATTGAAAAAAAAGAAACTGCTAACATAAATCAGTCAAATTAACTTTTCCTAATAAACTGGAAACTCGTATATAGTTTCATTTTGATTTCCTAAGAATTGTCTTAAAAGTCTTATTAAAGCAGTCGCCTGGATTGTGAGAGGTCATAGGTTGGAGTCCCGTCTCAGAGTACCAGGGACAAAGTGGATATTTAAGCATTTTTCCATTAAGAATATCAATTAATGTTGATTTTTTATTATTGAAAATGTCTATAATCTTTGTTTCGGAATGTCACATATAGTTTATCAGATATAGATTTGTGTTTGAATTGCAGGGTGATCTCAAAACCCCAGGCTCAATGCGTTATTTATTATATAAGGAGTGGGCGAGTGTATCAAAGTGCATCAACTACCAGCCTTTGGATTACGTTAAAGACTATTTCGGCGTTAAAATAGGTGAGTTGAGATATTAGACGAGTAAGCCCATTATCATTATACAGGGTTATGGGTAATTAGACCGAATGCTTTTAAGGGGTCGTAGGGGAGGTCATTTACAATTATTTTCACCTCACATTATGTATCCAAAATTGAGCCATTTTTGTGATAAATTGTATTTATTTTTTGCTTTAAAAAAGTCTAAAAAAATGATGGTTAGAATCTAATTTTGTTGACAGTAAGGTACAACTGATGTAGCTCATTGATATACCTGCGCAGAAGGCAAAATTTCGAAGTGCGGCAAATATCGGCCAATCAGAATTCTTCAAGCGCGCATCTACATCTAATGCATTGTATTTTGCACTTTATGATTATTAAATTAAATTTAAATAAAGAAATTAATATATTAAACATTAAACAACATCACATACATTGCTCAGAGTATCTGAGATAACGAAAGTATCACAACGTCCAGACCCGAGACAATATAGAAAAGTTCATTTTCTACATTGACCCATCCGGGAATTGCACCCGGCACCCCAGAGATGGCGATACCTCGAAATCGGCGTGCGAACCACTCGGCTACGGATGTCGTCAAATATTGAAACAAGACTCATTATAAATTTTAAGAGTACTTTTGGTCGTCGTATACTTGCCAATGCCGACCTCGTTGGCAAGTATAGTCAGCGCAAATGAAAATTCACCACGGCAGTCCCGTACATTGGTTATTTTAAGAGTTTATTTTCGGGAAGTTTGGCTTCAAGTAAGTTGGAACATATTATAGATAGATAACTATTTGTTTCAGGTTTATATTTCGCGTGGTTAGGTTTCTATACGCACATGCTGATCCCCGCGTCTATTGTGGGTTTGATATGTGTCATATACTCGGCCGCTACAATTTTTTCAAACAAACCAAGGTGAGAAACCAATAATAACTTGATTTTTTATAACAAAATGTAACAGGTAAGAAGGTCAAACTTAGACTATTCCAAATATTTATAGTTAAAAATACATTTAATATATATATTTTTTGATTAAGTATTTATATTTATTACTGTAAATATTTAATGTTAAGAATGGTTAAATGGATTGCGAAATTTGACATAATTTGAATCTAAATTGTTAATTTTATCTTGATAATTATAAAATACTACATAAGCTCTTCTTGTACTTTAAACTTATTATTAAAAAAAAATCATCTTTAAACAACTCTCAAATGTGTTTTTTCTGATAGAGAAAATTGTCTATGATGGACTAAAAAAACAACCTCCTTTTGTTTGAATTTTTATTTATTATGTTTGTATTATTTTTATAGTATAAAACAATAAAAATAAAAGTTATTTTGAACGTTTTTTGTATTTAAAAGATGGTTGCCAGTAACTGGATAATTATCCGACATTATCATGATAATTATCAATAAAAATATTATGAACCCTGAGCATGGTTTAACTGAAATGTATTTTTTATCGTTGACATAGTGAGGAGGTGTGCAAATACAACTCGAGTATCAAGATGTGCCCATTGTGCGACTACTTCTGTGATTATTGGGATCTGCGCGACACATGCCTGCAGTCCAGAATCACATATCTGTTCGATAACTCCACCACTGTGTTCTTCGCTATATTTATGAGCTTCTGGGGTGAGTCATTATCATCAATATTTTATCGTCTCCAGGCGCTCAGAACTTCCTTATGGATGGTTAAAGAGAATGTGCTATGAGACTCCACGCTGGCCTAATGCGGTTCGGAGGGTATTTACGACTGCAAATGCAACTAGGACCAATGGCTTAACGTGCCTTCCGAAACACGGGGTAGTTCGAAATGATGATTTTTCGGTCACCAATCCCGTAATCGACCCTTGCGAAAGTTGCTTCACAACAACGATCGCGCTCGCCGCGGCGCTTATCCACTACGCTACCGGGCTACTCATATATTATATAGTATTTAGTGGTTGAAGTATATTTTAGTATTTAATTATTTTTGATAAATTTTAATGCTATAACTCGTACGAATTTATATGGTGTTATATTTGTTCTCGAACGAAAATGTAGAAGATTTCGAATCGTTCTTCTAAATTTTTTAACAATCATCAAATCTGTGAAGATTATCTGGCGGTGCCAGGTCCTACCTCTGTTGTATTATATAAAATAATACAAATTATGAAATATCGTTTTTGGAGAGATAGATGTGGCATCAGGTGTCATGTTAATTCGTACGAGTAGTGTATTTAATATATTTCTTTCGTAAAGAACCCTTTTTTATTTTAGCAAGTGGAATTTTTGTACTATATCTTCCACATGCAAAGATTTCGTATTACAGCTGCTTTGATTTGATGTTTTTCAGGCTTAAACATTTTATTTATACAGTCGCGATAGTTTTGACAGTATTATGGTATGAGTATCCCTGAAAATAAATTTATTGTTCAATAAATAAATCTCCTTTTTCATTGTCATTGTCATTTTTTCTCCTTTTAACCAAGTTTAGAACATATTCAAAAATGCCTACCAATGATTAACCTTAAATTTTTGAGCTTATCTACAAAAATAAATTTATTGTTATTTCGTCGTAAAATAATCGCAAACATTACAAGAACCTAGAATCTGCCCGTTCTAAAATTTTAGAAAAAATACGAACTGGTTTCGCTACGAGTCTGTCTCGCAAAGCTGCCCACTGTGATTTAACCTACTTTTTGCCCGTTCTGTATTTACTTTTGACTTACGTCAAAAGTTGGCTTGTGACAAAAGTTTATTCTGAGCAAGAGCCATCTTGAATAGCTCGTGTGGCTGCATAGTCTGTGAGGGTTTGTTGATAAACGTTTGACGCGTTCCTTTGTATTCTAGCGGCGTGTTTCCTGGAGTTGTGGAAGCGTTACTCCGCGGAGATGACTCACCGTTGGGATTTGACGGGATTCGATGTGTACGAGGAACATCCGCGACCGCAATATCTCGCCAGACTCGCGCACGTCAAACGTACACAGGTTGGTGTGGTGGATTGGGTATTCGGGAATGTGTGCAGGAATAGATAGACCTCTTCTTAATTTTTTTTTTAATTTTATTATGGAGGAGTATGACATTCGGCACACTTAAAGTTCGCCTAGACAAGTATAAATATGATAATTGAATAATTGCAATTATATTGTATGAATGAAAATGTCTTTATTCAAGTAAGCTTATAAATAAGTTACTACTTTGAATGATCCAAAAAATTTTTTTTTATCCCTACCACTTGACTCCGCACGTCTTTTAGCTGACAAGAAGAACAAGCGTAAGAAACTTACCAGCTCTTTATCATAAGTAATGGCATTTACATAAATCATGTCATTACAACTCTCAGTTTGTAGTACATAGGTTGTACATATAATTAGTCGTTACAGAACAAAGGGAAGTTGCTGATTGATTCCATGCATTGAGGTCCTTAAAATAAGCATCGACTTTATAATAGCTTCTAAACTCGATCCGGTATGCGATTTTACAAGAATTCTAAATTCATTAACGGGATAGGTCCATCACACATTGTGGAACTTGATTGAACATAGAAATGCATTACTCAGAAATGATCCTACTGCGTGTTCTGAAGTAGCGGATAGCTTGGAAAACGGCAAGTTTAGTGTCAGGTCTTGTGCTAAGAGGATGGACACTATTTTTTCCCGTGAAGGAATCGTACTGTATATTTGTGTACATAATATTTTCATAGCTGTATTGATAGCCTCTCAATACAGCTATACTACACAACGCATTGCAAGCGATGCCCTTGACTAGCGTTATACATCACCATCATCACGCACCATCATCATCATCACCAGCCCTTTTACGTTCCCAACTGCAGGGGCTCAGGCCTTCCTCATAGATGGTTAAGGAGGATGGGCCATGACCGTCCACGCTGGCCCAACGCGGATTGGAGGGTATTAACGAGCCGGGACCGACAGCTCAACGTGCCATCCGAAGCACGGAGCTCGATATAATAATTATTCGGTCACCCATCCCGTGACCGAGTCTCGCGAAAGTTGCTCAACGCCTACGATCGCCACCGAGCTACGCAGCGTTATACACGATCGTTCTGAACATCGTTAGCTGAACGTGGTGACCGGGCAGCGGGAGCCGATGGTGCCGTTCTGGCGCATGCGGCTGCCGGCGACGCTGATGTCGTTCAGCGTGGTGGCGCTGCTGGTGCTGGTGGCGGTGGCGGCGGTGCTGGGCGTGGTGCTGTACCGCATGTCGCTGCTGGGCGCGGCCGTGCTGCGCCACAACACCAACGCGCTCATCACCTCCAACCCCATCATGTTCACCACCGCCACCGCCGCCTGCATCAATCTGTGTCTCATATGCGTATTCAACTACGTGAGTAGATCATTACTTCTGTTGTAGATAGTGTTTGTGGGTACACCTTTTTGCGTACGGTTACGTTACTAGTTCGGGTTCGAGATGTGTGGATGACGACTGGGTAAAAAAAAAAAATTATATTTAGTCTGCCAGTCAGATAATAGTAAAATATTAAATACTTATTTATTTTACTTCAATTTAAAAATAAATAGTTTAGGTAATAAGCATTAAAGTAGTGGGGGGTATTTAAAATAACAAACTTTTTTTCACATCACTAGTCTCGCTTCACAACACTACTTGATCGTCCAGATAGTCCCCTTCATTAATTTTTCATTAATATACTATACTATAGAGTTAACTTATTGTGAAAATCATAATAGCAGTTGCTATTTTAGTTAACCAAAACAAGTAACAACAAAACAATAACAATCATAACCAACAAAAACAAAACGATGTGTGATCTTAACACAACCCAACTCAATAAGTGTACTCGTCGACAAGTGTGTATTTGTTATCGGTACTGATTTTTGAACGCAATTACGTCATCTTCCACCACAGAAATATATCTAGTTAGAAGGAAAAAGCGTACGTACTTCGCGTGCCGAAACGACGTCTAGACAGCTTCATTGCTTGCCGCGAGGCTCAGTCCACTTTCGATCGCAATCGGTGTTGGACGACATTTAAAATGACGCGTTGTTCGATAATTACCTGCTCAAACACCACCAATATGGTTGGATCTTATAGTCGAGGTATTTCCTTCCATCGGTAAGTATCTATTTGCCTTGATATATCTATTTTGAATTAAAAATCATTAGTTTTGTTGCTCCGTATTATTTTTATCAAAACGGTCATGTGTCCAGTAATAGCTTTCCAATGCGGCTTTAATTTGACAGTCCAAATTTGCTGTGCTTGTAAAACCATCGATGTATAATTCAAGGTCAATTTGTTGGAGGACAAATTATCATTTTTTCTGTCAAAAACGGAGAATAGTGCTGTACAATGCGATTTTTTTACCCGATTATAAAAATATCGTTTTTGAAAGCAGAAAAAATGATAATTAATTTTATATTGAATTATATTGTAATTTTTGTTTTAGTTTTTCGTATGATCCTCATATTAAAAATAAATGGATTGAAGCAACAGGACTCTAAGGCAAATAGTAGGTAAACTTACTGGACATGGAAACTTTAACAAACACCTATATAACATGGGTTATTCTGACAGTCCTCTGAGCAGGGCGTGCATGGAGACTGAGGACATTGTCTCCTCAGTCTCCATTCCAGTATCACATAAGCGCTTGTGCACTCATGTGATACTGGAATGCAGGAGCCAAAGACAAAGGACTACATATCTATTAAGCCCAAGGATACTAGTGGAAGCATGCGGCAGAGTTCGAGATCTTACGGGCTTCCTGGAGGAGCTGGGGTGGCAGGACTAAGGCAACCCCGTGTCATGCAAAATAGGCACTGAGTATCGAGTTGCAGAAAAGCCCGCCGTGAAACATAACATAACAACACAGGACGTAAAAATGTGTAGCGTGTCGGGAGGGGGTAGCGGCTACTACAAAGTGTTTGCCCACAGAAAAATGCCGATTTCTATTCTATCGCATAAAATCTTTTTTGCGCCGATTCACTAAATTACATTCGTTAGTTCGTGACATATACATAATATTTAAGCAAAATGGTAGTATGAAAAAAATTGAGGGCGCTGCGATCGAGCACGTAGCAACCCTATGTAGTGAGACAAATGATTTTGATAGTAGGATTTATTTTTACTTTTATTACCCCAGAAAAGGTAAAGAAAGGCGTATAATTCGTAGACAATGAGTTTATCTACATTGAAGATTACAATATAGTAATCGTAATTTTTGATAAATCTTTTTTTTATTGCCAAGTTGTTTTCTCGTTTTACTGCAATGTGTGCTTGTGTTCGATTAAAGCCTGTTAGTTTGAAAGTCCTTGTAAGAAAACCCAATATATTTCAGAATTTAACGCAGGACTTCTAGGCTACAATTAAAATCCAGATCGGTTTTGGCAATCCACTGATGTTTTCTTCATGTAGGTACCTCTTTTTTTCACAGAGTAAAAGAACTGAATCTTTTGTCGAAGTGCACAAATGTTGCAGTTAACCATTTATTTCTTAGGACGACTATCTATGTTTCCCAGGGGTTTCAAATATGCCACCATTTTTATAACCTTCATCTACAATACGTATCACTATATTCTCTGATTTTCCTGAAAGTAAGTTTTAAAAATGTAATACCTATAGGTACTTGGCAAAAAGAATGGAATCGCCACAATGATCAAATTAATGCTATAATTTTAGTAATATAAAGCACAAACTTTTTACTGGCGTGCGTAGGTAAAAATCGTACATTCCTAACAGGTATATTTTTTATTCAGATTAAAATCAATGATAAATTTGATTATCCAAAAGTATTGAAAGTTCAGGCCGCACTACAATATAGCCTTCTAACATTTTCAATCTAACCTATAAATGCATAATGTAATCAATACTTCTTTTAGACTTAAATTCATATATTTAGTAAATTTGAAACTTCTGGTAACCAAAACTCAATCAGTAACACGATTACATACCAGCCATAACTGCCGTTCGAGCTTTAACATCCTACAAATATGATAAAATGTGTCCAGCTTCTTGTTCCAATAAACATCACTGTGTAGCGACTAAAATCACTACCATATACGCTCTCGCTTATAAATGAAGCCAGAGTCGTAAATCATACGATGATCAGGCGATCTATTGTTCTCGCGACAACATCGAAACCTGTCCGGCCGTAAGGACCGCCTCATGCATCGCTAATTGGTGCGTGGCCTAGAAAGGGGCGTTCGACGCATCCGCAAGCCACTGCCTACCAGCCCCCGGCGCGGGCGCAGGACAAAATGAATATAAGGCAACGACGGATCGACGAGCGACACTTCTTGCTTTGCTTTCGCCGCCTTTCATTGCTTAAAAATAACTCGCGCTTATCGCTTTTTATGATTCCGTTTCTTGTCATTTTTTATATATAAATGTTGGTTTTAAATTCATGTATTATTCTGTAAAGTAAAACGTTTCTGTAAAGTCGTGACGTGTTTTAATTAATTAATATATCGTGTAGTCTATTGTGTGTAATAAATAATAGTAACGAGTTGGAATCAGTTACAACAAATTTGGCAAGGGGTTTTACAACTCATTTCATTCCCTTCAACTGAAAAACTTTATAAATAATATCCTGAGCTTCACTCTGATAAATTCTCTTCATTTTTAACACTTTTCGACGGAGTTTAGAAGAAGTAGCTTCAGTTTAATCAAAATAAATCAAAAATGCAGAAAATCGAGCTAAAAAATCAAGTTGTTGACAGTCGATGTACTTTGATTCAGTGTTGTCATACTTGTGTCTAATGTTAGTTCCTCAAACATTCTTTTCATGACTTTATAGACAGACTGTACACGTTGGTCTCCGTCGATCGATATCGTTATTTCAATCGATAAGAATCGGTATGCCGTTTCAAATACAACATGTATTCGATGCAAGTGAAATTATGTCTTCCATCACTAAATTAAGATCGTGACGTCATGATACCTACACAAAATGTGGCACGCTCGGTCTCCATATAAATCGACGAACATGTTCCTTCTAACTAGATTTATTTCTGTGTCTTCCACCGTGGGAGATCCACGCTTCGGCATGAATGGGCCGGCTCGACCGGAGTGATACCACGGCCTCACAGAAAACCGACGTGAAGCAACGCTTGCGTTGTGTTTCGTCGTGTGAGTGAGGGTACCGGAGGCCCAACCCCTCCCTATTCCCTTCCCTCTACCCCTCAACCCTTCCCTCCAAGGCCGGCAGCGCGCTTGTAGCCCCTCTGGTGTTGCAGGTGTCCATGGGCGACGGTAATCACTTACCATCAGGTGATCCGTCTGCTCGTCTGCCCCCTATCCCATAAAAAAAAATCAAAATGGCGGCCAGGCGTATTAGCATTCTGCGGGGATTATACTGTCCCGCATTTTGCTTTTGCATTATAGATGGATTTTTGAAATTCTTGTTAAAATTATATTTCACTTATACCACTATATTCGAGCTAATCCGTAATATAACTACATCTATTCACAGATATACCAGTATTTAGCGGAATGGTTGACAGAAAAAGAACTGCTACGTACCCAAACTGAGTTCGACGACTCGCTCACTTTGAAGATATACTTGCTGCAATTCGTCAACTATTACGCGTCGATATTCTACATAGCATTCTTCAAGGGGAAATACGTGGGTCGGCCCGGAGATTACGTCAGACTATTCGGCCACAGACAGGAAGAGGTAACGTCTGTCTCTTACTCTTGTCAGATAAGTAATAACCGGTTCATTTAATATTAGTAATTAGTGCAACCAGTAATTATTGATGTAAAATGAACTGGTTTCCTCTTAAGAGGACAACTTCGATGTTCTGGAGCTTATTTGATATAACATATTTATTAAAACCTTCATTTAGCAAAGTTTAATTTCGCATAATTTCATTTCGTATAACAAAGATAGAACCGATCAGTCAGTTAGTTAAGGTTAGAATTATAGGTTAGGTTAGACCTAATAGGGGCTCGAAAAGCAACTAGATAAAATTTTAAATTTTATGTGGTTAAAAAGTACATAAAGTTTAAAAAGTACATAATAGTTTTGTGAAATAACAATTATTTATATTTTTGAATTTCCAATAATTGTAGTCTGTGTCTTACGTCAAATGAATCACCAATCCGAACGCGTGACGTCATTTGAAGGTTAATTGGCAGTAAAACTATCTAGAAATAGCGCGGGAAACATTGAAAGTGCAAAATAATCTTATTGGTTTATTAGATTTCAGGTAACAAGTTCAGTTCAGTTTACTGTTTTATTTGTTTGTTAGTTTAAATTGAAGTACTGCAGATGATAATTCATTTTTTTTTCACTGAAATTCCCTTTTGTTTCCCCACCAATGACGTCACGTCCTCCGAATCGTCGTTTACGAGCTCTATAAAATTATATTTTTTGTCAGAATAAGAGCCCATAATGATTAATTCAGAAAATAGAAGACTATTAATTTTTACGTAATACGTCTAAGGTTTCATTGATTGGACACACTATGATAGACTCACGAGAGAATATATCGCTTGCTAGGCTGCATGAGTAACGTTTTTTACCTAAAGTAAAATAGTGGCTTACATTAATGACCAGCCAGTTTATATATTGTCATTTTTGTCTATTAACCTGTGACGGTTGTATCAGTGCGCGCCAGGCGGTTGTCTGCTGGAACTATCGATCCAGCTCGCTATCATCATGATCGGCAAACAGTTCATCAACACCATAGTCGAGATGATGATGCCATATTTGCTCAAGTGGTGGAATATCCTCAGGACTATAGGCAGGAAAAAAACGTGAGTTAACAGATATACATTCAAACATATTTCACGATCTTTCTTATTTTTGTTATCTTGAATTTTCATACTTGGAATAACTATGATATTGACTTCGACTCTGTTGAATACTTGTGACACAAATTTTTGAATTTGTAAAATAGCAAAATTTAATTTAATAACAAATAATTCATTATGATTCGATATTCGTTCACAATCAAATTATTTTTTTTATTAAAAAAAAGTAACAGTTGTGCATGTAGTTTGCAATTGAAGTATATCAAACCTTACGATTTCAGCATCAAGAGCCCAATGCAATGGGTGAAAGATTTTAAACTAGTCGATTTCGGGAACATGGGACTGTTTCCAGAATATTTAGAAATGGGTAAGCTGACCTGTACCATTATATTAATTACAAAATTTTGTACAAATATTAAGCCAGTCTAAAAATTTCATTTAATAATTTCTTAGCATAGTGTTTTCAGTCAGAAATACATTAAGCTATCTAATATTTTGGATTTTATTTTTTGATTACATATAGTCAATTAGTTTAATACTATAGTACGGTCACAGAATAGAAAAAATATCGTACACGTGTCGTACTTGTGCGTGCATGTGCGTGCATCTGTGCGAGCGCAATAGCAATATTGCGCTCGCACAGTATATTTAAAAAAATGTATAAAAAGTATCATTCATACAATAAGTTAAAATCCAAAAAATAACTATGATGGCATGCCCTTCTAAAACTACCATCATTCTATGTATGCGTAAGGTTTAATTCTCTAACTTCTGATGTGACTAGAGGGGCGTTGTTTGCGGTCACGTGACAACGAGCAAAATATATGTTATATATATATATATATGTTATATATGTATATATATATATATATATGTTATATATGTATATATATGTATGTTATATATGTATATATATATATATATATATTTTTTTTTTTTCATAATTAGTTTAAACAATATTATAAGTATAAGAAGCATAAAAGTGTGATATCGGTAATAGTATATTAAATACTACCAGAAGAAAAATTAAATAAAAAGTATTTATTGTCGTTTACTGTCTACACTCGTATTGTTCTATGACCTTTCCTAATGTCATCTAAATGCAACTGGTCCGCAGTGCTGCAGTACGGTTTCGTGACGATATTCGTGGCGGCGTTTCCCCTCGCTCCGCTCTTCGCCCTCATCAACAACGTGCTGGAGATGAGACTGGACGCGCGCAAGTTCCTCACCTGCTACCGGCGGCCCGTGCCCCAGCGGGTCACAGATATAGGCGTCTGGTACCGAATACTGGACTCCATAGGGAAACTGAGCGTCATCACCAATGTCAGTATCATTATCTTCATCAGCCCTTTTACGTCCCCACTGCAGAGGCTCAGGCTTTCCTTATGGATGGTTAAGGAGGATGGGCCACGACCCTCTATGCTGGCCCAATTTGGATTGGAGGGTATTAACGATTGCTAATGCAGTCAGGACCATCTGCTTAACGTGCCTTCAGAATAAAATTTTGTCCACCCATCCCATGTACGACCCTTGCGAAAGTTGCTTAACAATAAAGACCGCGAGCTGCAGTGCTTATCCACTACGCAACGAAGCTACCAATGTCAGTATACTTATCTATATCTTCGCATTTTCGCAGTACATTTTTGCAGGGTAGACAGAAAAAACTGAACACCAGATATCACTGCTTTTAACATACATGACATCACCCTCTGATACAGTAAGATACAATTATAACTTGTACGAATTAATTTGACACCTGAGGGCCTATTCTATTTGTCTTCGGAATTGGATATTCGTTCATGTAAAATAATAAAAATTGTAAAATCAACTTGGGAGTAGACCGAGCAATCTTTACGATTTTTTGGTGGCATTCAAAAAGACGACGGGTCCAGAGACTTTGTAGAGGCGTATAGTTTGTTTACAATGATATTGATTTATTACTTTTAGAAAGGTTTATCAAAGTAAAACATAAAATTGTCCTTTTTTATATTACGACAAAAAGCATATTCTAACAATTAAAAGAATTTGCAATTGTACCGTTTTTAAACTTTGAAAAGATTAATAATAAAATCACATAATATGTTGGCACTTTACAAAGTTACTTCAAAGTTAAGACTATTAGATGTCTAATGTGACCTAATATAATGTACTGTAAATTCTTTCCTCGTATCCAAACCAACGAAGCATGCCCTTTGTTAAATTTTTAAACCGATACTATCTTTCATGTTAATTTTCATTATTATCTGTTTATCGTTTAAAAACTGGCATGATGAAGAGGTCCGGTCGATATACTTATTTTAATTTGTTTAACAGGGTTTCATAATAGCTTTCACGTCCGAGTTCATACCCCGGCTAGTATACTACTTCACGGAGGGCTCATTGGACAACTACGTGAATCATACTCTAGCGGATTTCAATATCACAGTGTTTCACAATTACCGTCCTATCAAGACTGCCTACAATGAGACTATGTGCAGGTACCAATCATTGTTATAATATTTATTTTAACATATATTAATAATGTATAAAAAGTAGCATATGTTCGACAACCTGTAACATTTCGCTCACCGGGTTAATGATCAGGGATTTCCAAAGTGTTTGTCGACCCCTTGGGGTTAAAATTGATTTCCTAGTGGTTTAACGTTATGTAATATCTTTTTTTAATTATTTCGTACAGTTATCCTGGGTACTGGTATTACAAGGAGGGGGATGCCTATGAACGCAGTAACTGGTACTGGCACACGTTAGGAGCGCGGCTAGCGTTCGTTGTTGTCTTCGAGGTCTGTATTTTTTTTACATTTTTACGAATATCTTTGGTGCTGTAATAATAGTAATTCATGTCATTCTTTAGATTTGTATTGTTTAGATGAAATAAAAATATCTAAACATTTATAACTACATTGAGGGTTGGAATAATTGTTGGAAGATTAATCTTTATCAAATCAATTCACTAATGTTTTCACTGTTGGAAGTTGAAGCAAATGGGTCGAACTCCTAGGGATTGAATTATACAGGGTAAATGAACCGTATATGACTTAACACGCGGGCTTCGTATAGTATTGAGGATGGCAATGACTGCGTATGCAGCCGAAACCAACCGCTTTACGTGCCTTTCGAAGTATCTATTCGATGAACGGTTCCCGTAAAATATTTCAACATCTGCAATCGCAGGTTTAGTTTCCCTCAACGCACTCTTCTATCATTCCTATAGATTAAGTCAAAATCAAAATATCTATATTCAAATAAACTTGTTAAAATTACTTATGATTGTCCGTCATTTTTTTACCTGCCTCTCGTTCAGCAGGTCAAGTTTGCTAACGTGTGATAGTACAATGTTATAATACCAGACGTGGAGATTTTATTGAGATGTGATTTTTACTTAAACATTAGCAGAATTGGCCTGTAGGACGTTTTTAGCCGATAAGTAGAACTAGGGAAAGAAACTCACCAGTTTAAATTGAATTAGAAAATAAGCGTATTAAAAGACTATGTATGATTAATGTCTCGTATAGAACGTGGTGGCGCTAGTGATGATAATCGTCCGGTGGGCTATACCGGACATGTCGGGCGAGCTCCGGGACCGTATCCGGCGCGAGGCGTACGTCATCAACACGTTCATACTGGAGGAGACGCGCGCGCGGTCGCTGCAGTCGCGGCGGTGCGAGGTCACTGACCCCGGCGCGCCCGCCCCCCCCACAGGTCACGCCCGAGGCCGCGCGCCGCGGCCGGTGCACGCGCACTCGACGCCCGTATAGCTAACACGTGGTTACGGTAGGCGCGCTCGACACGCTTTTACCCAGTTCCGTTTGTACACTAACTTATGGTTGTCGTTCACCGCTCGGATGGTTATCTTCGCGGTCTAGTGTATGCACGTTCCTATGTTTTTCATTAGTCAATTTATATATCTTATAAGTTTTTGCTAATCTTGAGACTTCAACTTATGTTATGACGTAATAAAATATACATATTCCCTGTAAGACACCAAAATAAAAAAGGTTTATCTTAAAAAAACATGAGAATATTCGTTTATTTAATGAAAATGATTTTGGTATAAACCAGAGATTCCCAAATTATTTTGAGCAAGAGATCTCTGCTCCAAATCAGTTTTGAATATTCCGTATCTAGTTTACTACAGCTTAAAATGTTTGCAGTTAGTTTAAGCATTTTTTGCTTATAGAATTCAAAAAAATAAAGAGGCATTGACATATATAGAAATAAGGTCGATTTTTAGACACGCTCCCTGTCAAACCAATTTCGACCCCAATGGGTCAGGATCGATCAGTTTGAGAGTCCCTAGCATAAACTGTATTCCTATTTAAGTATGCCAGTAATGTGAAAAGATACTAAATAATTTATAAAAATAAGAATGGTGAACGATGACCGTGTATTAAGACTGTGTTGTGAGTGCTTGATACATTAGTCGGGTTGATCGAAATCTCCTTAGGTAGTTGAACATTAATGAAATTAACTCCTTTTTTTTTTACTGTAGTTTGGAGGTTAACCTTGTTTGGCTGATAATTCACAGCCTTTTCAATAATATTTTATTTTAAAAAATGCCAGTTTTTAGCCATTAACCGATAAATCAGATGAAATGCATTTCAGTGCAAAAATATGCACTACTGAAATGTTCTTTTCAATAAGTAGACCTAACAATACTGATATGTATACGTTTATATTTAACTGCCAAAGATTTGTATTAAAAATGTTTTTATTAATATTATAAGTAGCTTAGTCCAAAATTGGGTTTGGGTAAAAAAAATATTTGCTTACAAATTTCCTAAAGAATATTTGCTGGTGCCTCATGTTTCAATAAAAATTTTATTCCTGTGTATTTAAAGTTTATAATAAAACGCTTTAAAGACGCCTCGTATTCCAAAAGACAACGCTACGTGTATCATATACCCGATGCAGTCTTGCCAGCTTATTATTGCAAGAAAATCTATCAATTTACCTATTTAATTTAAAAGTTGCAACTAAAGATTTTCACGCAACACCATCAGCCATGTATGCAGGAAGGTCATACGTTATTAAAAACGTTATTTAGCTTCAACAAGCTGTCTGGTTTCTGGATCACATCTACAAATATAATATTTTTAAGGTGGCAACAGGCTTTTGACCAATAAATTTATATGCTTTGATAATTTATAAAATGTTTAGTAGTAATATACTAATCAACATATAAGTATTTTTTACAAATTTTCACTATAAAAAAGTATGTATTTAAATCAAAAGATATATCAAGATATCAGATATGAATATTGTTCAAGTTCAAAGGTAACTTGGTTAATTTATAAAAATCTGTATAAATTCACATTTGGCTTAGTGTTTTCAACAATTGTATCATTCTTAATTAATGAAGTACAGTTGACTTGGATTTTGTTTTGCTGTAAATTAATTTTATACCAACTATATGCTTGGGCGTTAATATAGTCCATAATACGCTAATCCTCGAGTAAGTAGTTGTTATTATTTAGTATTTATCTGTTACAAAGCTGTTGCTGTTTTAAAAACAACACCCTATAAATTTCATAGTTGTCAAACGCAGTCTGCATAGATATTCTTGCAAATAAGCATTTATTTGTCTAAAGCAGCTTCTACTGATTGATTTATTTGAGAGCGAAAACAGGTCGGCGGCCACGTACGCTGATATGTGAGTGATTGGTAAAAGTATTACATTTAACAGCATGCGGAGTTTGTTTGAGGAATGCGGTTTTATTCGTATATTGCTTGTGATAATACTAGTAGAAATAACACCTACGTATACATATTTATTTTAATGTCGCATTAAATTTATCTCAAAGCTCTATTAATGTTCGACCATATTATCAGGACACAAAGTTGAAAATTGAACCTCAACTTGAATAACATTGATAACCTGATATTGTAAAGTTATATGGAAGTTTGTTATTTTATGAGAGGAATAATTGTCACAGCCAATTGACTGTTTTTAAGTCAGTTTTCATACAACAATACGTAATAATGTAGGTTTGAAAAACGAAATTAGTTCTTGCTAAAAAAAAAAAAAAACTAACAATAAGTTCTTATATCTTATTTGAGTGTTGTAACTAAGCATGTGTCATTATAATAAATATAAATATAAATAAATAAATATTTAACAACATCACATACATTGCTCAGATTCCAAGATGAGTAGCTAAAGCCTCCGTATTATTGGAGTATCTGAGCCAACGAAGGTACCACAACACCCAGACCCGAGTCAATCTAGAAAAGTTCATTTTCTACATTGACCCGACCGGGAATCGAACCCGGGACCTCAGAGATGGCGACACCTTGAAACCGGCATGCGAACCACTCGGCTACGGAGGTCGTCATAATATTCTAATGATGTTGCCGAATGTAATGAATAATAAAAATATTAATTATCTAAATAACAAACATTGATTAAATCATAATTCACAAATGCCTAAAGAAATTGTGTCATGGAAATATGACATAACGAAGGTGTAGCTCTTCAGGTTACTATTATTAAGGTTTACAATACACGTAATAAATTGGAATAGATGTCACTTCTGAATAACCCGTAGTGACGTTTCTGAATCACCTCAGTTAAATTTTTTCTTTACATATCACTAGCATTATTATATCACTAATAAAATAATCATTGAATGTTCAATAACACTCACTGAGAGCATGCAATGGATAATATGCTTTATATACAGTTATGCATTTAACGGTGATGATAATTCATATTTATAAGGATATTTAAATTAAGGTTTGATTTTAATAAAATTAGTGTAACTTCGTATTTTGGAAAGTACGCTTCACAATATTAATTGCTTTTTAGATTCGCGTTGATAGTAGTCGATTTTCGGCTTAGTTCAGCATTTTGGCAGCATTGTGTGCTTGTAGAACGGTTTCTTTTAATCGCACGTGATTTAGATTATGTTGTATGTTATTTAAAATCACAATTATTGTGGAAATAAAATGGGTTGTCTGTGTCGATGATTTTTTTCCCTGTTTGAAACTTAGCCAATGGTAGATTTTGATCTTGGGCCGAGAATGGATATAATATAAATATAATAATAGGTCTAGTTAGTAATTGACAGTACGAAAGGCATTAATGCCATAATAACTTAATAAAATATAGCTTGAATAGATTTTTCAGTTAGCGTTTTATGTTGTCAAAACCGACACATCGACTGTACCGTCAACAGCACATCAAGTTTTAAAGAATTAATAAACTTTTTAACTATAACCTTTTGTCTATAAATATCAAAATTCATTGTAGACATTTGTTATATGTAACACGATGTGCTGCTGTATGTATATTATTCAACTTAGGTTTTCAATTATCATTCTGGAAGGAATCTTGTTCAATCCTAATCCATATATAATCAACAGTTTTCTCATTATTATGAATGTTTATTTACTGTAAAGTTATAAAAATATACGTTTATGTAAATGTAGATGAGCGGGTGGAGTCGAGTTGGAATCATATCGCGTCATTATCCGGTTCGGACTTCGACCTGGCCGCTCACGGCGATCACCAGGACATACGCGATCTGGCGCGTCACGTCATCGCCTCGGAGGCCGCTCACACCGCGAGCACGCGCGCTCAGCCCCCTCCTGAGCACGTCTAGCCGTCTGGGGAGCTTTAGTGATGTGCCGATGTCGATTATCGACTATCGATGTCATATCAGAGCACATAATTCGAAACTCGGTAGATATAAGATACGTACTATTATTATAGATTCACGATAAAACAGTAATAATTAATATTTTTGCCTACGCCTCAGATTTTTCGACGTTTATTTTGTTAATACCGCAACGGTAACATTACATTATAAATAAGAATTTATCATTACGGATTGACAGTTTATGTTCCTATTTCATAAAAAAAAATATTACATCAAAGAGATGATGATCTTTTAAAATTAATATGATACAAAATAAAGACAAGTATTTTTTTACTCTATTTCAAGATCAATAAATCTATCATTTTGATAAAATAATGTACACATTATTTAAATAAACTATTGAAAATAAATCACAGTGCTCGATGTAGTCTCGACATAAGTTTTTTTTTAATAAAACTGTACTTGTTATTTTTAATATAAAATTTATATCTACAAAATGTTGTACAGACGACAGCACGCCAGTTTATTAATTACAAATTTCCACAATCAGTTAAACTGATATCTTAATGCGTTTAAGTAGAGTTTAAAAATTATTGTGATTGGAATTTTTTTGGAACCTGACGTATTGCTGTTTGTGCCAATGAAATTTTGTATTCAGTGTCACGATATTGTGTCGAGATTAGATATGATGACAAATATCGATAAATGCTAGTGTCATTTTCTTATATTCAAAATATATATATTCTAAAAACTTAAAAAAGTAACGTTTCGCTGCAGTAGACACATTTATGTTACTAAAATTAAAGAAAGATTTAATCACACCCCGAATAATAAGTATTTTAAGGTTCAGTACTAAAAGAGTAAAAAGGGACTTTGTTACTAAGACTCTGCTGTCCGTCCGTCTTGCTGTCTGTCACCAGGTTATATCTCAAGATAACAGTTGAAATTTTCACTGATGATATATTTCTGTTATAGCAACAAATACTAAATACCGAATAAAATGAATATTTAAGGGGGCTCCTATATAGCAAATGTTATCTTTTGTCGTTTTTTTTAGATACTAATGGTTTGTTCGCGAGTCCGACTCGCATCATCCTATTGATTATATATTATTGCATCCTATTAATGTACTTAAAAAGATAATATTGAATTTAGATCACATATCAGTTGTTCGTAGTTTTAACTATCATTCACAAA